ATACGTATATTTATATATAGTCGAGGATTTAAAGACCTTTAATACGGGGAACGTTTTTATTAATTTTAATTTATAATTTCATTTCTTTATAGTTATCGAGATGTATTTCCTCTATTTATTTAAAAAGATTATTTAAATTATAATATTCGAAATCGTAATAAATTTTTAATATTAGAAAGAAATTTTAATATTTAATGGAGTTCAACCTACTACTTTTAGAAATTAAGTGGTTAATTTCTACCTTCGTAATTATTTTACCCTACCGTTGCTTAATTAATTAAATAAATCTCTTAACGTTAAATGTAGCACCTATAATTCGAACGTCGGGAAGGAGATAGGCTTTAATAAATCTATTATAAGGCTGGTAATAAGTATAATTAATAAGATATTTAGCGGGGTAAGGTAATTAAATATAAAATCGATAAATATCTTACTCTAAGCAGTAGGTTCTATTAATTTCGAAATAGTCTCGTTATTATCTTTTTAAAATTTATTATTAAGAATAATAGTAAGAGAAGGGTAAAACTATTATCTTCTATATCTTAAGTTGCGTTAAAAGGTTCGAAAAATCGCGTAGATAATTAAAGAGGTTAATTAATTTAGTTTAATAAATTAATAATCTTATTACCAATTAACCTTAATCCTTCTTTAAAATTATTAAAATTCCCTAAATGAATTAAATTTTTATTAAAGAATATATTATAGGTATAAATAATATAATTAATTTATAAGTTTTAAATTTAATAAATAAAAGAGGTAGCGTAATTAATGAAGAATCTAATCTAAACGTTTAATTAAAGTTTTTTACGCTATTACTCTTTCTTCTATATAATACTTATTATCGTATATACTTTATAACCGTAAATACGTAAATAACTAAAATTAGGCTTATAGGGCTCAGTTTATACCCCCTTATAGTAAATTATGAAGGTATAAAACCACTCGTATAGTAATTTCCAATTATAAAAATACTTAAACGATCGGTTAATAAAGTAGACCGAGGCTGAAACAATTTGAAGCTAGAAATTATAAGGGAATTTAACGCTATTTATCATTATACGCGCCTTTTTCTTAATTATACGCTCTAAACGTTCAATACCGCCATTTTAAATTTAAATATTAAATACTAAAGACTCGAGAATAATAAAGCGTATAACTAACTTATCCCTAACATATTAATTATTAAATTTGTTATTATATTTAATATATTTAATTTTAATTTTATACTAATAATTAATCATACCAATAACCGAAGGAAATCTTTTAATAATAATTTTAATTATTTAATTCGCTATATAAATATTCTAAACGAATCTAATCCATCGATAGGTAATAAATATAACGTATTTAAGGCTACTTCTTCCTACTTTATATTCGAAGAAATTAATAGCGAGACGCTCTCCTGGGCTAAATTCCCTATTGTATAATTTTCATTTAACTTATCGTTTAATTTTTAAAATACTGTATACATCGTATTAATAAATAGCGGGCCCTTTAAATCTAGCGCCTTCAACGTTATGAAAGTATTCGAAAACTTAAAGATTATAATAACTAAATTACTTGTACCAAAATTTAGTGGGCATTTTATATATGCGCTAGCTAATAAAAGAATTAAAGCGATTTCAATAAATAAAGAAAGTAGCGTAGTTGAAGGAAAGGGGTAGGTATTTAAAGACCGTTTAATGATAATAAATTTCTTAAAGAAAATAAAAGAATAAGCTGTTTAACCAACGGAGGTAATTATTAAGGGGTTTATAATTCTAGTAAAATTTTTACTTTCGAAGTAGGCGTGGTAATATAACATTTATAATAAAATTAAAGTAGAAAGTTACTTCTTTCAATTATAGCCTCAAAATTCCCTTCTCTCTTTATACTTCTATATTAATAATCCCAAAACCTTTAATAGGTATTTAAAATTCACTAACCTAAACGCAATCCTTTAAAAACGCTACTCGAAATAAAGAGAAACAATTAATCTCGTTAAAAATATAAATAGAAACCCTAGAATCGAAGATTATAAAATTCTTAAGTAAATAAATATTATTTTTATTATTATTCGTATTAAAAGTACTTTATTTAATAAAAAATACTAAATTATAAATACCGATTTCTTATCTCCTTCAATTTTTCGAAGTAGTAATTTATATAAAGGTAATAAAGTGGTCTATATTTAATTTCTAACCTTCTTAACCTTTTTACTGATTTTAGGATACTTTTTGAAATTTTTATTAATAAATCTTTAAATTGGGCCGCTTAATTTCTATTTAGAATTATCTTTAATTTTAAATATTGAATACTAATAGCGCATTGTTAAATAAGGACCTCGTTCGTAAACTTTATAAAGTAGCGTAGCGCTTCCTCTTTTTTTCGGCCGTAAAGAATTTTTTATATTTTTATCCACACTACGTTTTTTCTTTATATTTACCTTCCGCTTCTTTTTATAATTAAAATTAGGAGTATCTTCCTTATTAAATGCAAATTCTTACGAATTAGAACGGTTAGTACCCTAGGCGCTATAAATTATAGTTTTTTTTAAAGTTAGTTAATAGTATAGTACGTTCTAATATACTAACCCTTTTAAAATTAGCGGATACATTCTTATATTTTAAAGATATTTCTTCGAATTCGTTATTGAATTTCTAAGAATTACTAGCTTAAATAAATTTATATTTATAAATTATATCGATAAAATTAGTAAACTGTAAAGTAGGGGAGGTTACTTTATTAATTCCAAATCTCTTTCCGTTTGTAATAAATATTTCCTAATCGGATAATTACTATTCGAAATCCTTAGGTTGCTTCTTTATAATTTCTTTAATAAAGGCTTAATAATTTTAATAAACTTTGGCAATTTAATTAATAGGGCAATAATTAATTTAATTTTTAATTTCTCTAAGTTAATCGCGGGTAAATTTATTTTATTCAAATAAAATTTTAGTAAGTAGCGACGTAGATATTTATTTAATTACGAATTCGAATATTAGCGTTATTAAAGTTTTTTTAATATTTATAGCGAATATTATATATATTATTAATTTAGTTATACGCTACTTTCTCGGTAATTATTAGGTTAGTAGAGGGGTTAATAATTATATCCTTTTTAATATTTTATTCGGTATAGTATTTATTATCCTCTTCTTTCTCTTCTTCATCTTCTTCTCCTAAACTTCCTTCTTTATCGTTTTCATTAGTACCGGCGGCGGTTTCTTTTTAGAATTGGGTAGCTGCAATAGTTTTGGTAACGGTACCGTTCGTATTAATAGCTGTAGTAGTAGTTATCATAGTTATAGTTACGACCTTTTTAACCCGGATTCCTCTATTGAATTTAACGAGCTCCTTCTTTACTATTAGAAGACAGTCCTTTACTTACTTAGTAAGAAAGAAATCTTCCAACTTTGGGGGTAGAACCCTCTAGATTATAAATCCTCCCTTAAGCAGCCAATTATTAAAATTTAAGTTACTACTAACGAATCTCTTAAGAGCTTTATACTAACTAGGCTAATCGGAAGAGGTATTAAGGATAACTGTAATAGCCTTATTGGTAGATTATTTTAATAGAAATATAGCTAACGTTATTAATTTCGTAGGAATATTACTTATAATCGATAATCGTAGCGTTAATTGTGAATACGCAAATTAGACTATTAATTGTCAGATGTAATAGTGCAGAATTGATTGATTGAAGAGAGTGTCTAACTTACCCAAAAGGTATGGGGGGTGCTAGGGTAACCCAAATATGTCCAGAAATCAGGCAATATCAGGTGGCTGGAGCGCTAGCCTCCATATGGTATGGCTAAAACCACCCTTGAATCTGACAGCAAGGCCTTCGACTAATCTTCTACTGAGTTGATGCGGGTCGCAGGGTTTCTCGGGCCCGATCCAGTCACAGGATTGGCTTGAGTAAAATCAAATCCTCTGAGAATATGCGGTATCGTACGGATGCCATCAGATGGCACCAACCCGGAGACAGCCTGGCCCTGGCTCACCTGGTTTGATGGCATGGGTGCTGGGCCTTTAATTCTTACGACAGAGAAACTGCCATCGTTTTGTTCCTATGCGGTGATGTGGTTATGTTTTCGTATACCATCATCAACTTGTCTGACGGTGTGATGAGGACATGAGGTGATGCAGCAGCCGCCAGCCGAGCCCGTGATAAATACCCGGCGGAGACGAAACAAGCGCCGCTGGAGGGAGTTATCTTCTTGCTTCTCTTTTTTCTTCTGTCGGTTCCAAGTCCAACAAAGTTCCAAACGCCGCTCTATCGTTGAATTGCAACCTCGGGCTCGACTGCCCTGTTGTTGTGAGGAACAAGACCCCGCCGTTCAGGGCAGCATTCCCTGTGCACAGAAAGGACCCCTGGTCCGATCACATTGCTAGTGTGGGGCACGCAGCTGACGTCCACTCCACCGCCGCCTAGCCGAGACAGACACTGCCCGCCCTGACAGGTCCGCTCCCAGTGCCGCTCTTCAAATCAAAAACTCCCACCTGGGAACAAGCATCCCCGTGTGTCAACAGAAACAACGACAAGTCGACAGATCCCAACATCGTAACCTCCGTCATCTCCGCTCAAGAACGACTCCGCCGAGCTTGCAACACTGCCAGTGGCTCACCAAACTCACCCTCGGCGCCTGGCCCATTTCCCAGAGTCCGGCCCGGTCCCGTCTTTCCCAACCGAGTTTGGAGTCCTACGAGTCCTTGTGTCGCCTGCCCTCCAACAGCCTGCATATCTAGCCGTGCATCCCGCACTCACATACACAGCTTGAACCTACATACAAAAGCCCAACATCTTTATACCGACATCCGGCATTTTTATTAACCGACGTTTGATCTATCATCCATCTCCGGCCGATTTAAAGACACACGTCCGCACCATATCACTTCGACCTGTCGCCATCTCGTTGTTGTTTGCCAGTTGACGTTGACCTACGAGACTACCTACCTACCGGGCCTGCCTACCATACAGTGCGCCCTCCCCCGCCGACAAATCGCACTGCTGCTTTTCGTCCGAACGACTCGTCTCTTCATCCCAAGTCGCCTGTTCGCCCATTGCACCTCAGACAACTGTCTTTCTCGACGACCTCGTTTCCTCGCCAGTCAGCAACTAGCACTAGCGAAAAAGTGAAGTCATCGTCGCACAACTACGATACATAACGGCCCAGACTACCGTAGTCTCCCCAAGACGATCTACGGCCAAAGACCAACGGCACCACTACACGTCTCGTGACCAGCTCGATTTCGCCTCACAGGCCTCTGCCCATTCCAAACACTGAGGCCTGTCCGGCCTCCAGAGCCTGAACCCTTTGTCTGCAGATTCGAAGCGTCCGTCCCGCGTCGCAACCTCAACCGAGTGACAGCAAAGGCATCTGCCATCAACAGACCACCATGGCCGATTACCAAGGTCAAAGCAGCAATGATGCTGCCCCTAAGGCAAGTATAGAAACTACCCCTTTCTCTCTTTTACTCAAGGACTCCCATTTGCCCCTACAGCATCATCTCTCCGCCCTTTCTGCCCCTATCCTCTCAAGGTGCCTGGTGGCCGCCTCTCCCACTTCTCAACACTCATTTTGCGTCTATACTCGCTCGCTGGCACCACCGCTAACACTTTACACTATGCAGGCCAACCCAGGTATCCAGGCACCCCAGCTCCAACAAGGACCATCCCCCGTTCCCACAATGGCGCCAGCCCCCGCACCCCTCCTCCGGCCAGCCATCCCCGGCGCTCGCCCCGGTGGTCGGGGTCCCCCACGTCTTGGCCTTGCGATCCCCCCGTCCCTAAGTGTCAAGCCCGTTGGCAACCCCGGCGCACCTCCGGCGCGTGCGGCGCCACCACAACTCAAACTCGCTACCCCCATGGGTAGCACCACAATACCACATGAGCAACCTGCCGGACGACCAGGTGCCCAAGGCTATAGCGCTAGCGGCGCCAGCGATAGCAGTGCGGCCCATAGCAGGAGTGGCAGCTTTGGCCCCGAGAGCAACCCTACCAGCGCCGACACCCGGTACAGCAATGTTTCGTTTATGGGCGCACAAAGGCCACACGGCACACCAGACCCCGTCTCTGCAGTTGGTTCTCTGTACTCCAATGCCAGCGAGGGAGGTGTGGGTATGGAACGAGAAAACAGCCTGCATGGATTGGAAGCATTCGATCAGCTTACACTGGAGAAAGCGAGGACACTAGATGTCGAAGAGCTTGATGACGATGGGTGGAGGATCGCCATGATGGAGAAGAGAGTCGAGGAGTTGGGACCCCTAGGCGAGGGCGCGGGAGGTGCGGTCACCAAAGCCAGGTTGAAGGGCGGCAAGACCGTATTTGCGCTCAAGGTATGACATTCCAGTCCGAGATTTTTCTGATTTGCTCGAATCTTTGCTGACGACTTTCCGAGTAGATCATCACAGCAAACCCCGACAAGGACGTTGCCAAGCAAATCGTCCGTGAACTAGGGTTCAATAAGCAGTGTGCCTCCGAGCACATCTGTCGGTACTTCGGCGCCGTTGTCGACACCCAGTCCGCGACCATCTCCATTGCCATGGAGTATTGCGAAGGCGGTTCTCTGGACAGTGTCTACAAGGAAGTCAAGAAGCTCGGCGGGCGCACAGGAGAAAGAGTCCTGGGCAAGATTGCCGAGGGCGTCCTCCACGGATTGACCTATCTCCACAGCAAGAAGATCATTCACCGTGACATTAAGCCTAGCAACATCCTTCTTTGCCGCAACGGCGAGGTCAAGCTTTGCGATTTCGGTGTCTCGGGCGATTATGGCACGAATGGCGCGGCCAACACGTTCATCGGTACCAGTTATTACATGGCGCCTGAGCGAATCACGGGCCAGTCATATACCATCACCTCGGACGTCTGGTCTTTGGGTGTTACCCTGCTCGAGGTTGCACAGCACCGATTCCCCTTCCCCGCGGACGGTACCGACTCACAACCCCGTGCCGGTCTTATCGATCTTTTGACGTACATCGTCCGTCAGCCTGTGCCAAAGCTGAAGGATGAGCCTGATGCGAACATTTTCTGGACTGACAAGTTTAAGTACTTCATTGACTGCTGGTATGTACACTCTTCACTTCTGTTTTTGGTTCCCTGGTCTAGTTTGCTTACCAGGATAATTGTGTAGCTTGGAGAAGGACCCCAACCGCAGAGCGAGCCCTTGGCGTATGCTCGACCACCCCTGGATGTTGGAGATACGATCAAGGCGTGTCAACGTGGCCCGTTTCTTGGCCACGGTATGGGGCTGGGAGGATGAGAAGGAAGGAAAGGCATAGTGTGTCTGCGGTGGGAACAATCGATCGAAACCGGCGAGTTCAGTTCATAGGTCACGGAAATCTTGCAAACGCCGGAAGCACAACAGTCGTGTACCGGAAGACATCGGGATCGCCTCCTCAGTTGAGGATGTCGAGACCGGTGTTTTCGTTTTTGAAGAAGACGAGAACGATGGCTGCGGCGGCGCGGCTCGTGTCTGACAGGTTTTTGGGTATATAAATATGATATGAACCTCATAGCAAGGAATGGAAGGGGATTTGTATATGCACTGATAGCATGCTTAGGTTTTTGCCGTGCTCGCAGACCCTTGTGGTATGGTTAGCAAACATTGATGAAACATATTTGAAGAAGTGCCCTTCGAACGACGAAGTGAATAACAGGAACCCAGACCTGATGTGCCGATATGATTGCACTTCGCCCTTGCACCTCACAGCCGGTACATCTTGCTTACTGGTCTTCCACATCTTGCACACGCCAATTACATACACACATACATAGTTTGCCCTATGGGGGCATGCGATTCTGCTGCCACCAAGGCCTCGTTTGCCCCTCCCCCCTTTGACCCTTTCATCCCATTTTTTACAGCCGCTAGGCTAGGGGTATATAGCAAAGGTTACCAGCCGTCTCTTCCGTGGTCCGTTGGCACATCTGGGAGTAATGCGAGAGAGCTCTTCGTGAGCTGTTACCAAGTAAACTGGAAGTTACCGGTTCGAGTCCGGTGCGGGCCACTTCTTTTTTTTCCCATATCCCGTCCTTTTTGGGTGTGTGTTTTCTCGGAGGTTACTTACGAACGAGGTTACAGCTGTGAATGGGATTGATGAGTGGATGAGTGGTGTGGATGGAATTGGAAGTTTGGAACACCCCTTAATGGGAACCCTAACCCTTGACGTTCATGGAAATCGGGATTTGGGATTTGGGCATGACAACTCCATGGGAGGGAGGTATCACCAATTTGAACGTCATGGGAAATGTACGAGGTATGCATGTGATATGTGGCAGTTTCATTGCTTTTTGGGCTGATCAAGATGTTCAGTCAGTTACCGATGCCAAGCAAGATAGGCAATCAAGGAAAAAAGAACAGAGGACTGAGTGGTCGTTCATGATGGAGTTGGTGATGAACACCATGATACCACTACGGATTAACTCCGAAAACCGAAATCCTACAAGATCAGGCAAGAATAAATACCTTATGCACGGATATGTACCTGTGTTCATTGCCAGGTTGTGATTATTTTGTAGATGATGGGCCCGTGCGTAGGTAGATGAATAATTTTCCCAAACTGAACTTGACCTTCTACTTTTCCTCTCCTTCATTCAACACAGGACCCGAGAGCATCTCGACAACAAACTCAGCCATCTCCAGGCACCCAAAGCTCTCCCTTCTGTTTCCTTACCTATCTCCTGGTTGGTCGTTCCTTGCCCCCGCAAGAAACACCAAACCTCACCACCACATATCAGGTCGTTATCGACCATCCTCCCGTCAACCACTTATCTGGTTGTTTTTCTTTTCGTGCCGGATTGCGTACAATCCTAGCATAGCCAGCGTCCAGAAGAAAAATTTTCTTTATTGAAATTTTTTCAATCCAAATCATCTAAACATGGCCAAGCTTCGGAACAACGGCCAGAACGGGCGTCGTCCGACGCCTTCAACAGCGGCGACCACTACCCCGTCGACGACCATCCCGTCGACCACTTCCACCACCACCACCCCGTCGACGGCCTCCACCGCCGCCACGACGACGACCACAACTCCAGCGGGCCGAGCCACCATGCCCGCGACACTTGGAAATCCCCTTGTAGGGACCGAAAACCTCCTTGCGCTTATTGAGGACGAGGAATTTAAAAGACTCCCATCCCCGATATCCTTGTAAAATGCCCTGCCACCGCCAACAAGCCTACTTGCAAACGCTGCAGTCAGAAGCGAAGGCACTATCCTAATCTTCGAGGTGTACTTGACAGCGCTATACTCGCTGGCGCCTTGCACCAGCTTGTATAGCCAGTCAAGGCATTGTCCCTTCTTTCTTTCTACCTCCGGTGGCCACTCCGTGGAGGCCCTCCCGGAGGCTGGGGTCCTCGCTACACTCGATAATCCTCATCAACAAAACCCCTCTCTGGATACCGAATCATTGTTTTAATTGTTCCCAGAGGCCGTCCAATGCTTCTAAGACCCTCCAATATTTCCAAGGCCCTCCAATGCTCTCTGGTTTTCCCCAATGCTCTCCAATGCTGTCTGATACTCTCTGATACTCTAGGCTCTTATACTATCCAACGTTCTCTTATTGTTTTCCAATATTCTGTATTGTTCTCCAACGCTTTCCATTGCTCCCAAAGTTCTTCATTACTCCCATTGCCTTATTATTTCATTGCTTTCGCATTGCTCCCATTGCTTCTAATGCTTCTAATGCACTTCCAAACTCTCCCTTACTCCCGTTGCTCTCCAAAACTCTCCAGGAATCTAGATTGCTTCATTGCTCCCATTGCTTCATTGCTTCATTGCTTCATTGCTTCATTGCTTCATTGCTTCATTGCTTCATTGCTTCATTGCTTCATTGCTTCATTGCTTCATTGCTTCATTGCTTTATTGCTTCATTGCTTCATTATTTCATTAGTTCTTCTTCTCCTTTTTCTTCTCCTTCTTTTTATTTTATTTTTCCATTTTCCCATTCTAGGTTGCTCACCGAATTACCAAGGGCTATGTACCGCCCCCGGGACCCCCGCTTTCCCTCAATTGCCGGGAGGCTTTCTCAGCCCGGGCCGGGGCCGCCGGGATAGACCGGACATGAAACCGATGGAGCCGCTCTGCTGGTTGCCAGAACGGCAAGCGAGGACAAGAACCGGTGGAGCGGCCATCTGTTCGGTTTTGGGCAACGGACTCGAAGATTATGGGCAATGCGCCGATTGCCTATGTCGAAGGTGCAGGCGGCATCCGTGTTGCGGAAGATCAGATTGTTACGGTTGGGTAGAATGATGTGAGTGTCCTGCCTGTCATCATTTCAAAGGAACCAGTTTACTAACTGGCACATAGATCGAGTAGCGAGCGATTGGCACGAGTCGGGGCTGGTGGGTAGTCGGTGTAAGAGGCCGCAACAACGATGCTGGCGTTGTTGGTCAACACCTGCCTCTGCCTCATCAGCTCGGCCTGCTGCCGCTTATACCAAGCAGGCAGGCCATGGAACGCGTGGAGGCAGGGACGACGGCGATAACGAAATCGACGATAACGAAATCTACGAATGACGAAAACGAAAAGGATAACGACGAAAAAGAGAGGAGGAGGAGGAGGAGGAGGAGGAGGAGGATGGGACGTACAAGGACAAGGGAACTTTCTTTTATTATTCCCGATGATGAGCTCTTATTTCTGAGGAAAATGTGAAAGGAATAATCTCCGGGAAACAAAGCACCGAGGGTCCAGATCGGAAGCCGCGATACACGTTTCATGGTTTCCTTTTTTTTTTTTTTTTTTCATTAAGTTCACTTCTTGTAACGGTCCGACATCATGATGGGTTAGTGTATACGTGGCAGTTTCTCTGCGTGCCCTGCCGGACCGACTCGGCTGGCGGGTGGTGGCGGCTGCCAGACACAGCACTGAGCATTAGATAGTTGGTCAGTCGATCCTTCCTCTCACTTACACGACGTAGGTAGAGGGAAGGATCATTAATCTAATACGTCAACAAGGAGATCTTGCTCGGTGAAGTGTTCCGCTCATTGACCGTTTAACTGACATACTCCATTTCCGGTCATAGTAGACACGTTCAGGGGGGGAAGAAAGGGAAAAAAATAAGAGAGAAAAAAAATAAAACCCAAAGTCACAACCAACGTACTGAGCTGCACATGCCACTCATGAGTCATGACAGAGTTAGTGATCACCTCAATGATAGTAAATCGGGACGAAATTAACACAAGCATACCATACAACGGTGGAACCTAGGGAATAGAGGTTGTCATGGGTTTGCAACGCCGGACTTTGAATTAACCTTAAATTAAGCATCATAAGCAGCATGCAGCTGCACGCTCAAGTACTCGGCAAGTCAGTGAGAAGGAACAGACTTACCGTCCAGGCAGTTCACAAAGGGAAAAAAAAAAAGGGTCTCACAGGACCACTGTTTTTTTGGTCGGCCTATGTGTAGTCTTTTCTTACAATCACCTGCCGTTGTCCTCGTTCTATGACATTGCCCACTACCGGTTTGGCGGATGGGTTAACCTGGGGCTCAGGTTTTCGTGATCTGACACGCCCGGGTATCAAGCACATGCAGCCAGGCATTGCAGACTGCCGGTTACAGGTAGATTTTGACGAATCCTTTTCAATCACGTAGTTGTACGTATTGGGCCGTGCTCAAACCCATTTACCTATAAATACAATTTTTCTTTGGGTTACCGTACTAAAAGAGGGGGGGTCCGGCCAACGGTTGCTCAATCATTAACTTTTTAAGACGTTTGCACCTGCCTCGATGGCCATTGAACAGCAGAATGACCATTTAATCTCTTCCAACGTTTAATATTTCCAAACGTTTGAGTTTTATCAGCGGTTAATGAATAGTTGAATGACGGTAATTATACAGTTTTAAGCTGCTATATATCTAAGAGAATGAACGTTGGGGTCTGTTAAACGTGGGTACAAATTCACGGATTGAGCAACCGTTGAAATTTTTAGCAACGGTAAAATTACTATTGATACAGCGTTGGCCAGACACACCCCCCTTCCGTACGGTAAGCAAAACTTTCTCCCTCTCCACTCTTTCTACCACCCACGTTGTGAGGCACTGGTCTTCCGAGCATCACCCGGAGTACCTTCCACAGACATCTCCCAAAACACAAATCGATACCTCACATCTCGAACGAACAACCACGCAAGAAGCAAGAAAGACACGGAGACAAAATTGTCCGCGGCCATCATCGGTAAGTACTCCCCTCTTCTTCTACTCATCCTTACCATCAAAACACCGACTAGATCTAATATCCGTGAACAGGCGGCCGGAAGCAGTGAAACGTCCACTACCAAACCAGCCGCGGCACCGCAAGCCCCCGAAAGGGGAAAAGCGCTGCCAGCGGCCACGGCAACGGCAATACCTTCAGCAACGGAGGCGCCTGCCAAGGCGTCATCCACCCCGAAAGCAACAACAATGACGGCAGCCCCGACAGCCTCGTTCTCAACGCCCACCTCAACCTCAGCTGCTGGGTTCTTTGACCGAGGCTGCGACGCCCTTCTGTCGTTAAACCATGACGAATTGAAGCCCCTCTTCTTGCACTGAACTTAGGGGCTAGAACACCTTGCGTCGCTCTACCGGTTGTGAAGAAGATCAATCGGATAACAACCGGTGGAGCGGCGTGAAGGGAGGGGAGAGGAGAGACATTGTGGGAAACATAGGAAGGGGGGATGGGCAAGTTGGAAAGACGTGGGAGTCTAGGAATAACAGCACTAGAAGGTCAACAGCCGGCACTTGTTTTGTTTTTCTTGTTTTTTTCTCTCATCATAGACTTCTTTCAATCACGCCCTGACTTCCTATGGGCTACTACATACGTGGCAGTTGCCCGCCCGGCCGAGCCGGCTCGGCCGGCCGGGCTCTGTCAGACACAGAAATAGGCATTTGGAAGTCAGGGCCGTCAATCGATCCTTCTCTCGCACGTAAAGAAAGATCATCAATTTACCACATTCTCGAAATCTGCTGTTCATTGACATGTCGTTCTGGGCAGTGACTGACCGAGTGCGTGTGGCTGAGTTCGTCAGCGGTAGAAGTACTGACAATGACCTCATCAGACGTTATTGAAGAAAAAAAAATCATTACAGACTCAGCGGGCAACAGCCTTGTGCCTGGCGGCGGTTTGTTTTTCTTTCTTTCTTTCTTTCCTTTTTTTTTTTTTTTTTTTCCTCTTTTGGGAGGGGGCGCGGTTGGCGGAAGGCGCGACGAGAGATCCATCCCATCTCAGCCCCGCAGAAGGTGCAAAGGACTCTCTCTGGACACTCCAAAATTTGAACGCAGTACCCCGCTGTCATATGCAAGGAAATGCACATACAGGAAAGGTCGGGCGTTTAACTTCTTGATCATGTCAATTTTCTTGAGTTTAATGCAGATGTGTCGTGTAAGATAGGTGAAAACACACAAGTCATCCATCCACCTACCCGACCCACCAGGCTGGCGTTTAATATGGTGAATCAGTCCTCTGTTGCCTCAAGCCACCTCGAGGATTGCGAATTTACGGATAAACTACATAGTTCTTGCCAATAATTCCATTTTCCTTCATGCCACCATTTTGAAAACTCAGCTGGTAACTCAGAAAATGGCGAGTGCAACAACAACCGACCTAGTTTTTGGAAGGAGTGCGGTTGCTCAACCAGAGATGCGGAACCTACTGACCATGTGAAGCTTTCGCTTCAGAGCTCTTTATAATTTTCCTCGATCGCAATGAACACTTCTACTGTCGGGTGGTGGTTGAGGTCCGGGTCCAGTCAGGTCAGCGTTCTGGTGATGGGGAACAGACGAGGAAGTGACACATCTAGGGTGGTAGTTCTTTCCGTTTCTGGGGGACGGCCAAGATACCTCTATTATCAGCCAAAGTATGGTAGCTCCTTCCATAATCACGCAAGGGCTTCGAGATTAGGAAGAGGAAGTGGACAGGCTCAAAATCACATCGAGTACCTGTACTGAGCCTTCCAACATTACGACCGCGGCGCGTGAAGTGAAGTTGACCTTGCATCAACTTCTTCCAGTCCCGTCTACCGGAAATCACTTTCTCTTCGCAGCAAGCGACCCTCCCAGTCGAACTCCAACTCCTTGCCGGCGACAACTGATCAGAGCACAGCCAGCCACTTCGGGCTCCCACGATGGATCGCCTGGGTTTGGATCCCTTCCTCAACACCCACTTTCGGGATTGGAAACTAGGCCATACCAGTGTCGCATCGGTTGGCGCTGGCGTTCGTTACCACGTCAACAGCGACGGCGGTGTTATTCAAACCTGGCGCCGCGTGGAACGGTTGGGAAGCGATTCTTTTGGACACGTGTGGAAGGAAAGGGGTTTAGACGGGCGCACACTCAACCACGTACGCGTCGTCAAGCAGCTTCGCAAGGACCGGCCCAACTTCATTCAGTCATCACGTCGAGAGCTTTATGCCTTGACTACATTCTCCAAGAGAACAGCGCCTGAGGTAAGTAGCATCCAGTTGGTCTTGACAACCCATCATCGTATTCCGAAGTGAAAGCTTGCTGACCAAAGGACGGCATCGACTTATTCAGCATCACAAACTCTTTGTCCAGCTGCTCAACTGGTACGAGGACCGCGAGTGCTTGTTCTTGACAATGGAGTACGTCAGGCATGGCGATCTTCAACGATACATCGAGATAGGCACAAAGTTCCCAGACCGACAGGCGCCCTTGATTACAGGCCAGATCGCGAGCGCTTTGCAGTACATGCATACCAAAGGTTTTGTACACAGAGATCTGAGGCCCTCGGTACGTAACTGTTGCTCAAGTCCCTCAACTAAGTCTATGGTAAACACTGACCGTTTTGAAACTTGCAATATCAAGAACATCCTTGTCGCTGCTGAAGGGCCCGCATGGAGCGTCAAGCTCGCTGATTTCGGAATTGCCACCAATGTCGAGGATACCTGGCCCTCCAAGGACTACATCCGTACGAGCGGTTACATGGCTCCAGAGATGGTGGACTCGCCACAATACTACACAACTGCCGTAGACGTATGGGCCCTGGGGGCTGTCGTCTTTTGTCTGTTGGTAGGCATCCCGCACTTCCACAAGCTGGACGACATGCTGGGGTATTGTGCGGGAATCAGACAGTTCCCTACCTCAGTGCTCGGCGCTTCAACAGAGCTCTCGATTGACTTCATTTTGAATGCAATGGACCCGGTTCCGGACAAAAGGATGTCGATACAAAAGGCTTTGAACCATAAATGGCTTCACGTCATTGAGGATGCATCAGTTGTGGAACACCGGTACGTACGAGCTCACAGTGATTTGGCTCACCCAGTCTGAGAACATTAATCTGACACTTGATACAGATGTTTGCGATGCTTGTCCCAAGAGTCACTGCCCAAGGTGAACTCTCCTTGGCAATTGTCGACTGCGTCAATTTTACACAACAATGTAGAAAAGCCCACCAAACCACTCCATTCGCCTCTTGTTGCTCAAATTGGGGGATTTCCTGCCATGGCAAGAGATACATGCATGGTATGCCACCAGAGATTCCAGGCGCGGAATGAGCTGTTCGACCACCTGGAGAAAAAAGGACATACGGTTGATCCGGTTTCAAGCCTCATTGTGCATTTTATGCGACATGGAAATTGTTTACAGGGAGTCAAGAAGCTGAAGCGGCAGCACCGGAGGTCAGAGCGGCTGAAAGAGCAGAACCAACAGAGAGAAGAGAGGACGCGAGAGTATGGAATCGCGAGGCAGTGGTTGCTAGACAAGATACAGAACTGCAACAGCCAACCCCAGAGAGACTTTACGGAGAGCACCCTGTGGAGACTTGAACAGCAGAAGGAAGAAGATCACCGGAAATACGTGGAAACGGAAACGCTGCGGATGGCGAAGGGTCGATCGACATGCAAATGCGAACTGTGCGGACGGACCTGCCACAATATGTGGAAGTTAATGAGGCATAAGTGCCTTGAACACGGTATGGAATTTCGAGATGCCGAGGACACGACAATTATGCGCCTGAGCTGGAGATGTGGACGTTTGAGTCTGGATGGGCAGGGTTGCCATCTCCACAGTGCTTAGGTACATATCCCTTACGAGAGGACAGAGAGAAAATGAGAGGAGGGGTTGACCGCTGAAGGTGTTCTTGAGGAAGCCGGGAAACATTGATCGTTCAATCCACTAAGATTGGCTTTCACAATCATGTCTCTTCGTTGCCATGTCATGATTTGGTATTCTTGACCAGCTGATTTTATTTACTTGTTGGCGCGGCGGAGTGATAACCCAGAAGGGGTGAGAGGAAACCCAAGAGCATGTTGGTAACGAGGTTTTCATATGTTTCTCGGCTGTCTGTGTATGGAGCCTGCAACTTTCGTGAGTGAATCGCTACAAGCGACCGGGTATGTCAAAGGGATACTATGCCTGCTTCGCACCTTGGTCTTCATATCAGGGGTAGTGGCCTATACATGATGGTTATGAGCGAGTCTGGTATGAGGGAGTTCTGTTTACCTGTATTCTAGACTTGTTGAGTTATTCGATCTATCAGCTAACATAACTGACGGAACTCGGACTGATAGTAGAGTTAGGTAGTTTACTGGCAACAACTCGTTAGATGCCAGTTCGACTATGTTCGCCATTCGGAGATTCCATTGATATTGTCTGCCAGCATGGTCCTGGTGGCAGTCGTCAAGTAGAACGTCTTTATCTTGACTACCCCGGAGGGAATTTGGAAGTATTGTCTGTGTATAGTAAGCCACATAAGAAAGGTATCTTCAAGATATCTAGCCCTGCCGTTGTTTCTTGAGTTCTTTGATTGCGAGATTCGGTGTTGGTTTTCACCCCTAATGAGATTTTATGCAATGCGGTGGAGGTCGAAGCGACATAATACCGGGTTGGTTGATGTGATGATTGAATAATTCTGCTAGATTGAATGGATTTGTAAGCCTTCAAACGCCTGGTTAACCAGTATATTCCTGAAATCGGGGGTGTTCGAAGGAGGTTGTTGCTGTCTTTTGGGAGAGGGGGTGGTTTACCGATGTGTACCAGCAAGCACTAACAGCTGGGCTACTGCCATACCGAGGCGTATTGTTAGTGTTGATGTCATCGTAATTACAAGCCCTTTGTTACACCACCTGCGGAACAGCGAACCGCCTTGGGCAACCAAACGCAATTTGCGGGACGACTCATTCTACCTATTCTCGATTGTTACCCTCATTTCTTGTGCCTTTTTCTTTGGACAATTGAAGCTTTAAAAGGGCCGTTGGCGTTCGCAGATGAATGGACCAAGTCCTGATCCTTGCTGGGAACTACAGGTATGCATGGGCGTCAACTGTGCGTCCTCTTGCCGCCGGCACAGGCGTTGAACGGAATGGCCTGCCAGACAACCTCGGAAGTGGTTCATCACTCAGTGTCGGACTCTCAATTCAGAGCATCTTGAGTGAACCTCACCAATGTCCCATCTTTTGAAAAGAGTGAATGGAACAAGTGAGCGAGTCGCGTCAGTTGAAACGGGGCTACATTTCAAATACCACGATTTCTTTCCTTCACAACAAGTACCAATCTAGCAACAACAAGAAGCAAATCTCAAAACAACCATGGAGCAATTCTTAGACGCCTCCTTGCGGGGTTGGAGGCTAGAGCTTCAGAGAACAATCCGCGCTGAACCACGGGCGGAGTGGGATGGCATGGACACCATCCAACTCCATTGGCAAACGAACTGTTATTGGCGCACCTTAAAGCGGTTGGGAAGCGGTGCTTTCACTTTCGGAGACGTTTTTCGGCAAGTATGTGAATTGGGAAAATCTCGTCACGAGGTTCGCGCCGTCAAAAGAATCGGCAAGACTCAAGCAGAAAACTTCCTCAAGACGTCGTAGCGGGAGCTCAAGGCACTTGCCACATTTTCCGTCCAAGACGAGCAGAACCGGTCCAAAGTGAGTTTTGTATCTACCTGTCCAGAACATTTTCTTTCAATCCATTGGAAAAGAAAGGTAGCTGATTTCACACTGCAGATTCACAATCAATATGAGCAACACTTTGTTCAGTTTCTCTGTTGGTATGAAGATGACAGTTACCTCTACTCGTCAGGGCTAGAAGCGCCCATTCCCACACTTAAGCGCCTTGTCAGTCTTGGCGCGCTAATTATATTAAGCTGGCTACAACACCGACTTGCTAACGGATTTTGATAGATTAACCAGATTTAACCGTCTTAATCAACGAGCGGTAGCGCGTGCTAACTAATTAAAATTTTATACTAGTTACTTTATTTAATATTAAACATCAAAATGCTTTTATATTAATTGCTCCTAGAATGTAGAGTTGAACGTTTTAGTAGTTTATAATGGATTTATATGGTCGTGTAAGTTAGGATTACTTATAGTAGGTATGTAAAAAAACGGATGTATATTGATTTGCTAACAAAATTGCAGGGTTGGCCATATACCTAAATTTTTTCGCGAATCCATGCACCAGACCCATTGCTGCGTAATGGGTCTGAGAGGCGTTTCTAGCCCAGACGAGTATTTCGCCATGGAGTTTTTGGAGCTCGGCGATCTCCAGCAGTTTATCGATAAGAAGGCGCCGTTCGAAGAAGACGAAGCAGCTACGATCATTCAACAGGTTGCAGAAGCATTGCAATTCATGCACACCAATGATTTCATCCACAGGAATCTCAAACCTTCGGTATATCTCCAGCTTGTCAAGTGTACTGCTCAACACTAACGTGGTTGAATTATAGAACATTCTCGTTGCAAAAGCGTGGCCTGAATGGCACGTGAAAGTCGCCGATTATGGAATCGCATGGGACTTCGGGGGGGCCTCTTTGTGTACGCTCTACGGTGGCACACACGGCTATATAGCCCCGGAGATGCTCGATTTGGCAAACTACACGGCCGCGGTCGATGTGTGGTCGCTGGGGGCTGTGGCCTTCTGTCTACGAACCGGTCATCCTCCATTTTCCACTTCCGAGGACTTGAAGCATTATCGCGCGGGTCAAAAGGACTTTCCGAGCCGTGTGCTGGGCATATCGACGGGGTTCTGTATCGATTTCATCCTGGCGGCTATGCACCCGCTCCCAGAAACGAGGTTGAACATACAGCAAATTCTAGACCAGGAGTGGCTTCACATGCGAGAAACGCGCAGGACTTTGACGGATTCGTAAGTTTCGAGTCCCCTAACCTTTTCCAAGATAATGGACTTGAAATGGAACTCAATCTAACCTGTTATAGGTCGCTATTAAACAAGTCGCTTCCTACGCTGAGCATGGTGAACAGGTCAACAGCCACCAGCAGGGCGCCCACACCCAATACACAAATCCACACCACGCGTACCTGTATAACATGCAACCAATCAAACCCCGCGGATAGCCTAGGAGTCGAGGCAAGGGACGAGAGGATCACGAGGCATGATGCTGTGCGGGTGGACCAGGAGCAGCAAAGAATAAAAGAGGAGGCAGAGGAGAGAGAGCGACAGCGACTGGCTGCCGAGTCAATAAACAGAAAAGCGCCAGATGGACAAAACAAGCGCCAAAGGGAGTTGGCATTTTTCTGGAAGAAAAAGGAAGAGGAGGAGTTGAAGAGACAGGAAGAGCTGAGACGAAGACAGGAGATAGTCAAGAGGGAGGAAGAGGCGGAAGAACTAGAGCGACAAGCGTTGTATCGCCAAGCAGAGCTCGAGCGGGAACGAAAGCAAAAGGAGCTGGACCAAGCACGAGTGCAGCAAGAGCTTTTACAGCAACATCAACAACAACAGCAACAGGAAAGGGAAAAGCGGGCGAGAGAAGAGCCTGAAGACGCGACAGAACAAGAACAAGAGCCCGACGCAGAGAGGATCAAACGAGTTAAGAAAGAGCTCAAAACTACCTGCATGGTATGCGGCGAGAAGTTCAACCATCGTAGGGCGCTGACTTGGCATATGAATAAGTTTAGGCATAGGATGCCCAAGAAACATTGGGGGTCAGGAGGAGGAGTCACTAAGATCACGGATCTAGATGCTCTTCAAGTGCTTATGTAGAGAAAGGGGTTTGTGGAGGAAGAGAAAACAGATGAGGACGTCACCCTTATACATGATACGCTAAACATCACACGGCGCCCTCGATATATCCATCAAACTGCAGGCACGATGATGATATTTACTTCTCACTCTGGGTCCGGAACATCATGGGGCAAACCCGCTTCGTGGTATTGGAAAACTAAGCCACCAGTTGAACGTTAGAATCGACAAGGAGAGTCGGGTTGCGTGCAGCCTGATAAACCCTCGGATAGCACCATCCTCCCAGGTGAGATTCGATGCCGTAAGCGTGGCGTGGAAGAAGGCCAAGAGAATCAAGGTTGTTGAGTGGGAGGCGAGGTCTCTTTGGACATGCAACATGGATTGCCTCTCTTTTTGGTCCCGGAAAGCATTCTCACACTCAGAGTCTCGCTTGACACTCCTCGGTTTCAACCCTTCCTGTTCGCTTTGCTTCAAGTTAAAGCCGACTCTCGGATATGCGACAGCTCATATTACTTGAGATTGTTGAGAGGTACTTTTCCAAAGGATTTCCGTGGTGCCATGAATTAGATAAACGGGTTGGAAATGGCGACCCAGTTGGTTTAACTGAACGGATTTGCGGGGGAGAAACCGCATGACCGGGTTGCGCGCCAATTCATTCGACATGCTGCCGTTCATTCGATTAAGGTTACAAAGCAAAGTCTCTCGCGGGCTTGCTTGGCTTCTTTGCAACTTCTCGTGGGCTTCAAAGAGCGGCTTGTTCCTCGGTTAGATGTATGAAAATCATAATGGCTGCATAACTGCAAGCACTCCGGCCCGGGCTTGTAACATTCGGAAGGTGCTCTCCACCCCAAGCTTCCATCTGCAGAGTATTTAGCTGGGCCTGGTGCGCCTTTTCCTCTTCAACCCAACAAACCTCCAATCGAGTATTTTCCCGTTCATTGCTCTCTCTCATTTCAGGCTGCGCATTTTCCGCTGCGCCGTCACAGCCAAGGGTGTCGATTGCGCGATCAGAAGGAGCCTGTTCAGGCTCGGCTGAAATATTTCCACATCGGGCTTTCAGCAACCAAGCAGTGTACAGCAGAGTTATATTCGCTATCCTTCAAAAGGGTGTGTTCTTGTTAAGTGTGCCTTGGCGCCCATTCACCGGCACTCCCGTCCCTTTCAGTATCGCTGGGCTGCCCTGGTTTTCGTTTCTCTTCTTCCTTTACTACTACAGAATTACTTCTATTTTTCTGTCGTCGCCTTTTCACCTCCTTCACTTTTCGAAGCAATAGAAACACAACCTTTGAGGTTTCTGTTTTTGATCAAGCTTTTGGCCATTCACGTGCTTCTGGAAGGCGCAAAAGAAGCAAACAGTCGCGATCGAGTCGCGTTAGTCAAACAGCGACCACGCGGCCCCAAAACGGATACTCCCCCCTCACGCCCCCAATTTCCCACGCGGCAAACAACAACCTTCATCGGCAAGACCCAAGAATGGAACATCTCTTCATGAACCATGGAAAGCTTTTTGGAGGCCCCTCTGAAGGATTGGAGGATCGGGAGTGCTTCCGATGAACACCATCCAAATGAAAAGCTCCGTCACCATGCAGTTCCCGGAGGCGCTTTTGAACAGTGGCGTCCCATCCACTTGTGGGAGAGGGTGCATTCGGAGAGGTTTATAAGGAAAAGTGCGAACGCGGTTTTCTTCCAGGTAGATTGCGCGCCGTCAAAAGAATCAGCAAAGAGCACGCCGGCTTTCTCATGGCGTCGCAGCGGGAGCTCCAAGCTCTCGCTACTTTCTCGAAGAAGAACGATCCCAGGGTGAGTGGTTCTACCTACCTGAACATAGCACCTACCGTTCGAACGGGAGCAAAAATCCACGATTACTGACCAAATGAGGTTATTGTACCTCTACTTATGGGCAGTATCAACAACACTTTGTCCAATTCCTCGGCTGGTTCGAAGACCCCAGTAATCTGTACATTGCGATGGAGTTTATGCCGTACGGCGACCTCCAGTAATACATAGACGACAGAGCACCTTTCCCGGAAACAGAGGGATCTTTGATTGCGAAACAGGTCGCGATGGGTTTACGTTATATGCACCAAAAAGGCTTCCTCCACAGAGATCTCAAGCCCTTGGTAAGTCTACATATCACCACCCTCACAAATCACAAACTGAGTTGCCAGCCATACATACACTGCTCAGATCTAACACCCCTCTGAAATCCAAGAATATCCTCGTCGATACGCCAGGCCCTGAATGGAAGGTCAAGCTTGCAGACTTTGGCATAGCCAGAAACATCGGCGGCCCTACATTGTACACCCACTACATTGGTACTTATGGCTACATCGCTCCCGAGTTATTCGAATCATCGGATGCGTATACGGCCGCGGTCGATATCTGGGCACTAGGGGCCGTCGTATTTTGCATGTGTACCGGCGCCCCGCCCTTTGAGCAACCGCAACACCTTCTCCAGTATTGTGCCGGTATGAGATGCTTCCCTTCCCAGGTTTTGGGTCTTTCAACCGGATTCTGCATCGACTTCATCCTGGGGACTATGCATGCGAACCCGCGGCAAAGATTGGAGATGGACCAGATCATGGATCACGAGTGGCTCTCCATGGAAAGAACGATTATGAATATGAGTAACCCGTAAGTTATGAAGCCTCCCCAAAGATTTTCAAAGGGCGAAACCCGTTCTAAGTTGGCGCAGATTCACGAAGCATATGTCGCTCCGCTCATTTGACCCTTGGGACCTCAAACAAGCGGCAGCGGCTCTCGACGATCCAGTATCAGCGAAGAAGTTAGAGCCTACTATCGATCCCAGTCTAACCTACCTCGGATGCGAATTAACGTTCTCCGAACGAAGATATCTCTTCTACCATCTCGCGAAAAACCCCGATCACTATCGGGATCTCATGCCCGGAGAGCGTCCGATTGATGATGACTTTTTTGATCCCTTTGGATTCGGAGCGTTGTTTGACCGCCAAGAAGAGAAGTATAAAAGGTCTTGCATGTTCTGTAACGACGACTTCGACAGCCGCGATGCGCTGTTCGAGCACCTCGAAGAGTCCGGGCACGCTGTAGACAAAGGGACGCGCAGGCGCGCACCCGGGTACAAGCGGCCGGAGGTCTGCAAGAAGCGGGATAGAAGCGAACATCCGCACAGAAAAGTGAGGAAGACGATAGCGAAACTGGAGAAATAAAGGGCAGAGTATCGCCTTGTCTTGCAAGAGCAGCGGCGGCGGCAGGAGCTGCAACGGCGTGCTGCTGAACTGAAGCGGAAAGAGGAGCTTCAGAAGCAACAAGAGGAGGAGGAAGAACAATTGCTGAAGCTGAAGCGCGAGGAAGAGGTAAAGCGAAGGCAAGAAGAATTCATTAAACACCAGCAGCAGCAGAAACGACAGCGGGAGTTGGACGAGGCGGAGGCCGAGGCGAAACAACGCCAGGAGGCACAGCAGCGACAGGCCAAGCGAATTAAGACGAACGCTGGTTTTGTTTGCAGGGTGTGCGCCGGTAGTTTCGATACCCGTAGCCAGCTGTTTAGCCATATCAAAAAGGCTAAGCACAGGGCACCGAGGGATTAGGTCGTGGCAACAGCGAGACGGTGTTTACACCTCTAGGGGGCTCAATAGAGTTCAAGTCGAATGCACCAAGCAGAGCTCGAGCGAGCGAGCACAGCAAGCGCTTTTCCAGCGGCAACAGCAGCAACAGTAGAAACAGCAACAGTAGCAGCAATAGCAACGAGAAGGGGAGAAACGGGAATTGTGAGAGAATGTTGGCATCTGGGTACAACTTGCCTGAAGTTGATCAAGAACTACGCATACATGACAGACACGCTTTTCTTGTATGTGGAACGGTGAGAGGTGATCGTTTACCTCAAGCTGATACCGCGCCTCTCTCACGCCGCCTCTGCGTTTCTTCACAACCATGTTAGTCTCTTTTTTTTTCTTCCCCTGTACCAGGAAAAGTTTGTGTTTCTCTACATATTCACTGTCAGGCGTGGAAGCAGCGATGTCAAATATTGAACAACAAAACTAAACACAGTACCAAGGTTTGAGATAGATTTATGTGGTGTTGTAACGAATGATCACGACCTTTTGGTTTTTTTTTGGTTTGGACGTCTCCATCTTGAGGTTGTAAGTGTGAGTGAGTGTCTGTAGGGCTGACTGGGTGGTTGGTTACACTAGGATCGAATCTTCCAGTCTGTCAAGTGCTTGACGCACTTTGAGACGCAGGAACAGAGAGAGGAACATGAGACGGATAGGTAAGGTACCTAGGTACTCGGAGCTAGCATCGTACTCAGGTTCCCAGACGCAATCTCGTGTTAGTCCCGGGTAGATTTGCATGTGTAGACGATGTGCAGGCTGCATAGGTAGGAATCCGGGGTAAGCTCCCTCCTACCACCACCCAACTCCTACCTAGCTCCTAGCTCCTAGCTTTTAGCTGGCTCCCTCCTCGTCAATACGCTAGCCGTCCAGCAAGAGCGTCAGGCCAGGGAAGAGTTACGATCAAGGGTAGTGCTTAGTTAGGTAGGTACCTAGGGGTGTGTTTACTTACTCCCCCGCCTCTCTCTCTGGTCTCGTGTAACTCACCCAGGTAGTACCGCTTCTACTCACTCAAACCGGTTTTGCTCGAACAGATATAGCGCTATCGTTTAGTCCTGATCGCAACTGATCGCATGCTTGCCAACGTGGCGACTCAGATGCTTGGGACGCTTGAGGGGACATATATTGGTGGAGTTGCCAGCGGCATCGCACTCCCGTGCTGGACTTTGCTACTCTCAGTTAGCCCCGGAGCTGGACAGGGGTTGAGTAAAACCGGGTTGAGTGAGTAGAAGCGGTACCTAGAGGTAGGTAGGTAGGCTCAAAGGTATGTATGTAAGTCTCAGCCAATCCCAAGCCGGAGACAAATCCAAAAGGGGTAAACAGCTACCTCTCTACCTACCTCTATCTACCCAAGCTACCTTCTCCCCTAACGTCCCCCCTACCGTCCTCTAGATCCTCAGCGACCCAGGCACCCCGGGAAAACACCAGCGAACGCTACCGACCCAGCAGTTTGGTACCACTAAGTCAGTCCCGGTCCCGTCCGCAACCTTGTCTACATATGTAGTGTATAGTGTAGTGTAGTGTAAAGAAGAACCAACCGGGAAGAGCGGATGCGTTACCGTGGCTGAGAACCGCTTCTGCCGTCTATACAAGGGACACAAGGACCCTTGAGGCACGGCTTGACGAGCGCCTTGACGAAACGGCGCAGCGGCGTCTCCTTCTAGAAGGAACACCGTAGGGACGGCCAGTGCCCAGGGCAGGGGGTATGTAAGCTGTAAGCTGTAAGCTGGGGTTGAGGCTGGGACTGGCGCTTGATTGCGCGCGCCATAGGGCGCCAGTATGTGTCGACACGGCGTTATACGGCGTTAGGAAAAGGGGAAAAGGGAGATTGGGGGCTAGGACTAGGGCTGGCTGGCACGGGTTTGGCGCGGATGGCACAGCTTCTTGGTTCTTATCGTGGGTTTGTGGCACTTGAGCAGTGGTAGGTCTGTAGACGCGGAGAAGACGGGAGGATGTTGCTGTTGTGCTTGTGTTGTCCTTGGACTGGGGAACAGGACCCCAGATGATGATGATGTTCTCCGCCTCTTGACGACAGCCGATAGACGACTTCCTACCCTTTGTGATGATGGGCAACCTGGTTGTGGGCGACGTTAGGTTTGCCCGTATTCGCGCTTATCTTTTCTGCTTGACTTGCGATTCGTCATTCTGAAAAATCATGCCCCAGAGGAAGCTCATCGCCTGGGCAAATTGAGTGAGTGATCTTTCATAGCGGTTCGACCAGACGGAAAACAGGAATCATCCAAGTCACAAGATGAGAGATATCCCGTAGTCTCCCGTGCCCTCACGGAATATCTTGGATGCTACGATCCGTGCCTGCCCGGCCCCGAAACGGAAGACGGTATGTCTAGGCATCCGAACACCAATGAGCTCTGCAAAACGCGATTTTAGGGGTCCTGGGGGTGTTTTTGTCCCGGCAGGCTGGGGAAACACCCATTTCGAAGATGACGAAGCAAAGAGTGTGCTTGGTGGTTGGTAGTACACGCGGCAGGTGTCTGGGGCTGTCAAGTAATCAACAATTCCATATTCGGCGTTCGGGGTTACAGACCGATCGGAGACGGCATGAAAAAGGGCGCCGAGTCATTTCTGTTTTCCGCTTCCGAGTGCTCAGCGTCGTTTCGGACAAGGCAGCAATATTGTAAAGGGTACGTGTGAGTGCTGACGTGGGGATTGGCTGACATGCGAGGAGCTTCTCGTGCTCGGCTGTAACCCACCGAGTTCGTCACCACCCTTGTCTCCGACTCATCTTAAATCCGTGTCCCCACGGGAGCTGGGGGTACATACCGGGACATTGCGGTTCTCAACGATGCTTAAACTACCTGGGTTTCGTGGTAACGGTGACGATTGACATATAGAGGATTGAGAAGATAATGCTGATTTTTCAGTGAACAGTCCTACCCTCGGACGATCTGCATATGGGACCAGACACAGAGTGATATGTATCACTTGTCAAGTCTTCTTGTCATGTTGATACTGAAAATGACACTTGACATCCCACTCCGCAAACCCCTTGTTTCTCCATTCGGTACTTGGGCAGCACGTCAACCTTTTCAACAGTTGCACAGCCCCGAGTTTGTCAGCGGCAACGTTGAGTTTTGGTTGGACAGCATCGCATCATCTCTCCGACTGGCGATTGCGGGATGCGATTTGGCGATATCTGGTAGCGACTTTGATACGACGCCAGCGGATGACGCATCGGCCAGCCCCTTTTGAGGGGTCTATGTAGGGGGTGTCGTTACGCAGGCTCGCAGGTTAACGTTGCGTGCGGTGAACTTTGACGAGAGTTAGGTAAGCTTCATGTTCTTGGCTTGCCAGGCTCCCCTCTATGGATTTCTCTTGGTTGTACAACGAGCAGCAGATCCGCAGTGACTATCTTCAAGCTTACGGATACAGCCTTCGCAGCGGTCAACCTTATGGGTCGTTGACTTGTTGTTCTGCTAAGCCACAGTTGCCCGTATCGCCGTTGAGCGAGTCTCGGCTGATAAGGCTGTTGCCGTTGAAGAGAATCAGCTAGATACATACGTTGATGGGGAAAGGACGGTGAAGCGAGATGATCTCCATTGGGCTGAGACTTCCTCCGCATTCCACTTGAGTGAGAGCGGATTGAAGTGAGAGTTCCGATCCTTTCGTCCCGACTTTATCGCTCTTTCCTCCTCAGCCCTATGAGTGGGGTCCAAGTAAATCGTCCAATGACAAAGCTCACAGTGATCCCGTCTCTTCAAGCTCCGACTTGGCCCGCGCTTGCAAAAGCTCCGCCAAAAGCTCGTCGTGCACTGGCCATCTGTTGCGCAAAGAGGAGCACTTTTGGCTTGTGGCAGGCACAGAGCGGGGAGTTGTGCAAGGCTTCGCGCCAGGCCAAGTGCCCGCCCACTCCCGTCGCTTCCACACTTGTCACGGGTTGAAAGCCGAGGCGATCCTTTCGCTCCCCCCACACAACAATTCGGTTTCGAGGGAAAGAGAGAAAAAAAAACAGATGAACGGCGGGTTTCTTTCCGTGCGACTCATCGGCGCCCCGGTTGATCACGGCAGCATCCACTCCTTCCGCGGCGTCCACTCTCACCCACGAGTCCCGTTCATGGACTCAGCAGTGCACTCACATCACTCCCCTCACCCCCCGTGGACACACACTGCGACTGACAGTCAGCGTGGGTTTCGGCGTTACGATCGCGGTCCCGAACTATAATTTCCAGGCTGCCAGGGCAGGCTTCAAGCTTTTCCTCCCGCCACCGATGCTCGTCGCCCACACAACGGAACCGGCGATGTAATGTGCACAAGCCTGTGATCGATAGATTGTGTGTGTTTCGCATGATGGCATCCTTATGTCTCTGTGACAGGGCACCTCATGGAAGGATTAGATTCAAGCTTTTTTGTTCGCTTCAGGCCGTGCAGCCCCGTGCTTGCTTCTCTTAATTGAATTCCTTCACCGCCTGCGGATAGGCGCAACGGCAACTGACATGACAACCAAGGCTTGTCCTGGCTACAGTAGTAACAGGTAACAACTGTGCTGCCAACTGAAATTTGCTGGTGGCAGTGCCTGGAGTACGGAGCCATCGATTGTTAGGTCAAAAGAGGAAATGGGAAGCGTGTACGAAAAGTTGAACCAAAATATCCCTTTCGTACAGAGTTTAGTCCTAGGGGTTTAATTGGGGCTTCGGTCAGCAGACCAACAACGCATCTTGTTTTCTTTGCTGGCCGAGGTGTAAACAACGGGAGTATAAGCGAGGCTGTTGCAGTGCCTCAATTTCCAACGGTTTAGACCCCTCAATGTTGTTTCTTGACGTGGAGCTGTTAGTGTCGGGTGCTTGCGACAGCTTGATACTCGTCGGTTAGGTGGGAACGCTTGCAGCCAGCCAACCAACTCTCCTCGTCCCTCTGAGAGTCGGCTTTTTTACTTGTATCTTTCAAGCCGTATATCTTTCAAGCTTTGAAGGAATCCCTCAACCAAAATGTAACCAAACCATGTGCAAAGACATTCATTCGATACGTCTCAACTCGGGCTATCTATCGGTACCCGAAGCGATTCGTTATTTTGGATTGTTATTGTTTTTTTCCATTGCAATTCTTCTTCATAGTGATCCGTTACTACTTGCTCGAGGGAGGGTTAGGGTTGTACTAATCTCAGTGCTGAGTTCAACACTGAAGTCATTTGGACATTTGGGACTGTGCAAAAACATTCGTTAGAAACGCAAAGTATAGGTTACCTCCCATATGTCTTCTTGAGTTAATTGTACTTGAAATGGTGGTGTTGTGGCTGAAAGTCTTGAAAGATACACCACTTGAAAGATATAGGTAAAAAAGCCGACTCTCAGAGGGACGAGGAGAGTTGGTTGGCTGGCTGCAAGCGTTCCCACCTAACCGACGAGTATGACTTTGCTTGTTGGTGTTTTGGTGTTGTTGGCTGCTTGCCTGATCGCTGAGGTGGCCCGCCTCGAGCCCGCCCAACCTCATCGTCATCTCCTTGCATGAGGTGTGCCCGTAGCCAGGCACCGCGATGGCTCCGGGTCTCGCCTTGAACATCAACATTTTTTTTTCTAGCCGCACAAACTAGTGTCGCAGATTCCCGTAGAAACGGGCGGAGGTAAAGGAAACCCACAGCCTAGAATCCAAAAGTGGGAATTGGGTACCTGCAAGAAATTTTTTTCTCATGGTTTTTCGCACGCGGATGGATCTGTTGGGATACCCTGTCGATGTTGAATTAGGAAGTCGGGAATGCACCGGAAAGTTTGGAACTGTATGGTAGATAAGATAACGCAGTGAGAACGCCACGTCGCGAAAGAAGCCGAGTTGCAAAGTCATGGGATTATCTCGGAGTTTCCAAGCTGTCAAAGAGGAATTTTCAGCTTCAGCGGGAAATAGCATGCATGAATATGGTATTGTATTGCTTAAAAATCAGGATAATGCGTCAATCGGTTTGAGGATTGTGAAATTTGCAGAGCGGCTTCTCTGATGCCTTTTTGCGAAATGACAACCAGAAAGACGTCGCTGAGAATGGAAATCCCCGGAAGGCATCCACGATAGGAAGTGTAGTAAGCAAATGTACCTCTCTGATCGGGACGGTGATTACAAACCACCTTAACTCCGTCGGTTCCATTCACAACCATCGTGACAAAGGGACGCGGGGTTTAGATTGGATTCTTGAAACGGAAACAAGGCCCAACCACAGATTGATATCAGATTTCGTTTCAACAAATGTACGTGATGAAGCTTGCAACGTCGGGGCGCACATGATTGACAGGAGCCAGACCGGTAGCGTGCCCGAGCGGTGGAGTTTACAAGTTTGCAAAAGTTGCGGCCAGACAAAAGACAAGGAGGAGACGGATCAAAGACCGAGGGGCGGCGGCCGAGCCCCCGTCCTAACTCCAAGCATCCAGAGTTCGGATCGTGAAATGTGCGCTTCACCGCCGCCGACGGACAAGTCTCAGGTGTCTGTTGGAAAGGGCGGCGCCAGGGCGTGTTTAAAAGGCCGAACCACCTCAAAGTGCAACACAACAGGGGGGTGTACTGAAGATAGGTACCTGGGGTACGTACCGCCGCCCAGGTACGTACCTTACACAATCTCCAAAAGTCGGCTTGACGGCTTCTCGGTTTTTTGTCAGCTGCTGCTGCGGATGGACGCATCACCCTTGTGCTGATGACCTTGCGGTGTCTGGAGTGTCTCGAACCCGAGAAAGCACCCCAACGAAGGGTCAGACTGAAGGTTTACAAAAGGAAGCACATCCCCATGATGCATCGTCAGGCTTCGCTCCGGCTCCTCTGTTTTGCTACCATCAACATCTTTTGTGATACGCCATTCTAGTGTGAAACTTTTGATCACCAAGTGACCTTCGAAAGCCGGCACGAAGCCACGCAAGATTCCACTACTGCAATCACGGATTCCACTCTCAGGCTCCGTCCTCACAGTACCCGTCTTTCACTATCCACTCACACGCTGGACGAGACTCGTCGCGACTGCTGTCGTCTTTTTGAGGACTTGCTCTATCAAGACACACCCCCCACCCCCGGTCCTAGTCCGCCTGCCTGAACGCCCACGCCCACGCCCACGCCCTTACACGCCTTTACACGCCCTTACCTGGCGGGCCCGCAATCGGCTTGACCCCTGTCTTGAGTCACTCGAACCAAGAACCGAGACGCGAAAACGCACCAAGCCAAATATTATTAGAGAAAAGAGCTCCCCCCGATTCTGCCCTCCGAGGAAAGAAAAAAAGAACCATGTCTTCCACAACAACACTCACCGCAACCACAACACCACCACCATCGAGGCCACAACTATTAGGCACTCTCTCTACCAGTGCATCGACATATCCTACCACTACCACTACTACTACTATTCGCACTTCATTCATCAAGCCCAACAAGATGTCCATCACACAAACATACTACCTCGCCCACAAGGCAAGGGCAAAGCTTTCTTCGGAAGCTGCCCGCCCCGATCACAACCTCCGCCTCCTGGTCGGACACGCCAACCTCCTCGACTCGCTGATGGTCGAGCTCGCCGATGCCGAGAGGGAACAAGAATCATGGTTCAACCAATCCGTCCGCGGCGCCTCTAGCCGCAGCGAAGAGCGTCACATCCAATGGGCCGACGCGGTGGTCCACGAGCCCGAGCACGACTGGCAAGCCGAGGACGCCGAGTACAGCGACTCGGATTCCGATTCGGACAGCGACCTGAGCGAGGACGACCACGAGGAGGACAACGAGGACGAGGACGTCGAGATGGCCGATGCCGTCCCCCTCAGGAGGATACCCTCGCACAGCAGTGGCAGCCTTCACCGGTACTCGATGCAAGCGCCGCTGCACCAATTCTACAACTACAACGACGACGAAGACATGGAGGAGGACGTCGAAGACGACGAGGAGGACTACACCCATCTCGCCCTGCAGAGGAGCCCTTCGCACTCTGCGTCGCCGCCAGAACTCGATCTCGACTCGGACTCTTCAGAAGACGAGCACATGCCGCCTTCGCCGCCCACCACCATCCTATCCACATTCACATCATCGACGTCGCCCAAAAAGCAAGCGGGAGAGCAAACAGAAGACGACGAGGAAGATCAACAAGAACAAGACAAGGACTCCTTTTTCACCCACAACCAGGGCTACTACCTACCAAGCCGTGGTCCGACACTTGTGTCGACGATAGGGGTGTACTAAACACTTCACCACACACACACATTTCCTTGTTCTACAATGATTCCTCATTATCTTGCATAGCACTCTTCTGCATTGGGCACGGCGTTTTACATTTTGCATTTTCTTTTTACGATGATACCACATTTCATTTGGCATGCATCGGGACACTTGGGAAGATTGGATTGGATCGGATCGGATTGGGACTATCGGGAGTTTCTACCATCATCAAGCGACAGCGTTTTTTCACATCATCATCGACCAGACTTATGTTTGTTCTTTTTCTCTACTCTCGACATCACTACTCAATAATGGTCTATATTTTTATGGTGGCGGAATGGGAATGGGGAAACGAACAAAAAAGTTATAGGGCAAATGGCAATTGGAGCTTTGGGCATTTTTCACTCTGGAACTCTATTCTTGCTATCGCGCAATTGTTGTACTGTACCCGCTCCATCACCACGGCAGTGTGGTGTTTTGGTTGAGTGGGGATTAAGGGTATGGATGGGGAAGCATGATCTCATAGCTATCGGTACTTCGCAGCTCAAACTGTGTTTCGGGACAAATAACAGCGAACTTTTTCTTCGGAACCAATTGTGCAATCTTTCCAATCGTGCCAACGTCTTGTCTTCTATGTCATGATGATGATGATCAGTGATCAATGATTGATTTACATGCGGCTTGCGATTTGCGATACATAACCGCAAATGGGGGAAATAGGACGGGGATTGATTGATCTTCGGGGGATCCGATGGGGACAAGAGTCATCTCAGTTACAAGCCGATCGGTGTAACGGTTTGGGAATCGGGGTCGGTAAGTGGCTTGCAAAACGCCGAATAAATCATCTTTCATCATTCTTTCGAAAATCAATCAATCATCATCATTTTTGTCAGTACAAAGAAACATTGATTTCCAATCCTAGCGACAATCATCTTTGTTTTGGGTATGCGACGGTGTGTGTGTGTGTGTGTGTGAATCGCAAACAACTCAATCAAGGGTATCAGTCCCCTTCCGTCCCTTCAAGTTCCGATTCTTCCCATTCAGAGTCACCGTCACCGTCCTGTTTTCTTTCCCAACTTCCTCATGCCTTCATGTACCTACATACATGTCTTGAATCATATCCATCCGACCATTCTGTGTGGTTGATAGAAATGGCCGATTATCGGAACCGTCTCATACCTACCAACGCTGTGTATCGCATAAACCGTCACACAGCACAGCTCTGCACATGATGACAACTTGACAGCTTCCTACCTACTGTAGGTACAGCTGTGTAATGCACAGCCAACAGCTATAGCTCCGTCCCGTAGTCGCAGTCAGGCCTCGGTGCTTCTGGCTCGACGACTGACGACGGAAGACGACGGAGACAACCACAAAAAGCCAAGTGCAACATCTGCCTTCTTGTCACTGGGCACGACTGGCATGACTGGGCACCGGCAACCTTCTCCGCACTTAGTACGCCGCACTTAACAAATTGCGTTTCGTTATCGCCGGCGGGTGCATCGTGAAACTCGGAGTCGGAGGAGCTGTGGCGGAGCTGGGAGCCTGAAAGCGAAGTGCTAGTGAAGTGCCAGTCAGTGATGCACAATACCTAGTGTCACAGTCCCCCCATCTCCGTGATAACCTTGATAAGCTGTGGGGACTGGAGAAGAGGCGAAGCGTAGTTGTAGGTCAAGCGAAGACAGGTATTTTTTAGATGGGGCATATGACAACAGCCCAGGCTGCCCAGCAACCCCCAAGCAAAAGGCCAAGAGAAGTAATACGATAATCACAAGTGTCAGAAAAGTCAAAAAGGTGTCGACGATAGGGCGCGCGATCTACCCGCACATCTCCATCGCGTTATCGGCGTTTATCGGTAAGGTTTCGCTGTCGCGTATCTTAACAGGAAAAAGTGGTGATGTCAATGGAGGTCATCCATGATTCTTAGGGGTCCCTCCTCTCCAATCCTCTTCCGCTTCTTCCCCCATATTGTGGATTTTACTTGTCACCGTTAGATGGAACCGTTAAAGTTGCCGCACAACATACTCCTGTCATCGATAAGCAGGAACAAGTTGGACCCTGCCTAGATAGTATGGTCTTTGTAATCGCAGAACCCTCGGCCTTCCAGGCAGCGAGCGACTGGTAGGTAGGTAAAGTGAGGGAGTGTGTGTGTCACTTAGACGTGGACCGCCCCGAGTTGTGTGTTTCCCGTCGCTTGTGTGTTTGAATCAAGATGATTCAGATTCCCAAATTCGGCCGGTTGATAGGTCACCGGGTTCCGAGGCACCGAAGGGACGGTAAACTACAAGTAGGTAACTATCGTGAGTTTCTCGGTTCGCGGAAGTCGGTAGAGTCGGTCTGATTCATAGCGGGCTATTACGGGCGGGACGACGGGACTGCCTGGTTTGGGGAGGGGTACACATAGGTACTAAGAGGAGAAAGAGGGGGTGTGAAGGTTGATAAGATAATGCTAGACTAAGGCTAGAGCGAATGTGGAAAGCGAAGAGATGAAAATCCGGGGAGACAAGGGGGGGGAAGGGTTTGTACGAGCGCGGATCTTAGCGCCATGCTCGCTTGATTTGCGGTAAGCAACAAGGCAGGAGATTAGTGAAGTGCTAGAAAAATTCCCGGCCTTTGTTTTTCTGGGCGACAAACTTCTTTGAGATCAGAGCTTGTGAGAACTATGCCCCCTTTGGGTTTGAGGTGTTACGATCCAGGCACAGCTAGGTGGAAGGCACAAACGTCAAATGGTTTTGGAACATGTCAACGACTTCCTGCATTCACACCAAGCCGGGAAGCTCTTGCGTGATGGAGACTCGAACTTCGCGGAGATCTGGACAAGAGGTTGGAGAAGATCGCACTAGATAGAGCATCTGTACCAAGCAAGGAAGGTGAGGAGCAAGGCAAGGCAAGGTCAGGTACGCGTAACGCTTCCGTCCGGGGAAGCAGTACGGAAAGGTACCTAGTGCACAACGTACAGCGAATGCGATGCGCATGTGAGCGTTGAAGTTTTTAAAGACGGATAACGTGATGCTTCTGTTCCCCGCAAGCCGTTCCAACTTTGCTGGGATTTTTCACATCTTCTTCAATTTGAAACTCGAATTCAAGATGAGGAGGTATGGTCACGCAGGAAAAGAGACTCATCGCATAGCGGAACCCGCTAACCCGCACCGCGATTCCAAGCCGTTCATGGTAAACAATCTGTTTCTTTGACGCTATCTGATCACAGGGCGGTTCTTTCATCCGCGGGCGCTACCGGATGTTCCAGGCGGAGCTCTCTCACTTTCAGGAAGACTGCCCGATCTTCAGCCCCGCACCTACAAGCGCGGGGTAGGTTGTAGCAGCGGGAGCCGTAAGCGCGTTCCGGCACGGTATCACGGACTACGGAGAAATGTCTCATGAGCAATGAAACGCAGTTATCGAAACACGGTGAAGAAGCGGTGCCGTCGACCGTCGGCAGCCAAGCCGGCTCTTGCGGCGGCCGCGGCTCCTCGGCGGCGCCCGGTCATTGGACAAGGGAAGGAACCACTTCCGGACGGCCCCTCCCCTTACGGCCCCTCTTCCTCCGCCAATACGACTTTCCACCAACTTATGCACCCCATTCGCCAGGTTGTACGCGTAACAATTTCACCGAGCGAAGCGACGCAGAAAAGTATCGTGAGGTGAGTGAGCTACGCCCATCTCAGAACGGAAGCTTGGGAGGAGTGTCTTTAGCCAAAAAGGCCCAGCCTTTTGGCACAAAGATTGGTGGCTGGCGTGGCTGCCAGTTACGGTTCGGTTGGCCGCCGCACGTTCGGAGATTGCGGCAGCAGAGATATTGAACAATCAACAAACAGCGGAGAATGGAAGTTGTGCGATCACCGTGATGCGATGCGGTATCGGTCAAGCTGGATAAACGGCTGGTTACCGTATCCTGACCGTTCACTCACCAGTCGGCAGGGCGAAACAGTCTGGGATGCGAAAGCGAGGTGAGCTGAACGACAACCTCAACACAATGGGACAAAAAAAAGAACGAGCATCGCATCAACCAAACGGCACAAAGAAATTAAGACAAGACAAGAGAAGGAAAATGCAAACGCCGATATAGGAACCAGCCATCGCACGTTTCGCTCACAAAGGAAAAAGGGATAATAATTGGTGAGTTCGTTCAAAGGCCCCAGACTGCCGGCGTCAAAGGCCGCGCCGAAACAAACAATGGGCTCACAAGCGACCTGTCAACCACTGTGCTGGTGGTGGTGAGGCTTCGCTTCAGCGCAAATCAAGCCCCTTGGCGACAACCACCCGACTGTTTTGCTTCGCTGGCACCCCTGAAGCGCCCTGATCTGATGTTGTAGGAGTTGAAGGCTCTCAACCGAGAAACAAAGCGTCCATTTGATTGGATATAGATCATCGTGATGAGATGATCAATGACCGCCTATGAAAACATCAGGACAGCGGTTCAGCAGTGAGCAAACTCGCTTCTGTATCAATGCCATCTGTTCAACAGCTGCTTTGTACGGTTTCAGTGGTTGATAGCAGTTGTCGACTCCCAAAACACTGCACTCCGCCTTTCTGTAGCCGTAGGCACATGTCCAACATCCAACATCCGATCCCTCCTCTAGAGTTTTACAGATTAGCGGACTGTCACTGGAGATGCATCTCGGACGATCCAGATCCCATACCGACTTTTCGGCTTCGTATCCGGTAAACCACCAATGAAGTCAAGACAACTCATACAATGCTCTCAACAGAGACACACATGAACCGTACGTGAGTTTGAGGTTGGTGGATTCTCTTTGGTTATGGAAACAAAAGATGAGCAGAGGGCTGTGGTTAGCGAAGCAGCTGATAGGTACCTGTACTGTAAATCGTGGGGTTGGCGGTTTGGTTTAGGTGGTTTGTTGCTGTGCTGTGCTGTAGGTCATGTTGAACAGAGGCTGGGATTCCCCAGCTTTTGCCCATTGTGAACCAAACACAGGAAGGTATGAGCGGTGCACAGTTCAAGAGGCAAGAGCGAATGGAACGAACCTGTTGATCCCGTCAGTGCGGACAGTCCCCCCCTTCCTCAGTCAGGAACGGGGAGACAGACGTTTACTTTGATTGAATCAGATCTCAAGATCTCAGCTCGAGCTCCAGGTAACGAACGCTTCACATTTCTCGCCTCCCTCCCCCGTATTCCCAAGTCAGATCTTGAGATCACAGCCTCCGGCATTGATCCCGAAGCTACCAAAGATAGCAGATCCAGCGATCCAGACCAGCGTTGATCGCGGTTATTTTCAGGGGAAAGAGAGGCTGTGCGGTTTCAATCTGTGCTCCATCTGCTCCACGACCCAAGATAAGATAAACTCCGATGCCCTAACAGCTCCGCGGGAAAGTTCGTAAAGCGAGAATGAGGATCATCGCTGTTGATGTCTTCTTCTAGGTGTCAAACTATCAGCATTGCCCTGCAAAGAGAATCCCGTTGTTAGGGACACTGCACTGCTCTGGTGGGTGCGGTGTAGGTGTATAGAGAGCTCCAAATCAGAGACACAACCACCAAGCAAAAGCGTCAAGGTTTCGTTAACGGTCAGCGGGAACTAGGAACTAGTACGGGGGTTAATAAGGTAAATACGGGGTGCAGAAAAGGGAGATGCACAACAACAAAACAGGGGGAAAAGAGAGCCGCGTGACCCCAATGTCGTTAGAACATCAGCGGTCAAAGTCCACTGTTAGGGGACTCGTTACAGTGGAGACGGGGTGAGTAGTGTTGACATTTTGCAAAAGTCCACTTGTGGATTGATGATCATCTTTGCCTCTGTGAGTGGGTTCTGGGTTGTGGATGGTGGTGGGTAGTGGATACAAACAGCCAGATCCATTGTTGACACTTGACATATTCTCCATTGATTTTCCTCCACAATGGAGATTGGTGATGTTCCAAAATCCACTTAGACTACTGATCCTCGTTCTCTGAATTTGTGGTACTTGAGCCTCTTCGCTCCGCTTTTTCGTCTGTTCGGAGTTTACTTGGCGGACGAAAGACAAGGACATGGAAGAAAGAGACGAGGATTGGAAGATTCGTCCCCTTTTTGTTTACCTTCGTCCCAAAAAGGGGTTTGGGTTCATGGTTTTCTTCGCTAAAGCGGGTTAAGCTTAACTCTTTTTCTCCGAATCGGATGCAAACCTTCATTTTAATCTCGAAGCCAGAACCACCAAAAACCCTTTAACAAACCCCAGAGGTCAAATTCTGCCGAATCGTCATCTGAACCGGAGCCAAACCAAACCAGGCTTTGGGTGCTAGCCAGGGTACAGTCCCAACTCACCGGGACAACTCGGCGGTCGGTATTAGTGTCGGTGTCGGTGTATTGACCTTGTCCGACCGCCGGGAACGGGGTTACGGGGTCAATTACCATACCGTTGCCCGTCCCGTTACCGCTTACTTACCACTTACTAGGTTTAAAGTTTAAACTAACAGCACGCTATTCTAGAGGTATTATATTGACACTCCCACCCCCTATATCGGAGTGGAAGATCCTCAAGGATTACAATACGCCGTGAGCCGTTGGTAGATCATCAACTTCTCCCTGTCCAGTCCGGCCAGGTTCCGGATGGGAGGCATGGGAGGGTGTGTAGGTAGCTCAAGGGCGGAATCAAGTCCCGTCATGAGGGATAGGGGGAGACGCGGGGGTAACACTCACCTATTCACCTACTTTATTTGTATCTACTTGATCCATACCTTACCTTACCTTACCGCCATGTTCCAGACTTCCAGGCGCGTGTAGTGCACCCAGGAGGTCAGGGGAGGTCAGGGGAGGCCAGGGGAGATTCGTGATAGTTCATGAGATGGCGTGCGATGGTGTGCGGTAGCGGTAGCAGTAGCGGTAGCGGTAACCGTGGATGGTGTTTTTCAGATGAACTCCGAGATCTTTCCGCCAGTTTAGTACGGAACCGGTGAGCCGGTTGCATCTTGTGCTATACCCGCTCCCAGGTTACCACATGCAAAGAGGATCTGGGGTTAATGGAGTCAAGGAATGTGAAATCCGGAATCTGGGCTTAAGCCCGATGTTCGGTACGGTATCCTGTCTTGAAACTTGGCGTTGAACATGAGACCTTTCCTCCGTGAGACAGACTCGGGACGGAGGTGGCTTTGAGCTGGGAGGCTTTGTGGCTTTTTGGTTGGCTTGACGGGGCTGTCAAAGTCGAGACATATGATCTGGTTTGGTGTCGAGGGGTAGAAGTAGCTGATGTGGCGAGTGAACTTGAAAATCCGGGGTTGAGACAAGGTGCTGGATTTACGTTGTTGTCTTGATTATTCCCATCACCGGAGGGCCTGGTTTCGCGAACATGTGAAGGAAAGCACTGCCTTTGATATCTCGATCTTGAATCCGAGTGTGATTGTCCTGCTGCCTTTGCAACTCATCGAAAACCTTGGAAGGATGGATATCTGATAAGAACACCTCCGTTCCAAGTTCCCGGTTTTTGTTTCGGGATGTCTCGATGGGAGGTGATGTGTGGTCCCGATCACATGCAGATGCCAACACTTCCCACATCCAGTCCACGGATAGCGCACCCGCAAACTGCCAAGTCTTTTATGCACCGGCAGACCGGCGAGTAAACTATTCCGGGCGAACGACGGTCTCGGATATTTTCCCCACACACTAGGTACTTTGAAAGAGGTAAGGTTGGAGATATGTATGATGATGGCGATGCCGGTCACAGGATTGTTATCAACGTTGCTTGGTTGAGGAAAGGCGGTCAAGTTGGACATGACGGAGCTGCAGGGAGATTATCTGAGCATCGCTCGGTATGCATCGGCACCTTAGCTACCCGTCCACAATTGTGACTTTGACACCCACCATCTCGGATTTAAGGTGACAGAGGTGTTGGTGAGTCGGACGGGTGTGTCCTTGCATGTTGACGACATGGAGGGGTGTGAACCATTACCGTCCACTCCCACCTTGAATGCCCGCCTTTATGCAGTGTTTCAGTTCTTGCATCGTGATCACAACTGAATGGGAGCTTTCCCAAAAGGATGTGTTTGTGGTTGATACTGCTCCGATGTTCGGCCGGTTTTTTCCCGCGGAACCATGAAGCTTTGGGAGACGGAGATCCAAGGAAAGAATCGGGACAGTGACTCGGGTCAACACGGGAGATTTCGCGTGGAGGCAGACAACCTTCAATTTTTGGGCTGGGTGACCGAGAAGTCAAAATCCGATATCGAGAAAACCGGCTTTTGTGCTGGGTGAAAGCTGTTAAATGACCTCTGTACCTGAGGGGTGCTGTGCAAAAGCCGCGCCATGTGGTTCAGTCATTTTATCGTGATGTTTCAGCCTTGTAGAGGGAATCCGTCAATGATACCTACACTATTTTGAAGATGTTGTCGGATGAAATAGGGTCTGCATGGCAACCCACAATCCACATCCGCAGAGGGGATCCACATCGTGGAGAGTGGATTATCGTGAATGTCGCGGTGATGGATGCGGAATAAGCAACTCCGATGGATGTCGATGTCGATGATGACATTGGGAAAGGGACAGAAACCGCCCGCGGAATAACGGTACATCTACCTCGTACACCTCCACCCTTTACGGGACCTTTGGTGATCGGCCGCGTGCCCGTTGAAAAGGCCGAGCTGCCGCACTGCGTGGAGTCCGGGAGTGCACGGGCGGAGTTGGGCAAAAAAATCTCGGAGATGCGGGACCAGCGGGGCTCCGAACATGCCGAGTTCTAGTGGGAAATGGAAGCTATGGAGCTATGGCCACCGACTCCCGTCCAGCCGCGCTCCCCACCCCACCCGTGGGCCGTCGGGAAAAAATGGAGATTGCTTCAGTGTCACGACGTCACTGTTCACCTTCATCTCATCCACTGCCCCCCGGGTCGTTACGGAAACAGACATTGACCTTGACTCCCATCTTTCCCCACGTCCCACCCCCGGTCACGACTGCATTGCTTGACCACCGACTTCCCACAAGGCTGAGGAAGGGCACCACTGCAGCAACCAACCATGCAGCCGGCTACCAGATCGATAGCCGTCGCCGGCCCGGCCTCTGCGGCCTTGCGCCACCGGAGCGCACGCACAGCTACCACCCCTTTCGTCTGTCTTGGCTGCCGGTCCGTGCAACGCCGGCAACAACAATGCCGACCATTTTCGGGCACCGTCTCTACACAAACGGATCTTCGCTCCGGCCTCACAAAACTCACATCCCGGCGCTTGATCTCCGTCTCCGGTCCGGATGCCTCCAAGTTCCTCCAGGGTGTCATCACCAACAACATCAACGCTCCGCACAATGCCAATGGCTTTTACACCGGCTTCCTGACAGCCCAGGGCCGTGTAGTCCACGATGTCATCATCTACCCGGATGACCTGGGCCCGGAACCAGGGAAGCAGAGCTTCTTGATCGAGGTTGACGCCGATGAGGCCGTGACACTTCACAAGCACATCAAGCGCTACAAGCTGCGTTCGAAGTTCAACTTGAAGCTGCTAGACCCAGAGGAGCGTGCTCTCTATCACACATGGAACGACGTAGACCAGTCCGGGCCTTGGAGTAAGCTGGTCGAGGAGGTTCAAAAGGACGGTAACGCGAGGGCTGTCCCGGACCCGCGTGTTCCAGCCTTCGGCTCCCGTGTGATCATCAACCAAACAGCCTCTTCCTCGCCACTAACAAACGCCGACCTGACACCCGAGTCATCTTACCATCTCCGCCGTTACCTCCTCGGCATCCCCGAAGGCCAGTCCGAGATCATCTCCGGCACTGCCCTCCCTCTCGAGTCCAACATGGACGTCATGAACGGCATCGACTTCCGCAAGGGCTGTTACGTTGGGCAGGAGCTTACCATCCGCACCAAGCACCGTGGTGTTGTCCGCAAGCGCATCCTTCCTTGCATTCTCTATTCTGAGGGTGCCGCCCCCGAGATCCCAGCTGACGGCCCCGGGCAACTCGAAGCGCTGGAAAAGCTTTTGAAGCCTGAAGTCGAGGAGGGAGTCAAGGCAGAGATGATTCCTCAAGGGGCAAGTATTGACAAGGTGGACAAGAAGTCTAGGAGTGCCCCCGGCAAGTGGCTGAGGGGTATTGGCAATGTCGGACTTGCGCTGTGCAGGTTGGAGGTGATGACGGATACCGTCTTGCCGGGAGAGACTCCGGGGATGTATAGCCCTGAGCAGGATTTCGTGGTTAGCTTGGGTGGAGAGGAGGGCAGTGAAGTCGAGGCCAAGAAGGTCAAGGTGAAGGCCTTTGTGCCATTTTGGTTGAAGGATGTGTGGAGGATGGAGGCGGAGAAGGCGGAAGAGGAGAGGAGGATGAGGGAGGAGCTGTTGAGAGACCGGGAATCGGATGTCGAATAAGGGTCGAACAGTCAACCGAATCGCACAATACCTGTGAGCATCATCGAATGTTTACCCAACTTCAATGTACATTTACCTATTGTAAAAGGCTAAAAGATGAGCAGAAAAGACACCCTGTGTGTTGCTACTGAGATTTTCCCGGACGGAAAGACTAACCCGAACTCATATATCTGCTCCTTCCAGGGCAACTGCTCGTCCCCCACCATACCACATCACACCATGGAAAGCTGGTCCAAATCGTTCAGAATCTTCTCGACAAAGCAAATGGCAACCGTGTCTTCGCCCACGTCCTCTATCTCCCAGTCCGATCCGTCAAAATACTCATTCTCCTCGTCCAGGCATGTTAAGCACGACAGAACGACTTGTGCATACCTATCACCCATCCGCGGCGCGAGCTTTGTGCTTGCCTGCTCAACGAGATAGTCCTTGAGACTTGATGCCAGCGCACTGAAAGTGGTGGCAACGGAAGCTTCACCCGCCGCGGTCTTCTTCTCCTCAAGCCACTCCTTAAAATGAGAGTAAGTCCTTCCAAACCTGGTGCGTGGCCTTCCGGAATCCTCCTCTCCTGTGCCGTACTCCACAAAAGATTCCCAGAGTCCAATCTCCAGGAGACAGACCCCGAGGCTGTATATGTCGTGTTGCATACGGTACTTCTCTGCCGGGTCGAAACCCTGTCGCGACGGATGCCGATACACATTTCGCTCCCAGCTTATGTCCCCCGACATGATCGTACCACCGCCAGCGGCCCGAAAGGCATCGAAGCCAACAAGGAATGCATGGCTACGCGAGGCCCCATCGTCCTCGAAGCACAGGATGGATTCAGGTCGCACATTCTTGTGTACGAAGGCGAAGGTGTGGACATAATGGATGGCCTTGGCAAGCTCGCGTGCCATGCGCATCTTCCGGGAGAGAGAGATGTGCTCGTCAGAGGAAAGCAGGAGTTGCCGCAAAGATTGGAGTACTAGCATGTCTTCGGGTAAACGGAACACCAACTGAAAGGAGGTATAATCGTGCTTGCTGCTTGACAAAAAGGCAAGTTGAGACGAAGCAGGAGACCTAGCGGATTGACGCTGAATTGGTATGACCCCTTTGCAGTTAAGTAGCCCAAAAGCGATGGAATCGGCTTGTGCGAGCTTGGCTGCGAGCATACTCACATCTCGCAGAACATCGCGTGGCCGGACAGACGGCCCAACCTCGATGGTGTCAATGATGTACCATTTGTTTTCCGGTTCTAGAAAGGCAGTCTTCGCTCCGGAATACAGAATGCCAGACGTCTTCATTTGTCTCGGAGGGTAGAACTTGGGTCTGGGTTGGTCATCACTTGGAACCAGCACGCGCCGCATGCCAGCCGCAATGGTCAATGGATTCTTGGCCCCAGATGGACAGCGAACGCTGCTTTTATCCACATTTGCTGATTGTGCTCCGGCAAGCGCAGTGTCGACAAGGGGAGTGGCGAGCTTCATGACCATGAACCACAAAGGATTGAAACGATGATGCCATATATCGAGGTCGCTGATGAGTTGGTCCAGTGGGTCCCTTTTCCAAGTCCAAGACACCTTCTTGGCCTTGGATCCCAATCCCCAAATGCCGGGCCGTTCTGGAGAATATTGTTTGCTGATCTTCCTCAAATCATGATCAGCGAGCGATAGCTTTTGTATCAGCTGAAGCACAAGTCTGTCTATGAGGCGATAAAGGTCATCACTCAGGCCAGACTCAATGCGCTTCAGGAGATCAAGCTGGAGCCTTGCTGTTTGCCAGTAGCTTTCGATGGTAAGGCAGCGTTCCTGAACCTGGCCGTCGACATCCACCAAGCTGGTGCATATTTGGATCACCTTATCTCCAATCCTGCGACACACATCATCAGCAATCAAATCTTCATCGGCTTTCCTATTTCCCATCAATTGACGTACTCGTAGCAGGTCAATACACCTCTAATGAGAGCAACCGGGTCCATTTTCTCTCCCTGTTGGCAGGTCGTTGTTGGTTCTAAGCGACAGACAGGGCGAGCCCCTCCTACGACCTCGAGAGATGATTTGTATGGTATCCAAAACCCTTCTTTGGGCTAGGGTGGGCTGGGGCTGACGCCGGTCAATTCTCGCAGCGTTCTTTTCCCGCCACGCTGACCTCCAGGCATGAGGTTTCACAGAAGTGCTGAAGGCGCAATTGCTTCGGCGCCACTGTTGCACAAACAACCTTTTTTTTACCCTAATTGGCTCTCAACAGTGCTCAGCCTTGGGCGTTCTCTAAAAATTAACTCAAGAGTTGACGGCGCTGATTCGATGCAATTCTTCGCTCAGAAATTGCACGGGACCTATTACCGGTATCGAATGAGGGGTCCCTCCTATCTATACTTGCGGCCGATGAGCGGTTGGATTTGAAAGAACGGGGGCAGTGCGCTTGTTTCTGTTGGTCGTGACTTTCATCCACCCTTACCAGTAGTTGGCATAATAAGCGACTCGGTTCCAACTATCCATTTATGCGAACAGAAAGATCCAGCTCGACAGCCGTCATAATGGATCCATCTTCCAGCACCAGCCTATCCGACTGGAAACTTGATGTGCGGTTCGAAGATGGAAAGCGATATCACGATATGCCCGAAGGTACACATTGTTGGGAACAAGTGGAAAGGCTGGGAGAAGGTACATGTGGCGAAGTCTGGAAAGAACAGTGTCTATCTGACAACTTCTCCTCTTCAAGTGTTTTTCGTGCTGTGAAGCATATTGATAAGCGGCGAGGCAGATGGACTCATACTTCGAAGCGGGAGATCAAGGCTCTTACTACGTTTTCTGATAACAATGTCGTCGAGGTAAGTGATGTTAACATCATCCTGCACTGGAATGCCGAGATTAAGAAAAGGGAATTTAGTACAGGGAACACTTTGTGCAGCTCCTTGGCTGGTTTGAGGACGATATGCATTGGTACATCGCGATGGAATTCATCCAGCACGGTAACTTGCAACAATACATAGGTGAAGAAGGCCTTGAAGCAACAAGATACCGAAGGGATTTTCAAGGTGCTGCAGGAGAACCAAAAGAACCAGAAGCTGCCTCCATCACGGGCCAGATCGCTCAGGCTTTGCTCTATATGCATTCAAAGAATTTTATCCACAGGGATCTCAAGCCTTTGGTACGTTTCATGTCTGCTGAAGCATATCACACGACTCTCTATATACTACGCTGAGGAACTAACGGTATACAAAGAACATACTAGTATCTCATCCTGGCCCCGCGTGGCATGTTAAGGTTGCCGACTTTGGCCTTACCCGAGATCTCAGCGATGGCATAACAGGGACACACCAAATCGGCACAAACGGCTATATGGCACCAGAAATGTGGGACACATCTCAATCTTACACGTCCGCAATCGACGTGTGGGCTCTCGGTGCCATTACATTTTGCATGCTGGCGGGCTCACCACCTTTCCTCAACCCTATGACATTGCCAGATTACCGCAAGGATCCAACACTGTTCCCTACATCCAGGCTACGTTCTTCTACTGAGCCGTGCAGAGGATTTATTACGGGTGCCATGGCTGCAAACCCTGAAGAACGTCTCACGGTCGAAGAAGCTTTGAAACATTATTGGCTGTCTAAAAGCAAGAATACCGTTTGCCGGTGAGTCTCTATGCCAATTAGCTACTAGCGGAAATGAGAGACTAGTACTGAACTGAACTTACATAGACCACCAAACACTAAGTTGCCGACCTCGCTATCATCAAGCATTTCGGAAGGATCACTGCCTCTGGACGACTGGGCAAGCATATCAGATAGCACTAGTCAACCCCAACGCATTCAGTCTCTCGTTCAGGTCATTTCTCAAAATGGAGACACAAAGCAATCTTCACGGGAGGGGCAGTCAGTAGAAGAAGTCGAAGCACCCAGGGCCAAAAGAACATCGACAGCACGTCGCTCACAACGCTTCCTGTCAGAAGGGCACTTGTCTGATCCACAGCTAGTCAGGGCAATAAGCAATTCCGGCATCAGAAATTCCGCGCGGCTGGCACCACTAACAGGGTGAGTGAAAGGAATTGCAAGACATGATGGAACTAGCTAATCAGTGGTCTATCCGCGTAGTTCTGAGAGGGAATACTCACCCGGGAAAGTTACCAAGGAGCCTGGTATATCTTCTGCCCCAAAAACGCAACGAAAGACTAAGAATAGGGGGGCAACCAAGCGTGATGATGTCGAGCGTCCAATCTATCCGAAAAATCAACGAAAACAAGGAGGCGGTCGAGATCAAGATCGAATTGAAAATCAAGGACAAGACCGACATGAAGAACAAAACCGAGATCAAGCGCAAGATCAAGTAAGGAATCGAGGAAGAGATCGAGGCCGGAAAGAGTATCGAACCCCCGCAAAAGAACGAACACCGAAGCCACAACAACTACAAACAAATATATCGAGACCGACAAGAATTTCAAATCAAGGGCGGGGGGGTGAAGAATATATCTTGCCTGCCATGATGCCCAGACGTTTCAATTCAATGGATTCAATGTATCCATGGAATAGCAGTTCCAGGAATTCCGTCAACGAGCCGCACATGCCCACAAGCATGAGAAAAAAGGGCCTGGTATCAAGAGTCATGAGTGCTATATTCTGTGGATGCTGTGGGTGGCGTGATCTCCTATGTTGTGGCTGCTGTGGGTGGCGTGATCTCCTATGCTGTGGCAGATGTTGTGATTGAGTATTTCTATAATGAAGATAGCACGTCTGCGGAGTACTTGTTACGAGAGCGGGGCCTGAGCACGGTAGTGAAGGGGGGAAGCTTGGTCACGGCTCTGGAAGATAAACGCTGCCTGGTCGAGGAAGGCAAAGTCTATTTCACTATATGAATGGGGCAAACTGTATGTCACAGATGTTAACAAAGCGATAACGAGATACTGTTTGTTAGGTAATAAATGGAAGTACAGCTCAATCACGCCGGCCTAAACTCTCGACCTTCCCTATGCCTAGCTTACGTTTTTGAGCAATGTTCCGTATACCTCTGGGCCTTTCGGCAATGAGGTATCGACACTCCTAAGCACATTCTCATCTGTCATGTACCCTTCTCTCCGTCCTAACGGCTGTGTCAGTCGGCTATCAGGTACCGCATATCCTTCGGAATTCAGTGGTTCTCGTCTATATGCTCAAACACTTCACCGTGGGCATCGAACTCCTCGAGACAAAACATGCAGGTATAGTCATCAGGGTCCGAGTTGAGCCGTCTGACATACCGTCTTCGTTCCTCTTCGAGCTCCCGTGCTTCCTTCAGCTTTTGCCGATGTCGCTCTTCCTTCTTTCTTGCTTGTTACTCCTCCTCCTTTTTCCAGGCCTTTGCAAGCTCTTCGAGCTCTTGCAACTCCTGGAGCACCCGTTTTTGCTCCTTTTCTTCTGTCCGGCTATTTTTCTTCAATAGGAGCCGTTCGTGCTCTTCCTCTTCCTCTTTCTCTTCCTCTTGCGCCGCCGCCGCCCGCTCCCGCTCCCGTTCCCGTTCCTGCTCTTGTATGAAGTTCACGATCGTTTCCAGATCCCGTTCTCCTTCGGCTTGGTGTTGGGGCTTGTTTTTCTTCCTTTTCTTCTTCTTCTTCTGTGATGATGATGATGATGAAGCCAGGCTCTTTTGCTGCTGCTCCTTCTTCTGCAGAACTGGTTTTGTACGTAAAACTCAATGTCGATTCTGCAAGTCAGACCCCGGGCTCTAGTGCACCTCATATTTCCGCCTTTATTCACAACTGATTCTGGAACAATTGGAGGAGAATATCTCAAGTTCACGACTTGCCAACAGCGACCTGACACATTCTAGCTTGAAAGTGACTGTTACAGTACGAGAAGGCCTCGAAATCGATGAGCGTCAACGTTGGGTTTGCCAGTTTCGGAGCGCTACACCCAGGAATATATTGATCACAATCATGCAGTGTTTTTTGTTCACGAATACTGAAGTTGATGACTTTGATTTCCTTATATCCACACACTGGTGGTAGTACCTTCCCTATGCTAAACATCTGGTGTGGGTATCTCAAGGTCTATGAAAGCGACAGAAAATGCAAATGATTCCTGAACTTTTGACAACCGTCCATCCCTGAGCCGAACCATGCACCTGAGCGCCGAAAACCAAACCAGATGCCAGTGAACAACTTCTTATGCAGCCTTCCTAGTAACCAGCCAGATTGATGACCGAGAAATACAGGAGCAAAGTTGAATATGCCCAGCGAGATGTGAACATAGATCCAGATATAAAAACAAACAACATGAAGACCATGTAGGTCTGAACTTGACCCTGACTTTCCAGGGTAATGCACCCGTCGAACATCCATCCTCCCTTTTTTTTTTGGCCGGACTTGACAAATTGTGCGTCCATAGCCTGTTGTATATTCTGCAAGCATATGAGAAAAGAGTGAATCTCGACAAGAAGTGGGTGACTGGTCGTATGAACTTGTACTTGTAATTCAAGCACGTAAAATAACAGTGGATTTGCGTCTCTATTGAAGGGACAGCAAACATCGTTGTGTAGTGAGAGCGTTGTATCCCGTATCCCATCGGGTACTGGTAAGTCGATCGTTGGTGGTAGACTACCACGCTCTTTGCTGGTGAAGAAGTAGAATAACTAGGCAGAACCCGAAAAGGAGCCATAGTTGCTGCAGCGAGATATGCTGATGTACACGTCTGTTAGATCTCATTGCAGGGGATATTGTTGCCGGTTGTGTGATACCATCTCAAGGCGTTGGTACTCCATGGCTTGATGTCGAAACTTGTAGGATGCGGCCTTCCTTGTACATCGGAGGGTGGACCGCATATCGAGCCGTATCGAGGAGTGCCGAGCGCTGGGAGGTCAAGTTGAAGCAATACAGTGCTGGGGCGCAGTGTCGTTGCTTTTGGTAAGATCCCCATGGGATCTTCAGTTTCCGTCAGAGGAGGCGTCGCCAGAGGCAGCATTCTCCTCGCAAGTGCCCATGAGCTCACGGAGAACAACAGTTGCATAGTTGCTGCTTCTCAGCTGGAACTTGAGAATGACGGCAATCTTGCTGGCATCGGGGCTGCTACGGATGACCTCCGAATCGTCGACAGAAGCGAAAGGGTTCTCCGAGGGCGAATGGAGGACAGGGACAATCAGATTTGCCGCCTTCTTGGTGTCAGCTTCACTTTCCTTTTCGCTGTTGAAGGGGACCATCGCCTTTTCCGTCTCAGCGGCAGCAGGAAGAGCGGGCATGCTCGATCCATACCAGCCCATCGGGTCAGCGACCGCAGAGTGGTTGCTCTGGGGAGTTGCCTCGTGGGTAAGAGCAACAACCTCCATAGCATCAGCCTTGGGTGCCGTAGACTCCTCGATCAGCATGACATCTTGCTCCTGCTTAGTGATGCCGTCCTCTGAGTTGATGACCGTTTGTTGAGCGGTCGACTCGTAATAGAGATCCGACAAACCCTTGGCCAGCGTCGGTGTCTCGGTGGCGCTGGAGGAGATGATGCCATTCGTGGCATTGTCGGCAACCTTATCATTAAATTGCTCAACAGGCACCTTGGTCTCATACTCCTCCGTGTGACGCGCGATCTTAACGCGCTTGTCACTGCCGTCAAGCCCGGTCTGGATCCAAGTTTCCCTGGCCACGACCACTCCATCAGACTGTGGCGACTCGGAGGCCTTGCGACGACGTTCATTGGTAATTGCCTGGTCATATTGGGCAGTGTTGTTGGTGAAGTGCGCCCAATTAGCAAGGAGAGGCGGAGATTTGCGAGCCTTGGCCTCGGCGGCCTTCTTCTGTGCCCTCGCCGCGGTGCAGAAGTCCAGGTCCGTGGGATACATCTGTTCAGTATCCTCGTTGTAGACCCGGATGGCATACTGGGGCTCGCCAATGAATCGGCCCAGGAGATGACGATAGTTGCCGCTAAGGCTGAACTCCTTCTGGCGGCGACGCATGTCGTACGGATCCAAGCCACCGTTTTCGGCCTTCTTCATGAAGTCAACATACTCCTTACCGATCTCGTTCCGCGGGTAGATCACGTCGTAGCCAGGTGTGGGTAGGACAACGTCGAAAATGGTGTATTTTCCGCTTGCGATGTCCTCTTGTGTGAGGGCACGGGCTTGAGCGTAAAAGTTTTCGTTGTCCTCGGAATCGGCATCAGCAGCCGACTGGTCATTGGTGACCAGGACCAGATCACCCTCAATGAGAGTAGGGCCGTACATGGACCAGCGCTTAGTAGCCATGTGGTTCCAGACGAAGGATTGGTAGGCATGAATGTACATCATGCGCATACCACGAGTGATGCTCAGGAGGGCGCCCATGAAATCCTTCGAGTTCTTGCCAAGATGGCGGATAATAGCGGCCTCCGAGCTGAAGCGCTTGGGAAGAATAGCCAATGCCTTTTCGACATTTCCGGTAGTCCTCCAGAGAGTGATGGCCTTTGCGCGATTGTAATCGTCGCGGCTGTTGTGGAAGTCGTTTGTATGTACCGGCTCCTGCTCTCCAAGATCAAATGCCTCTTGCAGGAAATGATCTTCGACATGGAGAATGTCGTTAAGCACACCCTCATAGTCCTCCTTGAGAACCTTCATGCCCAGGAGGTGGGTGCCAATGGCGTAGGTGCCGAAACGTTGGAGGCCGTAGTAGTTGATGTATCCGTGACGATTGAGATACGCCAATCCGAACTCGACAGCCTCCCTGAGCTTTCTTACGCGTTGGTCGACCGAGCAACCCGCGCCTCCAAGCGGTTGGCAGTTCTTGAGGGTGATGACGAACTCGTTACCACCGTGTTGGCCCAGCTGGAGAGGCTCATTAGCATGAACAAAGTCTCCAACCTTGATGTTGGGAAGGCGAGTGTTCAGCCAAATTAGGTTAGATGCGCGCTGGCGGTAGACGCTGATACGCTGGACGGTGCCAGCACGACGATCCTTGGTTCCGGCGAACCCGAAGTTGGTTGCCTTGACCTTGAGAAGACGCGCGATGGTGTTGACCGCATCCATGGTATCCTTGTTCTCCTTATACATGGTGAAATGGAGATACTCTCCGCCCAGCTGAGTGAAACTCTTGCTCTGGTCCCGTGAGCGGCTGTTGTTGGCGCGGGGGCCATTTCCGCCGACACGGTTGTTCTTTGAGAACTTTGAAGGGGTAGCGGTGATGACGCCAGTGTTGTTGGCGAGTGTCTCGATGCGATTGTCGAAGATGCGGCGAATCTGTTGATGGAGGCTAGCGCGTTGAGCGCGATCGGTGATGGGGTCAAACACCACGGTCCGCTCTCCGGCGGAGATCTTCTTCTTTGCCTGGACAGCTTCATCGAGCTGAATCAGCCTCTCAGTAGCTGACTCATTGATCAAGTTTACCAGCAGTTGCCTGTCTTCATCGGAGATGGGCTTGATCTCGGGCTCGGTGGTAGAAGCGACAGTTTCTGGTGTAGGCTGGGCAGGTGCAGCCTGTGTATGAGGTCAGTACGTGAACACAAGGACTTGACGAACAGCATGATATGTGACAACAAACCTTCGGGACCAATGGTTCCTGCTCTTCATACTCGCGGAGATGAACCGTTGTGCCATCCTTGCGGATTTCATAGACAAGGAAGTCGGTATAGCTATATATACGATCAGAATCAACTGCACATCAAATTAAAGTGATTACCTTGGGTGAAGAACTTACCGCTTCCTGATGTCGCCGGTCCAGGAAAAGTTAATGGAAGCTGAGCGTTGCGTGATGCCCAGATTCTTCTCTGAAGCAGCACGCACAGCAGGCACATGAGTGCCCTGGCGCTGAGCCATGTTGAAGATGAGCTGGGATAAGGTTGTTTTGACAAGTATGGCGAGTGACGATGCTGTCAGATATCGTTACAGGATGTGCAACCAACGATAACTGAGTGTGTGTAGACTGCCCAAGATGCTTGATTATTGTGGTGGTGCGATGTTGGTATGTCAAGCTCTGTAGGGAAATACTGAAGGGTATGTTGATGATTGCTTGATGGATGCTGGACGTTGTGAAATAAAACTGAGCCCAGACAGGGATCCGTTTTTGGTCAGTCAGTCCACAGCGGAGAAAGGGACAGTGGAGGTCGCAGGGACCAAAGAGCGACTGCGACGGTTGGTACTGATGCAGTCTTAGGATTGTCGGAAGCAAAACAACGCAACAAATGCTTGGATTGCGAATAATGCTTGTGAAAAAATCTTTTCTTTGCCTTTGCGTGTTCGTCGTTTGTGATTTTTTTTTGCGGTGGTTTGTGTGAGGAGGAAAGGGAAAGAATGGGCGAAGGAGCAGCGCTTTTGAAGACCAGAAAGTTTAGACCGCTTTCCCATACTGCAGTCGTGAAATCTGCACTGTGGGCAGAAAAGCGCAACTGTGGGGGTGGACCGCGGGGCAGCCTCAAGTTTTGTGGGGAATTCAGGGTCCTTGTTAAGTTGATTGGCCAAGATTTGACTGATTCTGAGATGTACCTCTGTACCTCTGACGTCCGTTCTTTCCTTTGCTTGAAGGTTTTTGCAATTTTGAAATTGAACCTCCCGAATTCCCCTTCACTCCTGCCCACATTAATCAAAAAGACGGGACGAACATTTGGCTGCCCGCTGACAGCTCATGGAATTCGGACACAAAATTGTACAATTCACCGGACCACTAAATGGTGAAGCCTGAACGAAGGTGAGTCCTTGCCGTTGCGATTTCTCATCCGAATTGTGGATGAAGTGCAGACGCCGTATGCTGCAGTTTCGTCAAGTCCAGACCTTTACCAGGGCGCCAGATCACGTCATTAGCGAAAGCCAAGCTACTCTGTGGGCTCTCTCCGTTTGCAAATTCGCGAGGTAGAGACAGTGTGACCCGAAAGAAGACAGCAGGTTTCGAGTAAAGGAGAGTATGGGATGTACTGGAGGGGTTTGTGGCTCAGATCACCCCGGCAACGCAGGACAAATTGCGAACAAATTCTGGGAAGAACAGGTCCGGGCCGAAAATATTGGCTGGATTGGATGAACGGTCCGGGTTCAAGTCCCGAACGTTCAGACAAGGAACGAGGCTGAAGGCGGGCTCAGGTACCCGCACTTTCGAGACGTCGAGATTCAAGCCGACTGCATGTGAGACAGCTTGGTTGGTGTTCATGCAGAAAATCCACCGCACATGGCTTCCGCTTGTGCTTGTACTTCCACTGGTTCAACTACTGTAGCATCACAGCTGCTTAACAAAGAAACGGAGGTAACTGCGCTTGTGAAGTTGAGCAGAGTACCATGGTTGTCATCGAGATATCATGTTCCCGAACCACAGGAAGACAGGATCTGCGGGTGCCCAACAAAGAACCAAGTGACTGGACCAAGATTGCGCAACAGTGGCTGGTCTACGGCGTCCATATTTACATCGAAGTAGCATCTGTACAGTCACGGCGCAGTAAACAATGGGATGTCGTTGAGCAAATCGAGGTGTGTTCCCCAAAGATGTAACCCTCCTGGAGGATCCATAACCCCACGATCGTCAAGTCAAAGCCATATGGACCACGGATAACCCTGGGCTGTCACGGGCCCGGTTAGGCGCGCATTAACGGCGATGTGTTTCACTGTGGGCATGTACGCCAAGATACAGGATCCCTGGGGAAAATCGAGATGGAAAAGTCTCTTTGTCCCGTCGCAGTGATGGAGTAAGGGAGAATGAGGATCTATAAAAGCGGTCGGAGATGCACACATTCTTCCCTCGAGACGTTGAAGTTGGTAGAGAACCCCGGCAGGACCTGGGAATATCACAAAGTCACAAAAACAACTGAACCTCAAAAGACAAAGTCCCTGAGAAGTGCATCCAACCGAACGGGAACTGTCACCCCTGACGGTCCACTACAAGAAACGCTACCATCGAATAACGTTATCGGCAACCGCAATCTCTCAAGAGACCGGAAGAGGTCTGGGTCGAGCACGGGCGCCAACCGGTCGGCAGTCAGCCAGTCACAGCAAAGAATGGAGGTGCCGGGGGTGGAGATCGGCGAGCTAGGGCCGTCAGCGCAAAGTGGGCAGCCGGCAGCGGCTCTGCCAAACCCAGCTGCCCCTGCTAGAGCAGCCGCCCAGCCACCCACCCAATCCACTAACAGCACGACCTCTATCGCCAGGTCCAGGTCCAGCACCGGCGCCAGCACCAGCAGTTGGGAGACGAACCCAGTCCAGGTAGAAAAGTTCCCTGAATTGCCCAGCCACACCACCAGTTCCGGACATCAACAACATCCTCTCCATCATCCTCACCATCTCCATCACCATCACCAGCCTGCGTCCGAGGCTGTGAGTTACACTGCTGAAGGAACCCCAACCTCCCCAGCAGCAACAGCACCAACCCCCGTCCTCAGGCTAAATACCGACCACACCGAACTTGCAAGCCCAGGACCGCCGCCCTCCGCGTCTTGTCCTGCAATCGGCCGCCCTCCGTCGCTTTCGATCCAGTCGACTGCCTCGTCGTCCGATTACTCGAGTTCGTTATCAGACGGTGACTTGGTCTTTGATTCGCGCCGATCGTCCGTCGTCACCAGCGTCTCGACCGCGTCCGCATACAACCCCCTATCTTCTCCCTGCTGCCAGTCCGACTCCTCCCCGGAGCAGCCGCTCACGCGCACTCGGCGGGACGCCAAACAATTGCATGCCGCCCGTTTAGAGCGCTCAGGCTCGACCAGCCTAGCTCTAGCCAGCACAAAAAGGGAGGCATTAAGCCCAGGACCCCGGAACCCGACCAGATTCCAGAGGGCTTCCTCCGAACCCACCCGCGCCCCCAAGTTAGTTACGGAGCAGCCAGCCGGCTTCACCAAGATGGCCTTCGCAGAGCAACAACAATGGATTACGGTCCAGCAAAAGACCTTTACTAAATGGCTGAACACCAAGATTGAGGTTCGCGGCCTTGAGGTCAAGGACCTGGTTAAAGACCTCAGCGATGCTGTACGTTATGCATCTCCTTTGCGCCATTACGCTTAGCCTGACAACTAACCCTTTCCACGTCATTAGGTTATGCTTATCCATCTACTAGAATGCCTTTCTGGCGACTCGCTTGGGCGCTATGCCGCCAAACCGAAGCTCAGGGTCCAGCGTTTCGAAAACGCCAATCTCGCGCTAAACTTTATCAAATCCCGAGGTATTCAGATGACAAACATTGGCGCGGAGGATATTGTGGATGGAAACCGGAAGATTATTCTAGGTCTCATCTGGACACTCATTCTCCGCTTCACCATCAACGACATCAACGAAGAAGGTATGACAGCCAAGGAGGGTCTGCTATTATGGTGTCAGCGCAAGACAGCGTGCTATGACGAAGTCGACGTCCGCGATTTCAGCGGCAGCTGGAATGACGGTCTGGCCTTCTGCGCCCTCCTCGATATCCACCGTCCCGATCTCATCGACTACGACGCCCTCGACAAGTCGGATCATCGTGGAAACATGCAGCTGGCTTTCGATATCGCTCATGCCGAGATCGGTATCCCCAAGCTGCTCGATGTTGAGGATGTGTGCGACGTTGCCAAGCCCGATGAGCGTTCGTTGATGACCTACATCGCCTACTGGTTCCACGCCTTCTCGCAGATGGAGAAGGTCGAGAACGCCGGTCGTCGTGTGGAGAAGTTCTTCAACAACATGCAGGGTGCGTGGGAGATGCAGAGCGCTTACGAGCGTAGAATGGCCGCTCTGCTCAAGACTATCCAAGAGCAGATCGTTTCTTGGCAGGGGGCCACTTTCGATGGTACCTATGCCGATGCTAAGGCACAGGCGTTCCAGTTTGCATCATATAAGAAGGGCAAGAAGAGAGAGTGGGTAGCGGAAAAGAGTGATCTCGCAACATTGCTCGGAAACATCAAGACAAAGCTGGCTACATACCGACTACGGCCGTATGAGCCACCAACACATTTGAAGATGGAGAGGTTGGATGAACAATGGAGCAACTTGTCCAAGGCGGAGATGAGCCGGGGACAGTTGATCAACGAAACCATCAGAGAGTATGTATCTTTTCTTTTACTAGTTTTTGCGCGGAAAGTTTGTTTGAAACTGCTCCTAATACCCCTACAGTATCAAAGACGCCCTCCGAAAATCCTTCGCCGACAAAGCCAACGATTTCGCCCTTGCCCTCAACACCATGCAACTCGCCATCTCCGGGCTCGAAGGCGACGTAGAAGACCAGCTGCACCACGTCCGCAAGCTCTCCGAGAACCTCCCCCCACTGGACGCCTACCTCAAGACCATCGAGGCCGTCGACCTCAAGTGCCAGGAAGCCAACATCGAAGAAAACGACTTCACGACCTACAGCTACGACGAGCTCTGCTACGAGCTCTCCCTCGTCAAGTCGTCCGTCTCCAAGAAGCTCGCCTTCCTCGAGAACCAGATGGTGGCCCGCAACATGACCAACCTGACGCCCATCCAGCTCGAGGAGTTCGAGTCCGTGTTCCGCCACTTTGACCGGGACGACACCAACTCGCTGTCCGAGCTCGAATTCAGCGCCGCCCTGGCCTCCTTGGGTCTCGTCTTCTCCGAAGACGAAATGCACGAGTACTTCCTCGCGACCTCCAACGGCCGCGACCGCGTCACGTTCGAGCAGTTCATCCGCTTCATGGTGGACGTGACCGAGGACCAGAACTCGGCCGATCAAGTCTTCCAATCCTTCCGGGAAGTCGCCGACGGCAAACCCTACGTGACCGAAATGGACCTCCGCCACTCGCTCGTGCCGGACGAGGTCATCGAGAAACTCATCGAGATCATCCCGAAGCATACCGGCCCGGACATGCAGAGCGATCGCGGCATGGAGCAGTACGATTACATTGCTTTTATGGAGAAGTTGATATCGGAACAGGAGGGTAGGGCGGCAAGTGCAAGTAGTAGAAGGAGCAGTAGGGCTAGTGGTGTAGCCAGTGGTGCGGCGGCGCCCGGGCAGATGCCAAACCACAACCATACTGCTTCTGTGGGTGGTGGTGGTGCTAGTCATAGTAGGCATAATAGCCATGCTAGTGTGGGAGGGAAATCGGTGCTGGGGGGGGATAAGAGTAATGGGTTGATGAAGTCGCCCAAGAGCCCTGGGACTCCTGGGACTCCTGGGACGAACAACAAGCCGAATGGGTATCATTAGTAATGAAGTGATTGAATACCTGTGTGATCGACTTTCTTCTCTCTCTCCCTCCCTTTCTTGTGTACGTAATTTTTTGGGTGGTATATGGGTTTGGATCGAAGGCATGGATGGATGATGGACGAAGTGCGCATGCTTGTGGGATGGGAAATGATTATGGGTGATGGATCGAGGAGGCAGGATAGGACATGATACTTTGGTGGAATAGGGGGCGGGCTTGGATTAGCTGGGCTTTTTATATCTTTTTCTTTTTCTAAATTGTGTTTTAGATATAATTACATTATTACACTTGGTGATAGTCTTTAACTCAAAGCATAGCTTATGTAGCATGAGCATAGCAGTCCGATAATTGGGATACCTGTACATACCTTCTACCTTCATGTACATCTCGGTAAACTGTTCAGGTTCTGAGTTGCTCGTCTTTTGTGATGCTGGGGTTCGCGATTGATCTTCTCTACAAAAACTCGGATAGTTTCTCTGTAAGTTCTATAGCATGGATAAGGAGACCAGTACAGACGGGTGTCAAACCTGTCAAATAAGATCCTCCTAGTATATGTCTAGAAAACCAGGGAATAAGATAACTATCTGATATGCATGAACAATGACTTCAGAACTCGTGGCATATACTTATCTACCCATAGCATCTGTATCCCATTGTCCTCGTTATATGTGCCCATGTATATGTATATCTCATCTCTAGTAATTACATTAACACTTAAGGTCGAGAAAAATCCAAAGTTCCAAAAAATACACCAGTTGTGAAGTATGAAGTAGGTACACGCAGTTAAAGGGGGGTGAGTAAGCTAGCTGCTCGACGACGTTCATAGATCAACAAATCCACAGCAGCAATACCAGCAGCAGCAACGAGCAGCCAGCTCATTTCCACTTATATATGGCCCGCTCTATTCTTGAGCTTCTTTTGAGGGTTTAGCCTCGCCCATATCCCTGAATCGGTGTTTGGGGCGTGAGGATAGATGTGATATTCATGTGTTAGGTATAAGAAAACCGGATGCTGCAATGGTGTAGCTGCGGTCTCGCTTATGGTGTTTGGGTTCCTCCGCTTCTTTTGCGCTTCTTGCCTTTTGCGTTTGCGGCTCCCCTTTTATGAGAGGTTTCATGGAAGGAAGCCGATGTTCTCTCTGTTGTCGTCAATAACACGGCCGTATCTGTTATCCAAACGTTAGCAACCGTCCAGTTTCACGATCAAGGGACAGAAAAGACTTACTCCAAGAGTAACCTAAAGAACCACACCTCCATATCCTCATGCCTCAACACCTTATTCGCCCACTCCCTTCCCTGAATCGCCACGCGCTCGGCCTCCTTCGTCCCCTGACTAACCGTCGCGCTCTCCTCGCTGAAGAACCTTACCGTCTCCAACCAGTCCTCCCCCTGCGTGCTCAGCGGGATGAAGTGCGCCCACGGCTTCAGCCACTCATAATGCCACTCCCTGAAAATCGCCCACTTGTACACCAGACTCCTGCTCTTGAGGAACGCATAGAACCGGCCCGAAAACGCGTTGCCGTCAATGTCCAAAACGTGCTTGTACTTGAACGCGTCCACCTGCTCGGCGTACGACTTGACCTCGAAAAACTCGCGCTGCGCATCACAGTCGCCCGGGTCGCACTGGCCGATGTGCGAGAAGAACACGTCGACAATGTTGCGGTAGTCGGACCGCGACACCTCGCTGACCACCCAGTCCGGGTTCTGCTCGTTCTTGCCCTTGTTGACCAGCACCTTCGCGGTGTCGCGCTCGTTGATCTTCTGCACGAAGCGCTGCCGGTGCTGGCGGCGCCACCCCCCGTTGCGCGAGAAGCCGCCCGTCGTCGAGCCGCGCCAGTACAGCTGGTTGGCCTTGTCATCCCAGAGCGGGTCCTTGCCCTCTTCGTAGGGAACCTTTTCGTACCAGTACCAGGGGGAAGGGTATAGGATGTCGGCGTACGAGGAGATCTTGCTCTGCGAGAAGATGGGGAAGAGGTCGTGCACGACGTTGTAAGCGTTGGGCCGGTCGAAGAAGCCGAAGGTGGTAGAGAGCGAAGGGGAGAGGCAGACGTCCGACATGGCCGTCCAGTTGTACACGAAGCCGAGCTCGCCCAGGCCGAACTTGCTGACGTCGTCGAGACGCTGGGGCTTGTCAGCGCCCTCCTCGTCGATCAGGCGAGCAGGGCTGTCGGCCGGACAGCTCATGCGCGAGTGTGTCCATGTGGGCTGGTGGGCGAATACGTTGAAACGAGTGAACTTTTCCTCGGAGAAGCTGCCGGTGGGACTGAGTCCGCCGTCGGGATCGCGGGTGAAGTCGTTTCGGTAGGCAGACCCCTTGTTCGCCGCGGGCATGTTGACATTTTTCGCCCGCCCAACCAGCCGCGCCATGTCTTCAGCGGGAACTACGACGCGCGGCTCGTCGTGGATGTTAAATGCCAGGTCCATGTCCGGTAGCCATTGCTTGAACTTCTTCATCATGCCCTTGGTCGCCTCGACCTGCCACTCCTGTCCGCCACGGACGTAGACGATCTCGCCGTCACGGATCTGGAGGCCAATCAGGGCGTTTCCGTCGAATCCCAGGGCTTCCTTAGCGCGCATGCGGATGGTTCTCGGCGAGAGGCCCCAAAAGGGGGTGATGAGTTCGTGGATCATGTCGAATTCGTCGACGAGCTGGACATCATGTTCCCTGGCGAAAGCCCACCACTTGTCAAAGTTGGGTGGCGGGGGCAGGCCGTACCGTCGGCGATACTCCTTGACAGCTTCCTTGAGGGTACGGGACTGGCGGGCCTTCATGGCTTCGAGGTCGCGCTCGGCGTCGATGGTCAGATGCCATATTGGGTGGGAGCCTTTTGGGGCTGGCTTGGGGGGTCGGATCGCGGCTGGTTTGGACTTGAAGTCGATGTTGTCGTGTGGGAGGTGGTGGGCGCCATTCTGGTAAGAGTCTTTCAACTTCTGTTGCCCCACGCTTAGAGTCGAGGAGGAGGTGAAGAGAGAGTAGATGCAGAAGAAGATAAAGACGGTTCCCACCAGGATCAAGAGCTGGCGGGACCGCATCGTGTCTGTATTAAGTAGGATAGGTCGGTCGGTCGGTCGTTACGCGGCGTAGCTTGCTCTTCCCATTGGGTATGGTCGTCCAACTTGTTTACTGCTGATGCTGGTGGTGTAGAGTTGGAGGTTCGAACTCCAAGTTGGAGTGTAGAAAACTTGTATAGGTCCGTAGCGCCTTCTTCGAACAAGCGACGAGTCGGTCACGGAGAATTGGAACTAAGGTGTTTATCGTAGTCGGTGACGGTGGTGTTGAGCAGCCCAATTGCCCACGGTTGGCATTGCCGCGGACGAACAATGATACGGCTTGGCTCTGTGAGGTAGACTCTCGAAGCTCGAGAAATTGGTTGGTCAAAGAATCCGAGAAAAGTGGCCTGTCACAGAATCTGGAAAGTGTTCTCCTCCACGGATTGAACTGCACCTGAAGAGTGAAGATCCCCGAGAAAAGGGCTGTTCCTCATTTTGGGGTAGCCGAGCTGACGGAGGTACCCCAAGATGGATATCTGCTCGAGGTGGCGCACTTGATGCGGGCGTCAGGGGGCAAGGAGGGGCGGGCGGTGGGTTAGCCTTAACTACGGGTACCTGACGAGACTCGGGCGGTGTCTGGAATCGACAGGGATCTGCATCTCCAGGCCGGCGCAAGCTCCACGGCTTCAGGGGCAATGTTACGCGTCGCCTTGAGAAAACCGGTTGGACATGAAGCGATTCCCATGTCAACGTGATGCGGCTGCTAAAAAAAAACAGTGGCGGTAAAAAGACTCTTCCCGGCTTCGTGTTTCCTCCTGTCTGAAACTTTATGTGCTACGCCAAAACTACACTTCTATCTCAACTCAAAAACGCTTTAAGAGTTTGGTCTAGACTCAACATTCAACTCCTCAACATACTCAATTTTATCAGGTCACACTCATCTACTCTAGAGATTCCATTTCATCACATCACTCGCATTTAGAGTCAGGTTGGACAGATATGGATGGAGGAACCAGCTCTTCAATTCTTGGGGTGGGTTATATGCTGCAATATTACTTGCAGACACCCGACGGTGGTATCATCCTCCCATCGACTTCCCCAAACACCCAAAGCATGCCTCGCTAGAGATCCTCCTCATTCCCGACTTTTAGCGAGAACCATCCGCTTAGTAGAAGAAGCCGATGATCTTGCCGGAGACGTGCTTGCGGCGGGCCTCCTCCTGGTCCATGATACCAGCAGAGGTGGTGAGGATGACGTAGCCGAACTGACGGGCGGGAAGGAGCTTGACAACCCACTTCTCGAGCTCAGCGAGGCGGACGTTGTAGCGGGGAGAGATGACACCGCACTTGTTGAGGCGGCCGTTGAGCTGGACAACGATCTTGCCGGAGCGGTGGTCATCGACCTCCTCGAACTCGCCGATGTAGCCTGAAGGACAGAAATGTCAGTGGGATGTCGCGACAGTTTAAACATTAGATATCATTGGTGACTCCAGTAACGTGTAAGACTCTCGCAGTTAATATATCGGCGACTTAAAAGGCTAAGATCGTGGAGCGGTATGAGACCTCGGCCTAGTTATACGCCGAATGGTGTGTTGAATATGGGAGTGTTTGGGGAGTGTTCGATTGCGAGAGTCTTTTCACGGTTCCCTTCGTCGTTTGCCAATGACATCTGGCGGTTGGTTTGCGATTCGAACGTACCGTGCTTCTGCATGACCTGGAGGAACTTGGTGATGACCTTGGAGGAAGGGCGGATCAAGACCTGGCGCTTGCCGGCCTTCTCGGCGTTGTTGATGCTGTTGAGGGCATCGTGGAGAACGGAAGTGCGGACCATCTTGACGGTTTTTTCGAGGAGATTCTCAAATCGGGAATGGGATCAGAGGTATCTGCCAGATCCATGTATGTTAGCCTTCGAGGCCCCGTGAGCATGGAGAGTGCCCTCTGGAACAACGCAGTAAAGGTGTCCAAGGGTTCTGCCCGCTCAGTTGCCGACGAGGAGAAGCGTATCAGTGGTCGTCGCCTTTCACCAGCGCGGTCTGATTGCTTTCCTGGGCCTTTGCGAAGGGCATTATCCAGTTGTTGAGGACATTCTCCAGAGTCGTAGTTCTCGTCGTCATCGCAACGCGACTGTGACGGTATTGTTTAACTTTCACATACCTCGGTGATGGGCTTGATGCTGAGAGGACGGACAAGCTAGCAGGATGGGAGGGGGAGAAGGCGTTGAAGGTCGCGATGGTCTTTTGTTAAAAATTTCAAGCGGGCGGGTGGATTCTGTGGTGGTGGTCTGTGCTTTGCCATGCAAAAAGTGCCCCGTGCGAATGCCCTAACGCTCAGTAGCTGGCCTACGCTTGGCACTCGCCGGGCCGGCAGAGGTGCCCTTCAGGCGCATCACACAAAATTTCGGAATTTTGGGGGGACGGTTTCGCGCTGGCGGGCGGCGTGGTGTGGGGAAGTGGTCGGTGCGCGCACATAATTTCTGCCCAGAGCTTTTTGCTCTCGCGGAAGACGAGACTCGCAGGACCCTCTCGCTCCCCTCGACCACCACCCTATTGAAATACTTTCTCCATTAACTCTTCGAGGATCGTATCCGACAACAACCCCAAGCAAATCGCCAAAATGGTGAGACACCCGTCCCGTCCCCTACGTGCGAGCTGAAGTGTCGCCGTCGCGACCGTCGATTCGATATCCTAGAACCGATTACATCTCGAAAGAAGAAGCATGACGAACTAGGCATACTCGACATCGACGGCGCCGATGCCCCGACATCTTCAGTCCGACACGCAACCGATTACAATGAGGAAGCAAAAGAACACTCCAGCTAACATGGTCTTTTTTGTGGAATTGTAGTCGGACGTAGAAGAGAACACTGTCCCCGCCTCCGAGGAGGTTGAGGTTTCCGCCGATGCTGCCCCCAAGGGCCAGATGAGCGTCCTTGATGCCCTCAAGGGTGTTCTCAAGATCTCCCTCATGCACGACGGTCTTGCCCGCGGTCTCCGTGAGGCCTCCAAGGCCCTCGACCGCCGTGAGGCTCACATGTGCGTCCTCAACGAGTCCTGCGAGGAGGAGGCCTACAAGAAGCTCGTCATTGCTCTCTGCTCCGAGCACAAGATCCCCCTCATCAAGGTCCCCGATGGCAAGCAGCTCGGCGAGTGGGCTGGTCTCTGTGAGTACACCTGTTATCAGAACAACACATTTGGGGCTGTTTTGCTGACTGTGACACTAGGCGTCCTTGACCGTGAGGGTAACGCCCGCAAGGTCGTCAACTGCTCTTGCGTCGTTGTTAAGAACTGGGGTGAGATGTCTTCCGAGCGCGAGGTAAGAATTACACCCGAGTCTGCTGCTTGGCCACAGTTACTGACAAACGACACTACAGATCCTCCTCAACTACTTCCAGACCGAGCAGTAAATTGGCGATTCGCATCTTGGCGAGGCGGAATACCTAGGGATGTACAGGCGGCAGACGCGTCCCGGACATTGGCTCTAACAAGCCATGTGTCTGGTTGGACGTACGCTTGGGTAGACCTTACCGACTGGCACAAATGCTTAGAGCAGGCCTTAACTGGCTTCCCTGCAAGGGGCAATAAACAACGTAAAAGGTCCAAAACCCATTCGCTGATTCCTCCCATGACCATTGTATGAAGTCGTGTTGCCATGTGTGAAGTCCTGCAACCCGACCCGTTATGCCAGTGTCAAAAGGTCATGATCAGACCAAAGGACGTGTTCAACAAATGGGAAATAGAAAAGGGCACGATCACCCAAACGCCGTAGTATGCATATTGATATCATTTCTTACCCTCTACCATGATGATGTGGTAGCCAAACGGCGTCTTGGCCTCGCCAATCTTGGGGCTACCAGTGCTGCTTGTCTCCAAAGCAAACGCGACCTTCTCGAACTCAGGGTCTAATGTACCCTTTTGCTTCCAACCCAAACTTCCTCCTATAATATTTTGTGTAAGTGAGCGACCTTATCCGTAGAGAATAAAGTGAAAAATATCGCCAGTACGGCCACCAAAGCCAATAGGAGAAGCGATGAACAAGACAAAAGAAGCATTCTGCATCAAGCTCTTGAAACGTAAGAAAGAAAAAGACTTACCAGTCCTAGCCTTATCCTCACTATACTCCCTCGCAACAGCCCCGAAATCCGCTCCATCACGGATCTTGGCCAGCGCTTCTTCCTTCTTGCCATGTTTCTCACACTTTCATACAGTATCAGTGTTAGCGCATCGCCACCAAAATGCGGCAGACTGGATCACCAGAGGGTAGAGTTACTCACCAAAATATGCCGAACATTAATCGACTGAGCACCCTTGGCGGCCTTGCCGGCGTCCTTGCCCGCATCTTTGCCCGCGTCCTTTCCGCCCTTGCTGCCGGAGCCGGAGCCGGAAGCTTTCTTGTCTTTGCCCATTTTTATTATGCTGCTGAGCGACAAGCGAGAGGGAGTACTGGGTGAGGTGAGTGAGTGGGCGACTTGATGTTGTAGTGATGTTGAGTTTGCAATCTCCAGCTGCCCGGTGAGATGATGAAAGTGGAAGTGGGGCTGCGTTGTGAGGGAGCTTGAGCGACAAGCTGCAGTGCTTTGAGGATGGGGTTCAGTTTGGAGTGATCAACCCTAACCCTGGCTAAAGGGGGAAGTTGCCCCTTTTTTTAACGTCGCTTCGTCTCGATCAACGAGGAGGGACACTGCGCAATTGGAGAGGAAAGATGGGCTTGGTCCGCATGGATACCTCTACACTTCCTTTGTTGACATAAGTGTTACTCATGCTTTTTACTTGCCAATCGTTGATCTTGGGACGGTCGGTAGAGAAGGCAGGAACCTGGGGCTTGGGCAGGGGAGAGAGGTACGGGAAAGAAGAAACCGGAAAGAGTCGTTGCGAAGGTCGTACTCAGGAAGGTCCTAAAAGGGTTTGGTAGAGGTAGGAAGTGGAAGTCTCAAGTCCACATGAGTATGGAAAGATGTCGTCGCTCGCTGCATTCCATGTCCCGTTGGTTGCGGTTAGCGATCAGAAACTCAGAAGTGGAAGGATGCGGTGCAACTGAACCTCTGCAATGGATTCATGCTCTTCCCAAGCTTCATTGCAACGACAGGCACGTAAAATCTATCTCATTTTACCTTGCAAGTGAAGCCGCATTGTAGAGCATGCTTATCCATGATTGACAGGTGTCGTCTGGAAGGCACGAAGGACACTTCTCGGCAGGCGTAGTCGCGGAGAATCCGCTCCAGCCCAAATGCGCAGCATAGGTCGGTTGGAAAAGAAAGTGATGGCCCTAAAGGCCAAGGGCGTATCTCTCCTTCCAGATATGAAGTGACAAAATGAAGACATGACGGTAAAGCGACTTCCACATTTCTTTGCAGCGTGGAGTTCAACGATGAATCACGCAACATCGTACCAGTTGTGCTTTCTCTTCTCGATGTTGAGAAGGGAGTACCCCACGAACGTCTCGCATTCAGTATTTATTCGACCGCCCATGTTCCATTTCCTCTTCTTTCTCTTTTTCTTTTTTCACAGCTTTTCATACTTCATCCACTACGCGTACCCCACGACTTACCTTGGCCTCACGATCTACTTTGCTTCATTGTTATCTTCTCCCAGTCTTGGACTCCTCTTTCTTGATCTTACCACACCTGCCTCCTTTACCCAGGTACCAACTTCAACGTCATCATGGGCAAGTTCAGTCGATCCATGCAAAGACAAAGGGGGAAAAGAAGGGAGGCGAGCGATGCCAGAATTCTGGAAGAGAGAGAAGCTGCCCATGCAGCTCGCCAAACACAAACTCCCACCCCACCAACGTCAGATTGTTCTTCAGATGGCGAAAGCACGACGACGACAAACACAGCAACACCAGAGACTGAGAAGCTCATGCAAGCGTACCACAACAGCTCGACGGCCGAGAAGAAAAACGAATCTCTCTCCGACATCTTGTATGCTGCCGCGGACGAACTGTTTGCAGACAAGAACTCTTCCACGACCGACTGGAGACTCCAACGTGTCATTCAAGCCGTCACCGGTGCACTTGAAGACCTGAACACATTCACCACCGAGCCGAAGACAGGCCGCCATCTGAATCGGCGGTTCCAGTCCAGAACCGAAGGAAGCGTGCTGCCTACTCATGACCATATCCAGTCCAAAGCAGTTGACAGAGTTCTGCATATTCCACTCCTCCGCCGTTTGAGTCAATACCAAAAATGGAGCGGCAAACCCTCCTCGTGGCAATTGTGGTATCAAGGGCTCAACAGGGCGTACCATGACGATTTCAGGACGGGCCTTGATCCCGCCAATGCCGACCATGCTTCGCGGGCGTGGAACACAATCTTGGACAAGCTGCCGGAGCAGGTGACGGTGAAGCTGTTGAACGAAGGCGTCTTGGTCCCGGAGCGGCCGGATCCGCACCAGCTGTTGGTTCATCTGAACAGGTTTATCAGTTCGGAGTACCTCTAGTTGAAGCTTGGGTGTCATGCTTGAGTTTTCACTGCGCCAGCTTCTGAGTGGTGATGCAAGGACACAACTGGATCGACATTGTTGTTTTCTCTGCAAGGAACGGTTGTTTGGCTTTTGGTTTACTGGAGAGGATCTTGTTTGTGGCTTTCTGGTCTGCATTTGTGGTTAAACTCGGGAGTATCTCTGAAAGCGGCTATCTGGCATTGGGGGCATAAACGGTGTTGGTGGATTTGACATTCAGACTTGAAGATGCCCGTCTCCAAATCATGGTGCGATTCGGTTATGGCAGTTGTATGGAGAAGAAATAGGAATAACCAGCGAAATAGCGATTATCTGTTTGGTTTGTTTGGGCTTTTACACCACCCAGTCTTAGCAAGTTCCCCTTTCCATTATGAATTAGCTACTGATAAGCAAACTTCAAGTTCTCATCATCATCATCCAAATTGATCGTGCCATAATCATGATCATGATCGTCATCTTCATCATTATCATCGTCGTCAAAACAATTACTCAACGCAACCAAAGCTTCAACCTCCGCAGATACATCCTCTCACCTCACATACCCCCTAGGAAACAATCCAACCTCCCCCATATACCACCCCACCCCCCACTCCTCATTCAACCCTTCCACCTCGGTGATCTCGGCCCCCTTGGGGAAAATCAACTCGTTCTTGGCTTCGGGGGAAGATCGGTACCAGCTGAATCTTGCAGTGCACTTTGTTCCCGTGCCGCCGTCGGGGGGGAAGGTGTCGGTTGTGAATCTCCCATGACCATGACCATGACCAGGGGGGGAGCGGGTGCTGTTGGGGGATGTGGGCGACATGGGTATGGGTGAGGTAGGTGAGAGTGGTGATAATGGTTCTTCCGGGGAGTGACCTGGTGGTACGGCGGGGTGGGAGACGTCTAGGGATACCAGTCTCTGCACCCATTTTTCTTTTTCCTTAGAGGTATCCTTTTCGTCTGAGTCCTTTCCACCTTGGCCTGCCCCGGAAGAGGAGACGGAGTTGTGGGAAGTATGGGAAGTATCAGATGCGGATGGCGAAGGTAGTGGCAGCCCAGAAGAAGGGGAGGAGGAATCATCCCTCCAACTCCAAATCTGCATCCCCCTCACGCCCCCCAGCAAAAAACTCTCCACCTTCAACCGATGTCCCCCAACAATCTCTTTCATAACCTTTCTTCTCTCAACGCCCGTGCGGTCGTCAATAACAAAAGATACGATGGTCATTCGGTGACCACCAGACTGGGGACAGCGGCGCCAGCCGAGGGGACCGTTTTCTTCTGCTATCGATTCCGGGACCAGTGAGTGGTAGCAAGACTGGCAGAGGTTGTATTCCCCAGCACGGGGTTGGGGTGTGTGTTTGGAAGGGCAAGAGGGACAGTGGAAGCGTAGGTCGTGGGGAGGGATCGGGACGGAACAGAGTTCGCAGGGCGGGGAGAAGGTTAAGGGTCTGTAGGCGCCGGTGGCGGGGGCGGAGAGGTTGGGTTTTGAGAAGGGTGGTGGACCGGCTAAGGACGAGGGGCGGGAGATGGAGGAGGAGCGGGAGTGACTACTTGTAGTTGTTGTGGTTGTAGTTGGGTTTGCGGATGGGCTGGTTGGTGGTGTGGAAGTGGAATCTGCTGCCGCTGGTGGTGTACCGCTTGGAGAGACGGACGAAGCTGGAGGAGGTAGGTAAGTGAGTGCTTGCAAGGGGTGCGAGCAAGCCTTTTCCTGGTTAACGCAGTTATTGCAGAACCCCCACTCGCCTTCATTGCAGAATTCGCAGCGCCAGTAGCACTCATTGGCAAAGGCTGAGCAGCGACAACAGAACGTACCGCTTTGCAGCCGGTCAAGAGGGTTGGCGAGGCTGCGGGCGCGCGGACTGGTGTCACTTGGTTTTGGGGGAGGTAGGTACCGGACGGCGGTCAGCCGGTGCGGAGGAGGGAGATTTGGATGGTTAGCTTTGGCCTTGTTCCAGCGGTGCCAGACGGCGTAGCCGAAACCGAACCAGTGCAGACATCCTTTGCGCTTGCGCCAGCAGTCGAGACAGATGTTCCAGTCGCCGTTGTGGCAGATGGAGCAGTTGAAGTGCAGTTTATACTCGATGTGCTCCATGCCGCAGCCGTTGCAGTTGATGATGGGTTCCGGATAGCGCGGCATATTGGACTGAGACGGTGCTGGTGGGGTGCCCAGATGTGTGCTTACGGGACCGGAGGTTGATACAAAGTTGGGTACCGACGGGGCGGAAGCAAGTTCTGATGTACTAGGCCGACCAGAGGTTGTCCTTCTTCTCCTCCTTCCTGAAGTATCGGAATCCGATGAACCGTCTGTTTGTGTATGTGGTTGTGTGACTCCTATCCCCGCCGCTCGAGCATTGAACGACAGTGACCTCATGTCTGATGAGTTTGCCGTGGTTGTTGTCAGTAGCGGGTTGCTGCTGACGGTTGGTGAACTGGAGCTTCGTGCCTCCGTGATCACTCCCGCGCTGGGTCTGATTGGTTGCGTCGCTTCAGAAGTGGTCTGGGAACGGTGGGCTGACACACGGGGTTGTTGTTGTTCGCCCTGTGACGGGACTGGCACGGTCGAACTCCGGCTGGCACTGCTTGTCGTCCTTCGCCTTCTCGAAGCTCCCTGAACATCCAAATGAGCCGAACCCGCGGATGGGGGATATCGATGTCGTTCCTCGTTACTGCTGGCGCTTGGCTCCCTTGACCGTGTGCGTATGCTCGCTGGTCGTGTAGCGTGATCCGGCGGCGGTCTCGTCCACGAAGTCGCCAAGGGCTCCGGCCTATATGATTGCGTCGTCGTACTGGAAGCCGTATTCCTCCTCGCATTCCGCTCCGCATTGGCCCGTGTCCTCTCCCGGTGTCGCCTCCTGTACGCCTCCATGATCTTCTTGCTGAGCTCGTCGTTGTTGTCCAAGTCGATGTTATCCAAATCTAGCCCGTCCAGCAACCCTTCCTCCTGGATCTGTCGCGCAAACTCCTCAATCTCCCGCTCAATATCGATATCGCCCAGGTCATCAGCGCTGATAAGCGATCTAAGAGATGACTGATGTTCAAGCTGTCTCGTCCTCGCTTCCGTCTCTCGTTGCCGCGATTCACTCCTCCGTCTCCTCCTCTCCTCCGCATAATGATTCTCCGGATGTAGCGTCGCGCTCTGCGCCCGTATCCTGCTGGTACTACTAGGCGCAGCCGACGAATCCCTCACCCGTTCCCTATCCCTGCCCACCATACTCCCAGTTCCAGTTCCAGTTCCCGAGGCCCTATTCCTACTAACATCCCTACTCGTCCTCCCCTGGTGCGAAGAATGCGGTGCCTGTGACGCCCTCCTCCTCCTCTCCGACGAACCCCCAACCGCACTCCCACTCCCTCCTCCAACCATACCCACCATACTCCCCGTCGCACTCCCAGTCGTCCCTAACATACTACCATTCCCAGCCTCCAACGCCGCCCAAGCCTCCCTCAAACTCATCTCCTGCACCTCATGCAACACCCTCCGTTCCTCCTCATCCAACCTCCTCTCCTCTTCCGTGCGTTCTTCCCACCTCTTTATCCTCGGCAGCACTTTACTCCCCTTTCTATACCTCTCATCCATCTCTTTCCGTTCTTCCTCGGGGCGCGTGCGCTCGGGATTCATGGCCAGGAACATCTCTAGTAAAGTAGCGACCCGCGCATCGTGTTTGGTGTCGCGCACGGGGTCTCGGCAGGCTGGACAGGTGAAGACTTTGTGTTGCTCTGAGGGTGGAGGGGGTGGTAAGGGGGAGGTCTCGGCGCGGTAGGCTTGTGAGGCGAACCATTCTTTTAGGCAGGCGCCGCAGAAGGTGTGCAGGCAGTCGAGGAGGGTGAGGGGTTGGTAGAGGAGGTCGGTGCAGATCTGCGGGTTGATGGTATTAGCGATTGGCTTTTGGTGATGTACTCGTCAGGACTAGAATCGTCTTTCTTCCCCTTGGCGCAGAGTCCTGACGAGTAGAGGGGTTGTTGTGTTTAGTTAGAGGGAACGGGGGTGGTAGGGGAAAGAGAGGGTAGTTCGTCCGATGTTGTTGTTGCCGGACGGGACAGAACACATGGCGAACACATGGCTTGGGCCGGCGCATGGCATGGCATGGCAGATCCAGATCCGAAACATATCATTCCGTCTGAACCAGCGCAACTTTGAAACTTGGCAGTAAACGAAACCAAGAAAGAGTAAAACTCACAGAACAAGTCAACTCCGACTCCAAATTCACAGAGGCAGCCGCCTTCTTGATGCTCGAAGAAGTAGGTGTTTCCATCATCCTGACCAGTCAACCGTGACCGAGCGCAGCGAGCGGGTACGGTAACCTTTCGTTCCTCGTTCCGAGCCCGTATCCTATCCTATCCTATCCTATCCAACTTGCGACTTGCGACGATCAAGGCGCCGTATCTTCTTCCCCCTCTTCTTCAAACTTCAGCTTTGGAGGTGTGTGTCCGTAACCAAGGCGTATGCGCAACAGAACGAACCGGGTGCGTCGTCGTCGTTTCGTGACCGTAGAGGTATGTTCCCCGCTTGTGTCTTCCGAACGTGTCGTCGTATACTGTTTATTCCCAGTTGTTGTCGTACAAGTTCAACCGCTCGTCTCGGGAGCGGTCTCCGGGATCTTTTAAGTTCAGCGCGGCGGCTGGCGGCGGCGGCGGCGCAAAACGTCGGGTTGTGTCTCGAGTATAGGTAGTGCAGTCCAGGTGAGAGTCCGGCGCAAAAGGAAGAAGCGGGCGGGCGGGATGGTAGGTGATGATCCCCTCAAGTCCAAGGTCAAGGCTTATAAGGTAGGTCTAGGTAGGTATATGCCCACCAAGATACAGGGTAAAGTGATGAAGTAACAAGAAAAAAAATTATATGTATGCGTTCAGGTTGTAGCGACAGCGACGAACAGCAACGCAAGTACGCAAGTGGAAGCCGGCACAAGAAACCTGGTTACGGTCCAACACGATGCAACCCAAATGAGAGGTTGACAGTGGGCAGTGGGTGGTGGACGGCGGCGGCACCGTTCGCGATCCTGGCGTTGCGCTGCGTGGGGCCCCGTCGATACGGGGGAGATGCACGCTATAACCCATAGGGGATAGAACCGCTGAGTTTGCGCTGCCTGTGCCATGGGATTTTATGCATGTCACAACACCACCCGACCCAGAACACCCTCCCGCAACAAATGGACGAATGACCGGTTCACAAGCATTCTCGCCCAGTAAGGAAATACACTATGTAAGCAAGACATCTGACGACGACATGCTACCACACCGGAGCATCTTCTTGGGGTTTCCATCATTTCCTTCACGTGGCTGTGAACAGCACTTCAAGGTTGGAGCAGATCAAGATTGTTAGCTGACGTTGTTATTCGCTACGGCGTTTAACTACCAAATACTCTCCATGTGCATCCATCAACTCACCGTCCAAGTCGTGACCAGACCTCTTTGATCACGTATCATTCGTCTCAAGTAATAGTAAAAAACCAGCTGCTGATGCAATGTAATAATACCTTTCAAAAACGCCCGCATCTCTCTGTGTGTGTGCTTGTATGTATCTACCATGCCAAACTACAACCCTTCATGAAATTCCCCAACTCGCGCCCATGGTCGTACCCAAAACCTGGAAACAATCTCAAAAAAATAAACGCCAATGCCCATCACCATGATTATCGTTATAGATCGTTAACGGGCTCCTCGTCGCCCTCATAGTCTTTGCACACCCCGTACCATGTCCTGCCACGGCAACGTTTACCGCTATCATCAGGCTGTCCCTCTGTCGGAGTAGCCGTTGCTGACGGGGTAAGCACCGAGCTCGGCAGGGCTGGGGCTGAAGTAATACTAAGCTCTGCCGAAGTGGATGGTGATCCGAGATCCGTCGTTGCAGTCTTATCATAACATCCCCAGAACTTTCCAGGAGTTAGGCATGTAGTGCTGCTCGTTGTCGCGGTAGGAGTTGTTGTTGATGTAGTCGAGGTTGTGGTCTTGTCCTTGCAACCGAACCAGCCACTGTTTGATAGGTTAGCAACGTTAATACCAAGGTTTACTCGGTAGTCAACTTACGGAGTGTGGCATGTAGTGGTAGAAGTGGTGGTCACTTCGCTTGTTGTTGTTGTGGTTGCCGTTCCAGTTGTGGTAGTGGTTTCATCCAAACATCCCCACCATCCCCTATCATTTGTTAGTATCTTCCAACTGAGAACAACGAGTACCAAAACTTACGGAGTCTTGCAGGTTTCTGTCCGGGTACGGGTCTTAGAGTCCGAAGTCGAAGTAGGCGCGCTCGAGGTGGTCGTGGTTTCGGTTCCATTGCTTTCGTACATCTTCCAGTTACCGCAATCTCTGCATTCCGGTGTAAACTTGCACTCAGGGACCTTCTCGTACTTCCTGAGGACATCGTGAATAACCGCACGAATCTTGTGGGTGCCAATGCCAACACGCCAGCCCAAATCGCCAACCGTGTCATAAACACACTCCCGGCCGGTATGACAAGCTGACTCCATTGCATATCCGCCAATAGCGCACGATGCGGTAGCTCCGTTACAGGTACCGACGTACACCGGATCGGCTGTGTGACCAACGTGGAAAGCTCCCGTGTACTCTCGGGTCTGAGGCGCATCTGGGTCGGATCCAGGAGGGATAGGAAGTCCCAGTCGCTTAGCAGGGAGAGCCTCGGGGACTGCCTCGAATGTCACAACCGGATCACCATAAGTCAAGCCAAGCAAAGAGCTCATGGCTCCTCCAAGCGAGTGCCCGACAATCCACACGTTAGCGTCGGGGTAAAGCTCAGTGACGTTCGCATAGAGCTCGCGACCGGCTTGGTAATAGCGGTTCTCTTGGCGCAATGCTTGGACAACGCAGGTATTGTTGCAAGAGTAAGTGCCTGTCGCGCAATCGCAAACCTGGTGCCAGGTCCAGGGTCCTTGTTGAGCACAGCAACAGCTGAAAAAGAGATTGTCGTTGACTTTGTCGTTGGTGGTAGTGCCGTCACCGTCGAAAACAGCAACCGATGTTCCCTTCAAGCCGATGACGATGGTCGAATTCGTCTCATCGGCAAACACATGGCCCCGAAGTCCATCACCCTCCCATCCAAAATCGAGGCTCCTGTTAAACTGGTGCCCAACATCCTCCCAATCTGCGCCATCGGGAGTCTGCACGTAGGCATCGGCAGCCATAAGCGCCAACGATATGATGGTGTCTTTATCCGTGATATCAGGTCCGGCAACTTCGTCCATTGTCCATGCTTCGGGTGATAGGATGGAAGCGTAACCTTGTTGTCGTGCATAAGCGACCATGGGATCTACGACGCTAGGTCTCCGGTCGGCAAGTCGTTGTATTCGCACCGGGCTGCTGCGCGCCTTGAGGGTCCCAATGCGCTCTTCGCCATATTCATCGTCGGCTGCTAGCCATACGTCTGCGTTCTGTGCGGGTATATCCTTCTTTCGGTGAAGTGTCGGATGTTGGTAGGTACCATGGTGGTAGATGTGTCGAAGTGTCTATGGGTGGTGAATCTGTGTTAGTGGTTGCTACGCGGGTGAAGACCAAACGAGACGTACGAATTTGTGTTCAGCCGGCGCTGGAGGCTCTGGTAGCAGGGGCTTTATTGGTGATGCTTCGATTGGTATGACTATCTGCGCATTCGGTTCGTCGTAGGAGAAGGCGTTGACGAGTGGTGTTGTCGAGAGAGCGAGAAGGGACAAGGCCAGTTTGGCGGTGACTCTAGCGGCGGATGTGCAACCGAATGCATCCGCTTTCCTCTTTCCAGAGGAGAACATGCTGAAAGAAGGTGTCGGTCGTGGCCAGTTGAGGATGGTGTTGGGTATGGACAAGATAACTAAGAAAGGTGAAGAAGACGAAGAGGATTAAAGAGAGGTGTCGAGATGTTAGGAGACGTGTTTCGCCTCGAACAAGAGGATGTCGTCAGTCCAAGGTCAGTTGATTGATGTGTTGGGGAAGGCGGTCCGCGGCTTGGGTCGTTTGCAGAGGGAGAGAGACGTCCCGCGCGGCGTGTGTCTGTGGTGCACTGGTGCCTGTCACCTGCGACAAGATAGCGTGTTGGCACCGGAATCGTTGATTGACCCGACAGCTAGTGATGACGATCGCAGCCAATGCCAGAACGGCCGATGGCGGAAACGCGTGGCGTACCTCTCAAGGTTCCTCTTATCAGCGATAACACCGCCTTACCCCAGAAACTGGGCGCAAACGTGCAGATGGGGCATGCACCATGCGTTGTCACTGTTGATAATGGAAGGGTTAGGGTCATGTATGAAGGCCAGTAGTTGAAATTAAGGTGGAAAACCGTAACCTTAACATCACATGCACTCCAGGGCGGAACATTGCAGTTCTTCAATGTACTTGTCCACGAGATACGATATAACATCATCTGATTGTGATTTTGTTGATGACTTCAGTTTCTTGAATTGCAAGTGTCTTTCTTCCTCTTCAATATCCTCGGCTTGACACACTGATGTATCAGGCTGTCTGCCAGGTGGAGCATCTGCCAGCACTGTCAGTGTCATCCCACTGGCAGAAGATGCGGGACAGACGGGAGCACCACCTCTGCAAGTCGCCTAGCTCGGACCCTGGAGACACGCATCTCGTCTCTCTCATCTCCCACAACATGAACTTCTTCAGGACTCGAACATTCGATGTCTTGACCTTTGAGAGCAACAATGCTTTGATGGCTCAACCATTAAGCGCCCTCTGTCTTCCTACTCTTTGACTTTGCGTCCAACTGTTTCTTTTTTGCCTGTTGGTCTCGCACGTTCTCATCACACTATTTTAGCACGGTATAACAACAAGCCCAGGGCTCCATAGCATCACTCACCACTTTGACCCCCGTCTCCCCGTCTCCATCTCGAACTGCGTGGGCCTAGAGTGATATCCCGCTCTTCCTACTCTGATTGCTTGTCACCCTCAGTCGGATCCAAATCTTGTGGTTTCAAACTGTCCCGTATCCTTATGCGCTGGTTATTTGCTTCAGGTGTAAGTGTCATGATCTGTCCCCGGCGTCAATCATATCTGCCAGCACCTCGTCTATCGTCAATATCTCCACTGTGGAGTCATTCATCACAGGAATGCTTGGGAAGTCCCGGCTCCCATTACGTCGCCCGTCGCACTCAACTTCGCTTCCCCAGGACTTACACTTCTAACCTTAAACCAATACAACAGTGAGACAAGCGGTATTATCATGTCGTCCAGCAGCAACAACCCGCCGCCGCGGCCGAGTCCTCTCCGGACATCTCGGTCCTTCACCCGCCTCGATCCGCCTTCCACGCCTACAGACATGACGCGCCCCAAGAGAGCGAGCACGATACAGTCCCCAGTCAAAGACAGTTCCGAGATGCCCGACACGTTCGAGAGTAGGGTCAGCTTGGACATAGAGCCCCCGAGGTCGTCCATCGATCTGGAAGGGCTCCCCATAGAGTTGGTTGCCCTAACAGACAGCTTCATCGACGGCCTAGTCGCAAAGGTGCACCCAACACCGCCCAATATCGATTCTCTCTCCCAGCGGTTCCAGGACTTTTATGCTACAGCTGCGTCCCATATTCAGACCCATATCGACAGTCTAGCCACTCGACAGAAGCGCGATGAGTTTGCAACATCATCCTCGGGCACGCGCCAGTCCGCGGCCAGTATACTACGCCAAAAGGCTTCTCAACTTGGCAGTAGCAGCAAGGAAAAGCTAAAGGCGGGACTTACAAGGCGGGAATCTGAAATGCTTACCCCGGATGAATACGCCGAACGTAGAAAAGCAAGGAAAGCATTGGAGCAGCAGCGGATCTTGTTGGAGGAAGCTGTAGAAAGGAGGCTTTGCGAAGGCATCTACGGAAGGATTTACCGCCATCACACCACACAGGACGAAGCGCAGGATGACAAGCTCCGATCAAAAACAGCCGCTTTGGCCGTGGTAGGCATTGGCCCCAGCGATTTGGGGGTGGACATTGGAGACATAGACAAAAGTGACCCGGAGGCCGTCGCCAAGAGAACGGATGAGGTCAGGGACTGGCTAGAGGGGGCGAGGAAGGAGTTGATACTGATGAACCAGTCGCGCTATCCTCTGGGCAAGCTCAACCATCTCAAGGCGACCCACAAAGCCATTATCGACACTCTCTCACATTTCCACCCTTCCTCCTCCGCAGACGAGCTCATGCCCATGCTCATCTTCACCCTCATCACCCTCCCGCCCGAGAACCTCAACGTTATCAGCGACGTCAACTTCATCCAACGCTTCCGATGGGAGCCCAAGCTGGTGGGCGAATCGTCCTACTGCCTCACCTGTCTCGAAGCCGCCATCAGTTTCCTCGAAACAGTCGACCTATCCACCCTCCGCGCCGACGAAGCTCCCACGGGGCCCGCCAAGAAGCCTACCGGCTCCTCGATACCTCGAGCAGAGACCTTCCCTCCCGCCTACTCAGCCGGCGTCTCGTCCACCCCCAGCCCATCCTCCGAGTCCAACAACAGCCTCAAGCCTCCCCTCTCCCGCGACGCCGTGCGGCTGCGTGATCGCCGGCTTAGTGATCTGGTGACCCAGCCCGCGCAGGCCTTCAACGCCGCCAGCGACGCCGTCTTCACCACGGCCGACCAGAGCCTCAAGACCATCGGCATCAGCTTGGGCGACAGCTACAAGTTCCTTGTCGGTAAGATGCGCGAGCACCAGGAGGCCATCGTGCCCAAGACGCTCGAGGACGCGCGCAAGCTGATCGGCACACCGCCGCCGACCCTTGGGATGGAGGATGGTGACGGACACTCCATGGCGAGCGGCGTGAGCGTGAGGAGCGCCGCTAGCTCGGTACACACCCCTGACGAAGCTGGTAGTCTACATCCGCTGAAGCGGTCCAACACGCCCAGCAGGACGGCAGAGGATAGGGTGTTGAGCATCATTGGCGGGAGGAAGGCGTCGGCGACGAGGGATCCCAGTGTCGATAGCGCGAGCACGAACAGGAGCGTTTCGGGATCGGGGAAAAGGCTGACGGTGGAGGAGAGGGCGGCTGCGGCTGTGGCTGCTGGGTTGAGTGGTGGTGGGTCAGCATCAAAGGAAGCAAAGGAAGGAAGTACGACTGCGATTGCGGTTGGGACGACACCGGCCCCGACACCGGCGCCTGCGGCTTCGTCAAACCCGGCGCTTATTGATTCCGTGAGGAACCTGGGTAGTTCGTTGAATCCGATGGCGAGGTTCTCGCAGGGTATCAGCGGGTTGAGGAGCTTTGGAAGGACGACACCGGCACCGGCGGCGGCTGTTCCGCCTACGCCTGTGGCTAAGGATAAGGAGGTGCCGCCGGTGCCGGGGAAGGGGACGCCGGTGGCGGATGGGGGTGATTTGGCTACAGTATGTTTCTTTTTTTTCTTTGTTCCCCTAGCACATGCTTCTTTAGGACAACTGACTAACATATTCTGATTACACAGGCGTTCCCCGACTTAGCACCCGCTTTACCGCCAAAGGAGACTCCCAAGATCGAACCGCCTATCAAGCGGTTCATGGAGATTCAGAACCCGGCGGATTTGAGGATAGGGGAAGTGTTGGATTTGCTGAGGGATTATAGAAGGCTAGCTGGGGCGCTGAAAGATGCGGGTGCTTTCAAGGAGTAGGATAGGTAGATGTGGATATATATACACAGTGCATTTCGGAATACATACTGGAAGAGGTATATTTGGATGTAAACAGACATGGTGCATTATTCGTTGGGTTAGGTCAGGGGCCAGAAACGGGGACAACTTATTATATAATGGGATTTGTTGGATCAAGGATAACCGGGCCTCTTTAGAAATAATAACTGGTTCGATGTAAGGGGGCCTTTCCCTACGGTTATATGCGTTGTTTAGGTATTGTACGTGTAATGTCTTGTGTGAATTATTGCCAGCCTGATGTTTGGTTAACTGGGCGCTCGAGGTAAACCGAAGACCAAAATCTCCCTGCCTGTGAAGTTCATCAGCACCTACCTACCTTCGGCGAGGTCGGGAACACCTCCACCTCCATCTCATGTCACTTCCAAGTGGAAGCCCCGGAGCCAACTACGGGGGAAAGGGTACTCTATGTATTAAGATCACAACAAGGAAATCTTCACGCCCAGTAATCACTGGCCTAGGTATCGATATGGTAACTGCCGACGTTGGCAGTCGACATAGGTAACCATGGGTGTGAGGACTAACTGGTCTTGGAGTCGCCAGGTACGGGTACAGCACCCTTTCCAAATCGTTCACCAACCACCGTTGTGAACGAGCAGTCATATTATTCCTTCCACATGTCTGCTCTTCTCACAACTCACAATCATTCATTCACTCGGAAACTACTCCGAGTGATAAAGTCAAGTAGGTATGAATCCTACCTATCTTGGCTATGGGCGCTTCGATTGTTGGGTGGCGTTAACAGCAGCGAGGCCAAAGAAGACAAAAGGAATAGTGGTTAGGTATCACATCTCAACTCTCAAAATCCCGAGTCGTCACAGCCAATCACATATTACCTACGTATTCGATTCTGGGTTTGTCACAGCCATACCTACATGAGCATAGGTAGGCAAGGTAATAATATGTACACGATTTCCCACTGGGTCTGGGGCTCAAGCGATAAGTGTGATCGGGATGATCAAAGTGATCAAAGTGATCAAGGTGAGCAAGTGAGGAAGTGAGGTGTCAAGTGAGGAAGCGAGGGTGTCAAGTGTGTCAAGGTTGGCCAGTTGGTAAGGTTGGCACGTTGGTAAGGTTGGTTGCCACGTTGGTAAGCAATGGTTTACATAGCCACACCTCACTCAGCAAGGTGAGTAGGTAGGTAGGTAGGTAGGTAAAACGGAAGATGGTGACGGTGACGGTGACGGTGATGGAGATGGAAAGGAAGAGAGAGGTTTTATGCCGAGGACAACGAACAACGACGTAAAAGGTCTTCTTTAGTAATGCTTTTGACATCTTGGAATACTACCCATCACATCACATCTGAATGTCAGAATTGATGTCAGAATGTGTTTTCTGTCTCCACGGGTATGCTACCTAACAACAGCCTAGTAATCTGACAATACCTCTGTACGAAATGGAGTACCTAGGTAAATAAACCGTCAGTTGGTAACTAGGGCTTTCCGGACCGGAGTATAGTCCGAGCACAGGACTGACTGCGAGGAGTTTTACGCCAACTAGTTCTAGGTAGGTAGGTACAGGTACAGGTACCTACCAAATATTCCATTACATATATCTAGGGTACACAACATCCGAACGAACGTCCATCTTCAATTTCACGAGGCTGTCGTGGGATGGATGGTGGCTAGGTGTCAGATTCAATGAAACCCTGACATGCTGACCCCCACGAACCAGACGCCTTTCGTCTGACCGACTGACACTCCACTACCTCTGCCTAGAAAGAACTCTCAGAGGGATCCGCGCTTACTTGTACAACGTTGTAGAGAGAGGCTTTGAAGAAGAGAATTGGAAGAAGGAGAAGGATTGTGTAACTGCGCGGCTCTTCACCGGTTTCAATTAATTTCCCAACTCCCAACTCTCAACTCCCAGCCCTTAAAACGATTGGAATCGGGTTTGTCTCGGGTGACAGAAAAACCTCTAGGGAGAAAATTTACGACGAACATATGTATTTAGAAGAAGGTAGGTAGGATATGAAACATATGTTTCGCATCGTCAGAGACTTAGACTCATCGATTTGATAGACTTGTTCGACTTGAAAGACTTGTTCCTAGCCGCGCTGACGTTGCACACGCACATCTCTCCGCCTTCCAAAGTTCCTACACTGAATGGATGTGTGTGTAACTCGGATGGTTTTCTCCAAGTCATAGGTAAGGTAGTCGGACTTTTAACGCGGGGGTCACAAATCGTCATTCCGCACCTCACTTCACGTTTCTCGTTGTAACTGTTGTAAGTTCCCGTCCGCGTTGGGCACACCGAGTATGAAAAGATGACGCCGACGGGAGGTTCCATTTGTCGTAAGCATAAAAATCCGAGTTCACTCTCCTCTTTCTTCCCCGGTCTCGGTCTCGGTATTGCAGTCTCGACATTGGACTGAATAGTAATGACGATGGCGATGCAAACACCTTGCATTCAATACGACCGTTGCAGATGGTCAGGTTAGATCACTAGATGCGCGGATGCGGTGTTGCGGTGTGAGATTCACAGCCACGCCGACCCGTCATCCGGTTCTCCGGGGTAGCGGGGGTTGTTCGTGGGGGGGTTACGTAGGTGTGTCTTGTTGGATTTCGTAAGGAATTTTTACATGTGATGATTTATGCTTTTACCAACACCTATAGAAGGTAGCTAAAGTCCGGTTCTTGGGGGAAAAACCCAGTCATCAAGTGAGAAATTCCAGAGAGAAGGAATGCGGTTGACATGCAGTCTCACCGTTCGGTCGTGTGCTCCGCATGAAACAGATGGGTAGAGGTAGGTGTGAGTGGTCCTAAGTCTAGGTAAGCCGCCAATATCCCGCGGTGAAGAAGTCAAAGTGGCAATATGTATTAGGTAGGTGTGAGCACGAGATCTCAAGGCTTTCATTCGTAGTCTACGTGTGAGACAGGGGATGTGACATGGCTGAGAAAAAAGCCGAAGTTCAGGTCGTTCAGTCGGGTTCGGGTACTCGAGCCACAAGGGCGAGATTGGTGACCACCAGAATCAGAATCAGATTGGACACAGGAGCCGTAGAAGAAGGAAGATAGTACACAGATAAGTCTTTGCATAGCAAAGTTTGGAGATAATTTCACGAAAAGAGCAACGAGGTTTTATGTACGAAAAACCAAGAAAAAATAGCGAGTTTGAAAACTAGGTACAAAGCAAAAAGCAGATAACCACCCACCCAAACAGACCCTAACCATTCTTTACTATGTAACCCCAAATGTTCAAAAACCTCTCGCGAGGCCCAGCGTTATTCCAGCCGGTAAGTATCTTGTTTGTTTATATCCCCTTCCTTGTAAGGAAAAAAGAACACGAAAAGAAAAAAAGGGAAGAATAAAGCCAGTCCCAGAAATTCATCATTGCGTCGTGTTCAAAACGTTCTCGTCTGATCTGATATGTAAGTCGTCCACCCTTCTCCCTCTCATTCCCATATTTTTTTTCATTTCAATACCCAAAAGCAGCAATCTCCCTCCACCTCCTCCTCCTCCTTCCCTGACCCGTAATCGCATTGGATATCTCCGCCCCTCTAGCTTTCAACTTCTCTCTGAAATGATCGCACCACATCACCTCGAGGCGGCCGTCCGGCGGCGGTGCTTGAGATTGTTGTTGCATTAACATGGCTGCTGCTGTTGTTGTTGTTGTTGTTGGTGCCGTTGTCGTCGTTGGGTGGTAACCCATGCTTTGCCCGCCACCAGTGCTTCCTGTCATGGTGGTGGTGTTGTTGATTCCGTCCAAGCCCATTATATTCAAGTTTTCCATGCCTGCTGAGTAACTCATATGGCTACCCATCGTGCCAATCCTGCCAACAGTCATCCCAGGATTCATGTTCTTAGTCATCCCCATGTCCATCCCTAAACCATCAACAACCCCCATCACGCCCACGCCCACGCCCACGCCCAAGCCTTCCCAGCTCGCAGCAGCAGCCCCCAATCCCAAACCAAGGCTCTCGTAGAACGCCCTGATCACAAAAACCGGATAAGCCAGCATCCCCGGCTCGATATTGTTGTTCAGCGCAAACTCCAGACTCCTACCCACCCGTTCCGCCAGTCCCCTAACCGCTTTACTTCCATACCTCGCCGGGTCGCTAATCAAATCCACCGGCATCTGTTGCATCTGTTGCATCTGCACCTCCAACGGGAGGTTCATGTTCTGCATATTCTGATGCATATTCTGCAATCCTGTACCCACCATATGTAAAGGCAACGGCTCAAAGATGCTCCAGTATATGCGCTCGATGGTTTGGTAAAGCTGCATCAGACTAGTGCAGTAAAGGATATACGCCAAAGCGAGTTGGGAGGTGGGGAAGGCTAGTGGGGGGTTGGTGAATGGGTATCCTGCCGAGTATGATGGGTAGCCAGTATTTGGGTGAGCGTGTGCAACAGACGACGGAGAGGCGCGACGAGGAGACCTTGGTTGCCCCTGGGGTTTGTGATGAGAATGAGAATGAGGGGATGTTGTAGGGTAGGGTTGGAAGCGCGGGGAGGAGGCGGAGGCGGAGGCGGAGGGGGTGGGGGAGGGGGTACCTCTGGAGCGGGAAATGGAATTGGAATTGGATGGGGAGCGGCGGTGGGAGTGTGTTTGGCCTTGGCCTTGGCCCTGCGAATATGGGGAGGAGGAGGGTGAGAGATAAGGGTAGGAGCTTGAAGTTGGAGGGGTTGTTAGGTAGGGCGGAGATTGCCCGTAATCTGATATCGAAGTTGACGACGACGACGGTGTGATGACGGCCGTTGTTTGACGCGAGATAGCTGCCGTCATCTCGGCGCTGAAAGATGAAGACCAAGCGTTAAGTTGCCGTTCGATGTTGAGGCAGTTGGTCAAGAGGTCTTGAGCACGCTGACGACGGGATAGCGTTTGTACTTCTTCGGTGACTCGGTCCGTGCGAGAGAGGATGCGGGGCAGGAGGGCGATGATGTCGAAGAGTTGATCGAGGATGGACTTGGGGTGCTTCTCCCAGGGAGTGGAAGTCCATTCTGCGGACTCGAGGAAGGTTGGGGTGCGGTTGAGCAGGGCGGTCAGGATCTATCAGACGGTGGTTAGTCGAATGTTGTCAAATCCTGTCGTGACCAGCACCTGGATGGGAACTCACAGCAGTAGGCCGGTAGACCCGGACAAAGAAGTGATGGTTAGGAAACGTCTGAAATTTCTCTGGCCCAGCGCGTCTGATGGGATCATTTTGAGCGGCCGAATCCTTGAACGATGGCTGATTGCTATAGAGGTTCGTGTACAGAGTCGAATTGTTGTGCTTATAAAGATTGTGTTAGTGTTCAGAGACAACTTCATCCTGTGCTTATCAGTCATCGCAGTGGACCAACTCACCTCGTAAAGGAAAACGCATGAACCAATCGATGGCATGTATGGGTCCTCGTTCTGGCTTTCCGGTAGACTAATCAAACACTGCGACTTCAACTCGAAGTCCTGGCCACTGAAGTAAAGTTGCAGATTCGGGACTTCGTATTCCGCCATCGAGTTCACAGTAAACTCTCCCGTAGCATCTCCCCTGCTGCCACTACGGCGGAGAACATTCTGAAGCCGGGTATTCAGAGCCGTAAACTGTAGGGTGTACTTCGTACCCGAGGGCGTCGACAACGAGATCAAGTCGTCCCAAGCCGACTGAAGCGGCTGATCCGGAAAGAGCTCCGGATAGTGCTGATGTTTCTGATGCTTTTGCTGTGGAGTCCCCCTCTCCTCCTCTCCTCCACTTCTCGACGAGGTTGAAGCTTTCGCCTTCTTTGACTTGATGACCCTTGGCGGATGGGACGAACAACGACCGCCGTCCTCGATGGTTCCGATGATGAAGACGGTTTCTCGCTCATAACCAAGACACTCGCGACCACTGTCGATACACTTCCTGCAATATGGTCGTTCGTTGTCACACTAGTTGGATTAGTTGCTTGCTCAACGGGAAAGTTACCACTGTGGGGGATGGATTCATGTCTTACTTTGACTCTCCGGACACGGCAAGAATTGCAGCCCTTGTATTTCCCAGGAACACCGACCATCGTTATCAGGTAGTAAGAGTGGAGATGATAATAGGATAAAGAAACGAGGCAAACTGGTTTGTTTCTGTGCTTTTCTGAACGAGTGTCTAAAAGGAGAAGAAGGAACCCGGACAGACGGAGACGAGTATCTACCGAACAGTGTTGACAGGTTACAGCAGTGCGGGTCGCTCAGCCCCTGAACTATTGCTGTTGGGTAGACCCGTTATGTGTGTAAGATGGGGGTCCAACTGCAAGGTAGCAGATAGGTAGTAGTCAGAGGTAGGCAGGCAGGCAGGCAGGCAAGCAGGCAAACAGGTAGGACAAACCAGGCAGAGGGGGTCAGCTAAAGGGGTAAGGGCCTGAGGCCTTGATATACGGTACAAAACTTGACCAAACTCTTGCTGACCAGTTAGAAAGCAGACATCATCTGAGGCTGCTGACTGACCGTTTCTCGTATGAGATGAGAAAACCTTCAGTGACCAAGTGAGCCAACCATGAGACAGGACAGCCTCCTCCGAGTCACGGCCGAGGCAGCCTCGTGATCAGAAGAGCTTTCTTGGAAACGGACCTGTCGTTCTATACCGAAGACACTGTGAGCAGATTGCCTGGAAACATCCTCCTCTGTTGGTTCAGTATTACGTTTTCTGCGGCTACCTAGGGTCCAAGACGCTTGTCGGGAGGACTCCGAGAGGGTGACGCCATCACTTGACTGGCACACCACCAACACGGTATGCTGGAACCAAAGAGAGCTCTGGGGAATGGAGCCGGTCACGCAGAGGGCTTGGTTGCGCATATGCGCTTTGCAAAGTCCACTCTCGGTGTACGTATTCCGTAAGCCTTCCCATAGAGTGTGTGGGGGGACCCGGCACAGATGGCATGTAGGAATATATATATGGATGGCATGGCAGCAACGGTTGACCCAGCATATAGTTCTCGGTCGGCAGCAAGCGAGTCATTTGTTTTCGATGCAAGAGCGGCAACAAGCCCCAAGATGTAGTTTTTGGCCCAATAACTACTTGGAAGTGTAACGATGGCTTGAAGGGGGCTCTGTAGGGCTGCAGTTGTTAGAAATCAGCCCGCAGGGGTTCGGCATCCAGGATAGGAAGCCTACGGGCTGACGGATGGGGCTGGTCAGACGGAATGGCATGGAAGGTGGTATGTAAGAGGAATGCAGACCTGTGATTGGCCAGTAAGCGGAAACGGGTATATAGTACGAGGACTGGCGTCGTCGATGGTGACTCTCGGGTTCGAAAGCCTGCCTGCCTGCGACTCTCGTTCGCTGAGATGTGTGATTTGGTGCTTTGCTCACTACTCGCTCTGCGGCCAATCAGCTTACCAAGCCAACGACTACGCCCTCGGGAACCCCGACTACACTGTCCGGGAGAAACTGCAGTGATATGCGGTCGTTGACGACATGATTGACATTAAACCAAGCCAATCCGCAATGACGGGAGAAGATGGTTTCAAGGTGGATGAATCATGATCAGGGGGAATACAATTTGAAGTGGCATCACCGGCCCGAACCCGCTCTGAAGGGTATGTTGGACGGGGGAGAATCCGTCCAGGTGGAATCGAGCAGGTCAGCGCCGCATACATACAGGATCTGGAAGAAAGAATGTTTTATGCAAAATGAACAAAGGTATGGGCTTTTTAGATATACTTGTAAGGGTTCAAGATGGCGTTCTGAAAGAGTGACTGGTTAGCGGTAGGTCACATCCTGGGGCCGCAGTTGAGGGCCGTTGGGACCGGTAGGGGCAGTGTGATGCCGGGGCCAAACTAGGAAAAATAGGGCTGGTGGCGGGCGGGGAAAGAAACCAAGGTGTGTTATAGGCTCATCGTCAACTTACCGGGTCATAGAGATCCTTGAGCTGCTTCATCAACCCGACCATGGTGGGAGTACGGCTGTACCCAATGTACTTCTTCTTGGCCAGACCAAGACCGTGTTCAGCGCTGATGCTGCCCTGACGCTTGGAGATCCACTCGTAGACGAAAGGCTCAAGAACCTTCTCAACCCGCTCGTCGTAGCGGCGGGTGGACACGTTAAGGTGAAGGTTGGCGTCGCCCATGTGTCCGTATCCTACAACAGCACGCACCGGGTGCTCATCCGTGTCACCGAGGAGGCCGGCCTCCTCAACACGGGCCTTGGTATCCTCGACAAGCTGGTACATCTCGGGGAGAGGGATGGAGACATCGTACTTGTACACACCACCAAGGTGGCTAAGGACTTCCGGAATACCCTCACGGAAGCTCCAGAGAGCCTTAACCTGGGTCTCGTCCTGGGCAAGAGTGCCGTCGACAACGATACCCTTCTCCATGACGTCCTCGAGGAAGGTCTGGAGCTTCTCACCATCGTGGTCGGAGTTGGATCCGCTAGTTTCGATCAAGCAGTAGAAGGGGTACTCACCCTCGAGAGGCGAGTTCTTCTTGGTGACTTGGCGAACAAGAGCCTGGCTGCTACCGTCCATGAGCTCGAAAGCAGAGAGAATCTCGGACAAGTGGCCTTTGGCCTCGCGGAAGGCCTGCTGGGCAGCCTCGTAGGACTCAAGACCGAACAGGGCTACGTTCTGAGCCTTGGGACGCTGGGGGCACTGGATGACAGCCTTGGTGATGACACCAATAGTGCCCTCAGAGCCAATAAAGAGCTGCTTGATATCGTAGCCAGTGTTGTTCTTGCGCAACTTGCAGAGATCATCGACAACGGTACCGTCGGGAAGGACGGCCTCGATACCAAGAGTAGTTCCGTGCAAGCTTCCGTACCTCAAGAGACGAAGACCACCGGCGTTGGTGGAGAGGTTGCCTCCGATATGGCACGAACCCTTGGCACCGAGATCCAAGGGGAAGATGTAGCCCTTGCTGGCCAGGAACTGATCAACAACCTCGAGAATAGCACCAGCCTCGACCGTCAGGATACCGGAAACCTCGTCGAACTCGATGATGTTGTTCATGCGGCCCATGTTGAGGACAATCTCGTCGAACACGGGAACGGAGCCACCAACGAGACCGGTGTTGCCGCCCTGGGGGACAACAGCCAGCTTGTTGTCATTGCAGTACTTGAGGATCTTGCTGACCTCCTCAGTCGAGCTGGGCTTGAGGACGAGTTTGCAGTGGCCACGATACTTGCGCATCCAGTCGCTGTTGAAGGGCTCGATATCGTCAGTGGCGTTCTCGTTGGTCACGCCATCGATGACAGCAGACTCGGTGCCCAAGAGACCCTTGAAGTAGTCGACATGCTCCTTGGTGACCTGGCCATAGCGAGGATCCCTCTTGAGTTCAGGATAGGTCTCGCTGGTGAACTTGCCCTGCTGGCATCTTGTCTCCTTGAGCTGGCTGGGACGGGAGCTGCTGAAGCACCGGACCGCCGACGCAACCTGGGACTGAACTTGAGGCTGAGTGGTCAGTCTGGGGGAGAGTCTTGCTGGCTTGGCCAGTCTGGCGAGCGTTGTCGTCGAGGACCGATGTCGGCAGGCCATGTTGGTGATGATGAGTCTCTGGAGTTGCAAAGAGTGAAAGCAAAGAACAAGAACAGAAGCCCCCAAGTATTCAAAGAAACCTTCGTTCTTAATCCCGATATCGCTGTGTTAGTTTAGTGTCTCACAAGACTCTAGACTCACTGGAACACCAGGGTTGGCTGTGGTATCGATGACTTCACCAGGGTTAACCGACACACTTCTCAGAAAGTTCCTCAGATGGTAGGGAACTAACAATGAGATGAGCTGACAGGTGCCAAATCCTGTCAGTGCTCTACTGGCATCTGTCAAGTCGTTGTTCCGCAGCCAAGGCAGGCACCTAGACGTACAGGGTCTGGCCTTTCAGCGCGTCGGCGCCCGCGCCTGCCTGCCCGCATTTCCCGCCTGCCAGAACGCTACAGGGGCAGATCCCGCTGTTGTGCCTGAGCTTGGGCCTGTTTGAGGGGACACTGACGCTGAGAGGTGGCCCGGGAAGCTGTCAGCCTTCTGGGGAAGCTCCTGTTGTCGTCAAGTCGTCAGTCGTCACAGCTTCGCAGCCTCCATCCCGAACCCCAACTTCCATCCACTTGCCAACCAACATCACCACTTCGTTTCCCTTGCCAGATTTGCGACCAGTCCCGTTATTTACCTAATCTCCCCGGCGCATCAACTACGATCTACGAACGCAACAGCATCACGATTGATATCCAGCAGTAAACCATGGCGTCCGGATACGACAGAGCTCTTTCAGGTACATCATCTCCTCCACATTCCCATGTCCATGGCTTCCCCAGTCGCGATCCGGGCCCCGCTAACCCATAACCTCATCCAGTCTTCAGGTCCGTCACACCCTCAAGATACCGAAACCATGCGATGCGCACCTCGAGAACGCCCCAACTAACATTCGAGTAGTCCCGATGGACACGTTTTCCAAGTCGAGTATGCCGGCGAAGCTGTCAAGAGAGGTATGCGCTGTCGCCTACACCAGACATGTCCCAGCTCGGTTGGAGGTCTACAGGTATCTAACTCGGGATACACATAGGTACCTGCGCGGTGGGCGTAAAGGGCAAGGATGTCGTCGTCCTCGGTTGCGAAAAGAGATCGGCCATGAAGCTCCAAGATACAAGAATCACCCCTTCCAAGATCGGTCTCGTCGACAAGCACGTCTGCCTCGCCTTCGCCGGTCTGAACGCCGATGCCAGAATCTTGGTGGACAAGGCTCGCCTAGAAGCCCAGTCGCACCGTCTCAACCTGGAGGATCCCGTCACGATCGAGTATATCACAAAGTATGTTGCCGGCGTGCAGCAGCGGTATACACAGAGTGGTGGTGTCCGTCCCTTTGGTATTAGCACCTTGATCGTCGGCTTCGACAACGGCAGCGATGTTCCCAGACTCTACCAGACCGAGCCCTCGGGCATTTACTCTGCATGGTCAGTCAATACGAACCTACCTTGCGAAAAGAATGGAGCTAATACCCCCGCAGGAAAGCCAACGCCATCGGCCGGTCGAGCAAGACGGTTCGCGAATTCCTCGAGCGCAACTACAAGGACGACATGGACCGGGAGGCTACTATCCGCCTGGCCATCAAGTCCCTTCTCGAAGTTGTGCAGACGGGCGCCAAGAACATTGAGATCGCCATCATGGCTCCCGGCAAGGAGCTCGAGATGCTCCCCGTGGAGGATATCGAGAACTACGTCAAGAACATTGAGCAGGAGAAGCAGGAGGAGGCGGACAAGAAGAAGAAGGGCCGGACTCCTGGTACGGGCACTGCTGCCATACTGACCAGGAGCCAGGATGAGCCAGGTGACCACTAAGGGGGATGGCAAGAGCAAGCCGAATGAGTAAAGGGGTCTCCGGCGGGAATGGGTATGGCATGGTGTAGCAGAGATGCCGTGATGCTGCTGCTACTGCCAACCACGTCTCGAAAACATAGAAGCCTCTTTTAGGTACAGAAATAATACCACGAATGACGACCAAGCAAGTTACTGAACTGAACGGTGGGTGGTGCCATGTGCAATATGATGGGTAACAAACAACACTCTGTCTAATTATATTCTTCTAAATGGTATCGCTTTTCCCTTCCGCCCTGGGTACCCCAACCCCAACCAACTTCTACTACCCAACCAACTTCTACTACCCAACCAACTTCTACTACCCAACCAACCACTCAACCAAGCTTATCAACGTCCGCATCCGGGTCAAATATCGAGATCTGGTTCATGGTCGGCTTAGTAGGCTTGACTCTCTCGTCCTTCAACATGCGCGCGTCCATTCTCGCGTCCTCGCCTTCGACCCTGAGAGCGGCCTTGGGCGTCACGGCCTCGAGGATGTAGTGGTTGTCGCAGTGCGGGCAGTACTCGTCGGCATCCTCGAACTCGGTCGCATCCTTGCGGAAGGCCTTTTTGCACTTTTTGCAAACAAACGTCATCTCGAGCGTCTTCTTAAGAGGGTGCGTCTCGGACTCGGCGTGGCATTCGGGGCAGTCGAACCATTTGCGGCCTGCGTAGGAAGGTAGGTGTAGTGTTAGGTCATGTTCATGTATGGCTGCGATGCGATTCGATGGTTGTATGTATAGTGGTAGGTAGGGAATCGGGGGTTCGTTCTGTTGAGGTTGAGGTTGAGGTTGAGGTTGAGGTTGAGGTTACGTACAGCATGGTGACCGGATCGAGACTTGAGCGTTTAGAACGTGTTTACTGGTTGGGAGAGGGGATGGTTAGCAGGTTGTTCGTTTGTGGTTCTACATATCTGGAGGTCTGGAGGTGTAGTTGCGACATGACGAGCAAACAAGGCGAGGTGTCATAACATGGAAGATGGGAGGCTTACCACATGATGGCAGTGAGGAAGAGAGTATGCGGGAGGCGCAGTGAGGTAGATGGCTCGTTCCGATCCCTAGTTTGAGGGTGTTTCGTCGTCTTCGTGTATTCTGGGCGGTATATGACAAGAAGATTCTTTCGATGGCAGTTCTCGCAGATCGCTAATGTTTACGACATAAAAAGGGTTCACCGAACTTTATCACGGCACTTAACGCGGTCCTATCCCGTCCCCGTCCCGTCGCCCCCTTCACCACCCAGACCCGACGGGACCCGACCACTCAACGCGGGGTGCTTTTCGGTGCTACCTGGCTCCAGAAGGCTCGCTTCCCCACAAAATAAGCGTGGCTGATGACTAACTAGCGCGTCCAGCCCCTGTCGGCCTTGCTGTCACAGCGGTCCTGCGGTATCGCCTTAACAATTTCCATAACTGGACCTTCAGCAATACAAAAGACGGGTTTCATCATCCAGTCCACTTTCCAAACTCCTTTCAACCTTTGTCTTCTTTCTTGCCACTGCACTGCGCATCTCCAGTCGTCCGCCTGCTAATCCATCTCGCGCCTGGTACTTCTAGAACTGAACTGCTAGAAATAGATAAAAACAGAGCAGAGACAAGAAAGAAGAACATTTCGTCATCGAGATGCCGCCCAAGCGAAAGGCGGTCGGCGCCACCCAGGCCGGCGTTGCCAAAGCTGGACGCACTTCGGCCTTGTCCACCCCCGGCCCCGCGACCCCCCGCAGCCTCGAGAGCTCGTTCCAGTCGGACGGCGATGATGATCTGGACGATGACGACGTCGACGAGACCATCAAGAGGAAGGAGGAGGTGATTGCCCGCGAGGCCGACGAGTTTGTCAATACATGGGCTGTCGATAGTACCCGCTTCCAGAGCCGAGAGCAGGGCAACGGCAGTCATCGTGACGGCGCCACCCAGTTCTTCGGCTCAGGGAAACGCGACTTTTCGTATCTGAACTTGAAGCCCGACCACGACCAGAAGCCGCTGTGGATCGACCCCGAGAAGGGCACCATCATCCTCGAGAAGTTCAGCCCGGACGCCGACCGCGTCACCGACTTCCTCGTCACCATTGCCGAGCCCAAGTCGCGGCCGCACTTCCTGCATGAGTATCAGTTGACCGCACACAGTCTCTACGCGGGCGTCTCCATTGGCCTGCAATCAAAGGACATTATAGATACCCTGGATCGCTTCCTCAAGACCCCCCTGCCCGAGTCCATTCGCCTCTTCATTGAGTCGTGCACAAAGAGCTACGGCAAGGTGAAACTGGTTCTGAATAACAACAAGTACTTTGTAGAAAGCTCGGATGCCGACTTGTTGCAGAAGCTGCTCCGCGATGAAGTAATCGGAAAGTGGCGCGTCCAGGGCTCCGGTGACATTACCACGTCCTATGCGCCCACCATGGGCGGCCTGGTCATCCCCGGCACAAAAGACGCTGCCGGTGTGAACCAAACAGACCTCAACAAGAACAAGAAGGGTGCCGAGGACGGGGCCGCGGCCGCTACGGGGACTAACGAGGCCGACCTCTACGCAGCCATCAATGAGGAAGACGATGAGGACGACAAGGACGCCGTCCATGCCTTTGAGATCCCCGAAACCGCCGTCGAGATTGTCCAACGACGCTGTCTTGACCTAGGGTTCCCCATCTTGGAAGAGTACGACTTCAGGAACGACTCCAATAACGCGGATCTGGAAATCGATTTGCGGCCAAACACGCAGATTCGTCCATACCAGGAGCAGAGTCTTAGCAAAATGTTTGGTAACGGCAGAGCAAAGAGTGGCATCATTGTTCTGCCGTGCGGTGCAGGCAAGACCTTGGTCGGCATCACGGCTGCCTGCACCATCAAGAAGGGTGTCATCGTCCTGTGTACAAGCAGTATGTCCGTCGTGCAATGGCGCCAGGAGTTCCTCAAGTGGTCCAACATCAACCCCGACGATATTGCCGTCTTCACGGCTGAGAGCAAGAACAAGTTCTCGGGTAATACCGGTATTATTGTTACGACATACTCCATGGTTACCAACAACCGAGAACGGTCTCACGACTCCAAGAAGATGATGGATTTCCTCAAGAGTCGTGAATGGGGTCTCATGCTTCTTGATGAGGTCCACGTCGTCCCTGCCGACGTTTTTAGAAGAGTTATTTCATCCATCAAGTCGCACTCCAAGCTGGGTCTAACAGCCACCCTACTCAGAGAAGACGACAAGATTTCCCACTTGAACTTCCTTATCGGCCCCAAGCTGTACGAAGCCAACTGGATGGAGCTGTCCGAAAAGGGTCACATCGCCAAGGTCCAGTGCGCAGAGGTCTGGTGTCCCATGCCCACCGAGTTCTACGACGAGTACCTTCGAGCCAACTCGCGCATGAAGCGCACTCTTTACGCCATGAACCCGCGTAAATTTCAGGCCTGTCAGTATCTGATCAACTACCACGAAGCCCGCGGCGACAAGATCATCGTCTTCTCCGACGAGCTGTACTCGCTGAAGCAATACGCCCTCAAGTTGAACAAGGTCTTCATCTACGGCGGCACCGGCCAAGCCGAGCGCATGCAAGTGCTCGAAAACTTCCAGCACAATCCGCAAGTGAACACGCTCTTCCTGTCCAAGATCGGCGACACCTCGCTCGACCTGCCCGAAGCCACCTGTCTCATCCAGATCTCCTCCCACTTCGGCTCCCGTCGTCAGGAAGCCCAGCGTCTAGGCCGTATCCTCCGAGCCAAGCGTCGTAACGACGTCGGCTTCAACGCCTTCTTCTACTCGCTCGTATCCAAAGACACCCAGGAGATGTACTACTCGTCCAAGCGCCAGGCCTTCCTGGTCGACCAGGGCTACGCCTTCAAGGTGATCACGCAGCTGGCCAACATCGAGAACACGCCCGACCTGGCCTTCGCCACGCCGCAGGAGCGGCGCGAGCTGCTGCAGCGCACCCTGGTGGATAACGAGAAGGGCACCGAGGACGACGTCGAGACGGACGATTTGTTCGGTAAAGTCGGGCGTGGCCGCGGTGGTGCTAAGGGTAGAGCGGCGGCGGTCCGCAGGATGGCTGGCACCCTGGGCGAGCTCAGCGGCGGTCAGGATATGGCGTACATTGAGCAGAATAAGGCGGCGAATAGGGGGCTGAAGAAGAAGGGTGCTGCTAAGGCGGAGCAGAGCGCTTTCTTCAAGAAGTTGCAGAGGGAGAAGGAGAGGAGTCGGGCTTTGGCGAGACAGGGCTAGAAGAAACCGTCTTGATTGTTCAGTGGTCCTTGGCTCCGTCGTATTCCGTTCTCTTATATCTCGTCTCTTGCGTTTTTTGTTTTATAGCCTGCAGAGAAATCATGATATAAAGGGGATATCCAGTTGCTGGAAGATATAGGGTTTTGATCGTGGAAAAGTATCGCTACCCATAGAAGAAGAAAAAGTAGCCTTTAAGACATCAGATTAACGGTGCCAAATCCTGGCATTCAGTTGGATGGTCATGAATCAAATTATAATTCAAAGGGGATTTCTTGGAGTTTGACAGTTGGCTGCCTCAACTTTAGTTCATGCGTGTCCTGTTTGCATCCTGAGCATAGAGGAATAAAGTGAATTGGGTATCATTCAGTCTCCCTATTTCCTTCCATCCCATCTGTTCCATCTGTTCCATCACTTTACCATACATCACACATCACCAATCTCCCATTTCACCATCTATCTCAACCCACCCAACGTCACCAACACATCCTCCAATGCCTCCACCAGCTCTCCATCCCCAACCTTCCTCACCTTCCCCATCAGCACCCTCGCAATCCCCAGCACCGCGCTGGTAGAATGCACATACCGTCTCTGCACCCCCTGATGACTCCCCGCCAATAATGCAGTAACGAGCTGCAGCGTCGCAACCTGGAATTCGTACACCACCAGCTTGGACTCCTTCCCTACCATTTCCACGTCTTCATCGCCTTCGTCTTCGTCTTGCTCTTCTGGAATATACCACGCCGCAACTTGAGTAACCAAATCCAACCACTCCTCCCTCGGCCCCGGTTTTTCCATCTCGGCAACTTGTAGTAGAATGCGGACGATTTCGGTGCCGCGGGCTGCTTCTGCTTCGTCAACTACCCCGGAAGAGGTGGATTGGAGGATCCTAACCAAATCGTCGGATAAGGCTTGCCACCCCCCGTTTGCCAGGAAGCTTTCAACACCTTGAGGCTCTTCAATCAACCCCTCCCAAGCCATCAATACCGGGCGACGGAAATCAAGTTTCCCCCCATTTTTCTCGTTGGGTCTGGAGGGGTTGGGTTGTTGGCAAGAAGAGCGGTATAGATCGATGAATAAATCGCCCAACCCGCTTGCTTCCTTTCGGAGTTGCTCGTTGTCGTCTTCGCGGAGCCAGATGGCTAGGGCGCGGATGGCTGCGAGGATCAGCGGGTCTTGGTCTACGCTGTGCCCCCTCATCGATTCCCATGACAGTGTCAGATGGGATGCACCACTCGCAGAATCGTGGGCAGCGGAGGAGCGAGCGGAAGGGTCAAGGCCCATGGCGCCTGCTACGCTGGCGTCGAATCGGTCGCGCAAGAATTCGAGGGTGAGGGAGAAGGTCTCGGAGAGGGAGGTGCGGAGTTTTAGGAGGAAGTCTGGGTCGATGATTGATGAAGTGGATTCGGGGGAGTCGAGAGAGCGCAGGAGGAATCCGAGGTAGTGGCTGATGATGTTGAATGCTGAGCTCAACCGGCGGGAAGATTGAGGGTAGGAGGGGTTGTTCAGTTGGGAGAGCAAGGTGGGCGCCGTGGAGCGGATGTCGATTAGGAGGATGGAGATGAGCAGGTAGGAAAAGGGTTTCTCGTCTGTTGGACCGGATTTGCCTTTGCCTTTGCCGGAAGGGTCATCGGTGAAGAGCAGTTGAGGAGCGACGGATGGGTAAACTTCCAGCAGGGCGGCGGAGAGGTTAGTATAAGCTGCGCGGCCGGCGGGGGTAGGGCGGCTGGAGACGAGGTTGCGGATGAAAAGGTTGAGGGTCGGCAGCCATTGAGGGTTTTGAGGTAAAACTTGGGGCTCGAGGCGGGGGAGCAGGTTGGCGAGGAAGTCGAGGAGGGTGACGGCGTCGGTGCCCTTGAAGGAGGAGACGAGAGCGGTGATGGTGTGGTCGATCTTGGTCCGCAGGAGGTCCTTGTCCTCGGCGGAGGAGACAGATGAACTCATGGCGTTTAGCCAGGCGTAGAAGAAGATGTCGAGGACCAGAGGCTGGGAGGGTGCGATTTCGATTAGGGTGGTGACGTCGTCTAGGGCGATGAAGGCGCGGGCGCCGTCTGGCGTGGTGACGAGGGTTGAAAGGGTTTCTAGGACCAGTTTGGTTGTTTCGTTTGAACTGTTTTATCGTTAGTTTTGGGAACTTGTGAGTGAGTGATAATGAAAGGAACTCACCAGTTCAAAAGACAGGCCACCAAATGTGGTATCCTCTCGGTAAACCTCGAGTCTCGTTTATTTTCCTCGGGCACCAGGGCGGCAAAGGTATGGATGATGGCCACGGCCAAATCTAGCATGTCCCGGGCATTCTTGTTGTTTTCGGACTGGGACTGCTGACGCGAGCCGGTCTTGATTAGCCGATCCAGGAACTTTGATGGAACGCTCTTCCAGAGACCGCGAACTGCCTCTTGGTTGTTTCTCAACTCTTCAGAGTTGTCGAGTACTGACTTGAGAAGGGCGAGGCCCACAAAGCGAGATGTGTCGTCCTTTGCTTTGAGGAGCGTTTGGGCATTTTGGACGGGATCAGGCTGCCCGGTTTGTTGGGTTGGGTCACTCATGATTTGTTTTGGTTGTGATGTTTGTGACGTTTTACGGGAGTGGTGTTGAGTTAAAGTTGTCGATTTTGAGAGGCGGATGATTGATGGATGACGAAGTTTACAGCTTGTTGCTGAAGACTTAATTTTGTATGGGAGATTTTCCACTGGGATTACCAAACAGGCCGAAAGTTCAAACTCAGTCTTAAATCCGAGGATCTTTCCTATTTATTTTTCAACGTCACAACCCCTCTTGATGAAGTCAACTCACTAACAGAAAATGGAAGAAGAGAAGGGACGTCGTTGATGGAAAAGTCTTGGCATTCCCATCAAGTGGGTTCGGTCTTGGCACAATGCTTAACCCCAGGACCGCCAAGAGTTAACAGGCTTGGCCCTGTCAATGCTGTGCATATCCCTGATGCGCCCCGATAACGACATGCTCTTATCAGGCCTAACAGCGCCGCCATCTCACTACACCTCCTGCTGAACAACTCTCCTAACAATTCAACTGCAACAAGCTATGAGCTGAAGGTTCATCTCATCGCAAACAACAAGACGACATCCACCGGCATTTCTTTTTGAGACGAGAATGGGAAATGCTCTGTCATTGTATTCACTATGGCTTCTAGAAGTTCGATGATGGATGACGGGTATCCTTCCAGTTCGGCAACACCAGCATTCGACAGCCAACACGAATGGGAAGAACACCGTCGCGCAACCATTGACCATGACCGGGACGAGTTGGATCTTTTGGGCGAGGATGACGACAACAACAATCACAACAGTCATGACAACGACAACGACATGATCCTTCATGAGGACCCTTTGCGAGATGACCTCAACCAGCCAATGTCGTTTAAGCGCAAACAGAAGCAATCCATCTTCTCTCAACCATCACGACTTTTCTCAGCATTCACTGGAGGGCGGTCTCCTCGGAATTCTCACGATATATCGTCCAATACCCGCTTGGATGGCACTCAGTCGGGGTCAAAGGATGGCGGGCCGATGGATTGGTATGTAGAGGGCCCGGGAAGGAGAGTTGGCTACGAGGACTTGACCGCCATCGACTGGATCTTTGAGTATACCAAGGAACGCCAAAGACTACGAATGCTATCCTCCGGCTCCAACAGCCTCGTGGGTTGGATCCGCCTGCTCCTCGACAACAGCCAGGCCTGGATTGTTCTGCTGTTGACTGGTCTGGCTACCGGTCTGTTGGCTGCCGCCATTGACGTAGCCACTGATTGGCTGGCGGATCTCAAGTTCGGATTCTGCTCAACTGTTGACGGCGGAGCCTTTCACCTGAGCAAGAGCTCATGCTGCTTAGGCTATGAGGACCATGCTCAATGCCAGGGCTGGTATCCCTGGGCCAAGGCTTTTGGTATTCATTCAGGAGGCGGCAAGTGGTTCATTGAGTACTTCTTTTACGTACTCCTAGCAGTATGCTTTCCCCAAGAGTCTTACAAGAGCCCAGCTGATCCAAGCTACAGTTATCCTTTGCCGTTTCTGCTGCCATCTTGGTCAAGGAATACGCCATTTATGCTAAGCATAGTGGTATCCCCGAAATCAAGACTGTTTTGGGTGGCTTCGTTATGCGCAGGTTTCTAGGTATCCAGACCTTGGTGACAAAGTCGCTAGGTCTTGTGCTTGCTGTTGCATCCGGCATGTGGTTGGGCAAAGAAGGTCCCTTGGTTCATGTCGCCTGCTGTTGCGCAAACGTCTTTATCAAGCTCTTCCCAAGCATCAACAACAATGAAGGTATGTAGTAACTCTACCTTATCAACGTCCCAAGCTAACCCCAAACAGCACGGAAGAGAGAGATTCTGTCCGCAGCGGCAGCCTCCGGTATATCCGTTGCCTTCGGCTCGCCCATCGGCGGCGTGCTTTTCAGTCTTGAGCAACTCTCTTACTACTTCCCCGATAAAACCATGTGGCAGAGCTTCGTGTGTGCCATGACCGCTGCCGTCACTCTCCAGGCTCTTGACCCCTTCAGATCCGGCAAGTTGGTGCTTTACCAAGTCAAGTACTCGTCCGGCTGGCACGGCTTTGAGCTGGTCCCCTTCGTCCTCCTCGGCATCGCAGGCGGTATCTACGGCGGCCTCTTCATCAAAGCCAACATGCGCGTCGCCGAATGGAAGAAATCCACAAGGTGGCTTCCCGGCCCCGTCACCCAAGTCGCCATCGTCGCCGGCCTGACCGCCCTCATCAACTACCCCAACACTTACATGCGCGCGCAAACCTCCGAGCTGGTCTCCAACCTCTTCACCGAGTGCGCCAAGATCGTCGACGACCAATTCGGCCTCTGCAAGACGGGCGCCGCCTCCTTCGGGACCATTGCTTTGCTCATCTTCGCCGCCGTCCTCGGCTTCTTCTTCGCAGCCGTCACCTTCGGCCTACAAATCCCCGCCGGCATCATCCTCCCCTCCATGGCCATCGGCGCCCTAACCGGCCGCGCCTTGGGTATTCTCATGGAACTGTTCCAGCGCGCCGCCCCAAACTTCCCCTTATTCCTCCACCAATGCGAGCCCGACATCCCCTGCATCACCCCGGGAACCTACGCCATCATCGGCGCCGCCGCCTTCTTGGCAGGAGTCACCCGCATGACCGTCTCCATCGTCGTCATCACCTTCGAGCTCACCGGCGCCCTAACCTACGTTTTACCCATCATGATCTCCGTCATGATCTCCAAATGGGTCGGCGACGCTTTTTCCCGTCGCGGCATCTACGAATCCTGGATCGGTTTTCAATCCTACCCCTACCTGGACCCCAACAACTCGGGCGAAGACCTGAGCCCGCTAATCCCCGACGTGCCTGCTAGCCAAATCATGACCCGCCTCGACTCCGATCTTATCGTGTTGACCGCAACGGGCCACACCATCTCCAGTCTGCAAAAAATCCTCGAAACCACGCCCTACCGCGGTTACCCCGTCATTTCTAACCCGCGCGACGCTGTGTTATTGGGGTATATCTCCCGTGCTGAGCTGTCGTATATCCTCTTCTCTCCCGGAGGGCGGGCCGCTGCCGGTCGCTTGCCACCCGAAACGGAATGCTTCTTTAGTCATCAACCGCTTGCGGACCCGTTGACTACTTTGGATCTAAGGCCGTGGATGGACCAGACCCCGTTGACCCTTCCCGGTAGGAGCCCGTTGCATCTGGCCGTGAGTTATTTCCAGAAGTTGGGGGTGCGGTATGTGTTGTTTGCGGAGAGGGGGGTGTTGCAGGGCTTGTTGACGAGGAAGGATGTCTGGCATGTGATGAATGGGGCGGAGGAGAGGGTGAGGGATGCGGATGCGGATACTGATGATGGTGGTGGTAGGGGGAATGGGAGAATGGGAGGTGGACGGGGCAGGGAGGAAGGAGGGGGGGAGAGCGCTGGGTTGTTGGGTGTTGAGAGGAGTAGGGATTATTTTCAGGGGCAGGGGACGACGAGGGAAGGGAGGAGTGGGAGTTTTGCGGGGAGTAGTGAGGGGGGTATATTGTAGGTTGGGATGTTGTGTGCTTGCAGATGATGATACTGAATGGTTGGGATGTTTAGATTAGCGGCTGTAGCATATAGATGTCTTTTCAGCGTGTCCGTCTATATACACAACTAGACTAGTGATTCTGGTTGCTAAATTGATCGGCTATCTAGCCTACTGACTCACTCAATGACCTACGCATAACCGTGGGTGTGAGAGCTGGTAGCCTTTGGGTGTGAGAGCTGGTAGCCTTTGGGTGTGAGAGCTGGTAGCCTTTGGGTGTGTTGCGACAAAACGACCAGTCCAGCTCACACACACGGTTAACACTAGTTGTGAACGATATTGCAACTGGCTGAAAATAGCATGGGACACCAATGTTGTCTTCTTTTGCCTCGTCTAACACTATTTTGCTCGAGTTATTGGAAACATATGCTGGTCTCATGAACTTTGTGTCTCGACTTTTGAGTAATAATACTAGTTTAACTACAAGTGTACGAATAGCGTTCGTCCACCATCCACAAGAACTGGCTATGATGGCCATAATCCCCATACCATCCCTTGAAAAGCATTGTTGAGCATTAGATTGCCCACCGACGGCCCTTTCTGTCTCTGAACTGGACTTGTTTTCTTACACAAACCTCAGGAGAGACATATCGAGTGGGCTGTTGCCTCACGACAGCCTCTTGCTTCACGACAGCCTCTTGCTTCACGACAGCCTCTTGCTTCACGACAGCCTCTTGCTTCACGACAGCCTCTTGCTTCACGACAGCCTCTTGCTTCACGACAGCCTCTTGCTTCACGACAACCTCTTTTCGCCGAGCCCTCCTCTTCACTGACTTCTTCGGCTGTTCATGACTCGTCTCTCTCTTTTGACTTTTTCTCCACCGAATCTCCGCTTCCCAGTCGCTCATGGTCATCTCCTCGGCCTCGGAACTGTCGTGTAACGGCAGGCTGAATAATTCATCAGGGCAAGGTGAAGACGCAAGACATGCAGGTTCAGAGCGTGTATGTGAATGATCAGATAAGGGAGACCCAGTTGGTATAATTGGATCGGACATCATACAAAGCCCAGAACGTTCGGAGAAGTCGGGGAGGTCAACGGAACGGCCAAGAAGATGATAGTGACGAGCCGTCTAGTACTCGTCCTCGTCATCCGTGTGGCGGCGGGGACTATCCGCTCCCTCGGAAGCACCTCTCTCATTTCGCCTATCATCCTCCTCTTCGTGACGCTGCTCCGGTTGCCCCTCCTGCTGCTCCTCTTGGTACTCCTCGCTGACACCAGAGTATCCGATCGGGTTAAGCTCGAATTGCTTGATATCAGCCTTGAGACCCTCATGCGGCTCATCGATCGTTACGTGCAACTCGTCAGGGAACCTCTCGCTGTCGTCGGCACCATTGCCTATCGTACGCGCAATGTTGCGAGTGCGCTGGTTCCGGAGGGTGCTGCGCTGCATGATGGGGTAGTAGTACATGCCCCTCTGATCGGTGGTGCTGTCGCCCTCTCCCACGTCGTCGCGGAAGGCCAGAATAACTTCGCCGTTGTATTTCGTGTCGTGATCGTACTCGGTTTCGGCCGAGGTTTCATAGGGGCGCAGGCGGGGGAACACAAAGTGCGGGCCCTTGCCGTCTTTGTGTGAGTATAGGCCCTCGGAGTCGCGGTCCGGGTTGTCGACGTCGAATCTCGCGCGGAAAAGATTGCTTTCCTTGGCATCCGAGGGAAGGAAGAGGTTGTAGTTCATCATGGAACTAGGAGCAGGGTGGTTCTGTGGATCTTCGTTGTGTAGCTCTTGCGCCAGCTGGAAGGCTTGTTCTTCGGCCTCACTCCGCTCAATGGGCTTCAAGATGCCCGCAAGCATACGAGGGTCATACTTGTCGCTCGAGTTGACGGGGTTGGTGGTGAACTTGACCGTCACATAAGCACCAGAATCGGGGAACGCCGTGGTATCGGGGAGTAGAGGGAAAGCATCGATGCATTTGACGTTGCGCTTGGTCGGGTGCTTGATCTTGGTCTTGTCGGCCAGGTTGGCTGCGGCGATATCGAAGCTCTTCTCAATACGGCGACGGATCCAGGCGGGAGTGCCCTTGTCAGGTTCGGGGGAGGCCTTGCGTTTCTGAGGTCGCTTGAGGGCGTTGTCCTTGTTGGAGTTGGAAGAGCGGTTGTTGAGGAAGACATTGTCCCTCTTGACTTGTACTGAGGCGATATATTCGGTGCGGCGGAGGAAAGATACCGACTCGGTGCCGATCTTGGGCTTGCCGAGTGTGTTGAGTGGTCTGAGGAGAAGACGATCGTGTGGATGAATAGGTGGCGGAGGGTTCTGTGCGGAGATGGCTGTCCATCATGTCAGTATACTAATCAATGTGATCAACGCATAGGGAAAGTGATACGCACCATCCTCGTTGCCGTCAAAGACACCTGGCATGCCGACCAGGTCTAGAGGCATACCGAGCTCGGCATCAACCTCGATATTTAGGGGCTGCTCACGCGCAAGCCGCGAAGCAAAGCCAGGATTGGTATATTGGCCGCTCGATAGACCCGTGCTGGGGATGTTGAGCAGCTTGGGCGGATTAGGCGGGGGTGGTAGAGCATTGGAATATCGGATTCTGGCGATGTAATCCTGGTGGATCATGCGCTCTTCGCGCCCTCGTGGGTGTTGCGACATGGTGTTTGTCTGTGTTGTGTGGTTATATGATATGTCGTGTGGATGTTGGTGGTTGTGAAAACCGAGTCGGGAAGAGATTGATGGTTGTTGGTTGGGCTTATAAAGAAGTTGGAGTTCCAACAGCAGGGGCAAGGTGATGTCGAAGTGGTCGCAGCGGAAGTGAGTCGCGGTCGAGATGCAGGGTGAAGGCGCGGTTGCGGTTGCGGGATGGTGAGTGCCAACGACAGGGGCCGGGACAGTGGTAAAAAAATGGAGACAAGGCTGGTAGTTGGTCAACTCGTTGGTTGAGTAGCTTGCGCCGGAGCTGATGTTTAGAGCTAAGGTGACTGCAAAGCCGTTGAGAAAATGAAATTTGGTCCCAAATTTAAAGCAATTGAAACCAGTCGAGAGATGCTTTTGTAAAATTGTCGAGGTTCAAGGGTGACCGCTCCAACGTTGACGTTTTGTTACGGTTTCTGTTGGAGGTTCGTTCTCGTCACTGCCCGTGCCGGCCGCAAAGAAAAAGTGGATCCCTGCCGCAGCCTTAAGGTTCTCTTCTTCCTGTCTTGGCAGCTTTATTGACTTGTCTTCATTGACCCCTGAATGTTGGCTATGCTTTTGTCTTGATACTATAGGCAGCACAGCATGGGGAGAAGATCATCTTTTCATAGTTGTGCTTCAGATGCATATTCAATTCCAGTTGTCATTATGGTCAACCGTTTTGCTCTCTAGAGATATCCTGTATAGCCCGTTTCCAGTCACCGCCTTGTTTTGTCGTGTCCGTCCATCTCTTCACTCATGGCGTGTGTGGAACTAGTAATTATAAGTGTGAGAAAGTCCGGAACCTCCTCTTTGTATCCATCTATCCATCCGTCCGTCCATACATCCATTCCATTGACCGTAATGGCAACTATCAGAACAGACCAACAATCCCGCATCCCGCATCCCAGCTCTCAGCTCTCTCTCCCCGGCGTCAGATTAGAATAGCATATATAAAAAGATATACAGGATAGTTGATCGTCGTCATAAATGCCCCACCAACATGGCGCGTTCCCCCGTCATTAGTACATAGAGAAGTGTGTGTCTTTCTTTCTGACGCGTTTGACCTAAGCTTGGCCCGCGAAACACTTCCTTCTCTTCTTCCCGGACAACGCCAAGGTGCGAGAGACAAACTAGTTGCCTATCTGACACCTAGCAAACATCGCTCGACTTCCGCAACAGCACAACTGCTTAGTTGCTGTTCTTGTTGTACCGCGCCTTGCCGATGGTAAAGGGGACGTAACGGTACTTGATCATGTGCTGGATTTGCTTGCGCACTGTTTCTTATCGTTAGCTGCTGTTTTCCGAAAGAGAGCTTAGCTTGGTAGGGGCAGCGGTGCAACGACGTACTGGTGAGGATGAAGAGCATGAGCCAGTACATAACCAGCACGGGCCAGAACACGGGAATGTTGAAGATCTCGAACCAGCTGCAGAGGAAGGAAATGGCGACGGCGCGGGTGGCCGAGTGCCAGAACTTGAACTCGGGAAGGCGGCGGATGAAGGGCCTGAACTCCTCGTCCTGCTTGGTGGGGAGAGTGCCGACAGAGCCGTCTTCCATTTCGGTGTCGAGAGCGTCACTTGAAGGGTCGAACTTGGGCGTGAGGAAGGCGAGGAAGAGGTTGAGAAGGTAGATGCCGAGGGCATAGGCGACAATGTACCAGCCTTGCGCCACGAACACCCGGAGGAAGAAGAGGAGCAGGGCGACGCCGGTGCCAACCCATCGGTACGTAACATAGGGCGTCGACTGATCGAGGAGTGCTTGGTATTGCTGAAAGGGCCAACCGTGTTAGCTAACATGATAGTAGCAAAGAGGCAGAGCCTTGCTGGGAAACGTACTCTCTGGAGTTTGTTGCTTTGTGCAGTGAAGGTGCCAAAAGGCGTCATCGGCTCCTCCGCGGTCTCCATTGCGACGGTATTGGTAAGGGTCTAAGTGTAGCTCGTTTTGCTTCGTTAATCGATCGTGTCTCGTTGGTATATCGTGTCCAAAACCGGTTGACTGAGAGGTGTAGGTGGAAGGTGTTCGTGGGGTGGTGATTGCAAAACGAAGATAGATGTTGGAGGATTGTTGGACACTGCGCAGTACTGTAGGTACCTAAGCTGTAGCAGCAGCACGGGCACTGTACCTTACCTTGTAGTTAGACAGCACTCCAGTTTGCGCGTGTCCAGTTGTCCCAACGGGCGCAATGACGACGGGAGACGGCGGCCTCGGATTGGGGGAGGGACACTTTCCCCGTGGCGGGCAATCTGGCATCAGCCACGAAACACGAGCCTAGACCTGGCTCGTGAAAAGGGGTGGAATTTCTTGGTCTGTGGCGCTAATGTTATTGTTAGCTCCGACCCCCTGAAACTGCACACCCCTGGAAGTGTGGCTGGTGATAGACGTCTCTGAAACTGCAGGTGTGGAAACGGGCACCCCCCAAATCAAGAAAACATGTGGTTGCGATAGACAAAGATCAACAGACAGGCATTCCCCAATTGACGTCGTTTAGACCGAGGATAACCAAGCGTGTGGGGAACTGGGGAGCTGGGGAAATGGGAGCTTGGAGCTACCCCTCGGTTCGACGGGCGACTTATCTAAGCCGTGGTCACTGATTTATTTATATGCTTTGTGCTTTCTCTGCCATTGACCATTTGTTTCCGTGATCAACTCGTCTGAAACAATCACCACCACAATCATGCGTTCCGTTGCCTTCAACTCCCTCCGGGGTCTATCCCGGGCCGGCTCCCGCTTCCAGCCCGCTACCCTTCCCCGTGTTGCGGCTGCCCGTGCCTATTCCACCCCTTCCGAGAACCAGTATGAGTTCATCCAGGTCTCCGAGCCCCGTCCGGGTGTCGGTCAAGGTAAGCAAACCTCCTTTACTTTGTCTGGATACAGCAATCGTCTACACAGTTCCGTCTGTCCCTGTTGATGGTGACATGGAACAATCGAGTTCTTCCCTCCCCCAAACCCTTATGATCAACAAAACCCATCACTAACAAAACCACACCGCAGTAACCCTCAACCGCCCCAAAGCCCTCAACGCCCTCTCCACCCCCCTCATCACCGAACTCAACACCGCCCTCCTCTCCTTCCAGCAATCCCCCTCCATCCGCTCCATCCTCCTCACCGGCTCCGAGCGCGCCTTCGCCGCCGGCGCCGACATCAAGGAGATGGCGCCCCTGACCTTCTCCAAGGCCTACCTCGACTCCTTCATCGAGTCCTGGTCCAACCTGACTTCCACCATCAAAAAACCCATCATCGCCGCCGTCTCCGGCCACGCCCTCGGCGGCGGTTGTGAACTAGCCATGATGGCCGATATCATCTACTGCACCAAGACGGCCAACTTCGGTCAGCCGGAGATCAAGCTCGGTATCATCCCCGGTGCGGGAGGTTCCCAGAGGCTGACGAGGGCGGTGGGGAAGAGTAAGGCTATGGAACTTATCCTTACCGGCAAGAGTTTTAGTGGTGAGGAGGCGGAGCGGTGGGGGGTTGCGGCTAGGGCGTTTGGCAGTTATGAGGAACTGATGGAGCAGACGCTCAAGACGGCGGAGACGATTGCGGGATACAGCAAGGTGGCGGTGCAGGCGGCGAAGGAAGTGGTTAATAAGAGCCAGGAGGTTGGGTTGAGGGATGGGGTTGAGTATGAGAGACGGGTGTTCCATGCGTTGTTTGGGAGCCAGGATCAGAAGATTGGGATGAAGGCTTTTGCGGAGAAGGGCAAGGCTCAGTGGGTTGATGAGTAAATCATGGGGTTGTGACTGGTTGGACAGGACAGTTTGTATGTTTTGGTTAGAAGATGAATGGAAATTTGTGATGAGTACGAGGGGTGGTGTTCCTGTCAGCTTTGTATCCCGATCGATCGTGACTCTTGTCGAGATGTTGTACTTCTTTCAGCACAACACCATTTCTATCAATCGAAGCAGCGTCAAAACAAAAATCAAAAAAATTCAAAGAATCATCACCCTCAAGCCCACTCACTCTAAGCATTACATCCTCAGCCTCTTCTCTTTCCTCTGTGTTCACGACATCAAAACGGGACAGCCAGCCAAAAGTGTAAAAATTAGTAGCAACCAAATAGTAATCCCCTAACTACGCATCGATGTCCTATCATACATACTTGCCCTATGCCAAAACAAACACACATCTCATCCGCCAAAATTGGATGAGGTCAGCCAAAACAAAACAAAAACAAAACAAAACAAAACCAAAATAAAACCAAAACAAACGCCTTACCTACCCAACAAAATAATGATAACATGCCACTTACCTCCCCTGCTCCCCTAATCATACAAACAAAACATACCTACCTCCGAGACTACTTACCCCCTAAGTACCATCGCTCATCAACACAAAACATTTCCATACCAACCAACCCACCTTGACAAGCAAGAACGTTTTCGAGAGAGACAGCGACAGCGACAGCGACAGCGCCAGAGACAGACAGATACAGTCCGTATTCGAAACCGACGGAGTCAGCAACATCGACAAGTTGCAAACAAACAAACAAACAAAGTGCTGGCTGGTTAAGGCATCTAATGAGAATTATTATTCTACCTTTTTTCCCAAAAGTATGTCTGTATGTTTGTTTACCTATGCGGCCATGTGGCGGATGGCGAGCTGTGTTGCGTCTATAAGATTCCATGTGCATAGCTACCTGAGTCTAGGTAACATGCCCGCTTTTCCTTCATAAGAAAGTTCTATCGATCCTCTAGAAAACAATATTCTTCATCTAAGAAGCCAAGGTAAGCCAAGCCGAGCCGGTGAGGCGGAACGTATGTATGGATACGAAATCTATAAGGACATAATTAAGCAATTCCATTCCCTCCTTCGAAACTTTTTTCTCTTCGTGAAGCTATGCGCATGCTCTATAGAAAAACGCCTTACTTGTCGCCGGTGTGATGTGATGGATGTGAAGTGATGTGCAATGTGTAGTGTAGTAACGTGTAGTGTAGTAATGCCAATGATTCGAGTATGATATGTGTATGTTCCTTATACCAAAAACGGGGGGTTCATCATATCATATCATATCATAGCATATCATATATACCCTCCCTTCATTCCTTCCTTCCTTCCCTTTTCCCCTCTCTCTAACACCGAAAAAAAAAGTCGTGGTATCATTATTGAAGAAAAGAAACCAATAATAAGCATCATCCGTTAAAAAGAAATGTATGCATAACGAAGATAAGAAAATAAAACCCCCTAAACTCATCTCTCTCCCTCGCCATAGGAAAAGAAAAGTCGTCACTACTCGCTAAAACTAGTAGGAGTAGACGGGAAACTCGGTTCCGACTTGCGCTTCATCACCTTAGGATGGTAATCCACTCCCAACCGCGGCGGCTCCGTTAGAGTGTTCTGATCGGATATCGTCTGATCAGTCTGATCGGACTCAGGCCGGCGGTCCGAGTCGGGCGGGAACTGGAAGCCCTCATGGATCGTCTCCTCGTGGTGTTGCTCCGGGTTCGTTGCCCTCCTGTGCATGCTATGCCAGCCATTAGGGTTGATGCCGCCGCCGCCGCCGCCGCCGCCGGTGGCGCCCTGGTGCGAGTCTCTATTAGAGAATCGCGCAGTACCGACGGAACCAAACTGCACCGGGTGCCAGGTCTGCGGGTGAACAACGTGGTGATGACGGTGGCCATCCGGCGGTGTGGCGGTCCTGGGCGGTCCGGGATGGAGGAGAGCGCCAAAGATTTGGTTGCCAATATCGTTGCTGCGTTGGCGCCAGTGACGCCTGCGGCTCCTTATGCTGGCGGTGCTCCACGCATCGCGGCCGGTGCTCATGGCCGACGCGTGTGACCATTGTCTTTCGACCTTGTCGTCCTCGGAAGAGCTGCTGTTCAGCTCCTTGGGAAGGAGGATGGCACGGTCAAGACCGTAGGGGAGACCACGATGCCGACCTCGGATCAGCGTCATGATAATGAACACTTTGCCGGTCGTGCTGAAGATGGCCGATAGAGACGCGTTGCCGGTGGAGTAACCAAGACTCATGCCGACTGTGCCGTAGGCGCTGATGATCTCGAACATGAGCGAGAACATATCCGTCTGGCCGTCCATGATCCGCGTGCCTTCCGAGATGGCGAGCATGAAGAAGAAGAGGGCAATGAACCACAAATCGAAAGAGAGCTGGCGACGCAAATGAGAGCCGATGTACGACAAATCGCTGGACGGAGAAGCAGTTTCCTCCTCGCTTTCAGGATTATGGTAGATGCCCAGAGACTTCTCCTCGTACACGTTTGTGCGACGGATCGACATGGCGATGGGGAGGACACTGATGTACATCATGATCATGTACGACACCTTGACGCCCGGGTGCAGAGCCGCGAGGTTGATGCAGGAAAAGCCGGCCGTCCTCGTCGAGGCTGCCTCGAAGAACCCGTTAAGGACCCTGATACCGGCAGGTAAGTCGACGACAGGCCCAGATCCCAAGTCCAGGACGACGAAGAAGACAACGTCAGCAACATTGAGCCCGATCAGAATGAAAAAGAGCCACCACGTTGCCCCAGACGGGAAGAGGAGAATGAAGCAGCGACGAGGATGGTCAAGCAGAAATCGCAACTCCTCATAAAGGCCCGAGTCGCGCGGTACGACGATGGACATGATCCAAATGATAAAACGCAACATGACGGGGAAGCCGGTGTTGCCAAGAAGGATGAGAAAGCTCATCAACAGCAAGGGCCAGACAGCGGTATTGAACGAGTTCATGCTGTCGGGGGTCAAGGTGTAGCCCAGGTCCATGAAAGCAGAGCTCGCGGTGAAAAAGGCCCACCAAACTCTGTTTTGGCCAGCCTGGTCGACAACCTGACCCCAGTGGTCCTTCTTGAGGATCCACGGCAGCAAACCGACAAGTCCCACCAGAAAGAAACCGAAGAAGTAGCAGAGGATGATCTTTTGCAACAACTTCAAGACACGGTACTCAATACCTCCCAACTCCTCGCGCTGCTCTTCCGTCAGGTCGTGGAATTGAGAGTTGCGTCCTAGTGTCGGCTCCCAACTGAGGTAGGGCGTAGGCTCCATCTTGTCTCTGGTAAAGGCTGACCGCATGGCGGAGAGCGATGCGCGCCTAGACATCCTCGAATTCGTCCGCTGCAGTTTAGAGACGTCTACCTCCTCGTCAACACGGTTGTTGGTAGATGTCCGTGTGTTCTTCCTGAACTTGAGATGGTTTATTTGTGGCACGAAAGAGTGGGTGAACGTCTTGGCATCGTCGACAATATCTTCCGTCAGCTTTTCGTGTAGCTTGTTCCTGTCGGGTTCCTCGATGGTGATGGCTTGTGGGCGACCATTTAACATCACCGTAGGCGTAGGTTGGGCTGGCTCGCGGTCATCCTCCTCGGCGGAATCATCGACCCGTCTAGGCTTAGCGCCTCGCTCCATATCTCTCGGACCGGGAATTCGAAGAACCTCGTCGTCTCGGTTGCGCTGTCGCTCAAGGATGGCGATATGCTCCTCGTCCGACCTATGGGGAGGAAGCTTTATCGCATCCAAGCCAAGTCCATCGCTCTTCTTCACGGTGCCGGCGAACCTGATCTCGGGCTGTCGACGGGTATCTTCGGGCTGATCGGGGTCTCGCTGATCGGGGGGCGCGCGGCTATCGTATGTAGGCTTCTTGAACGAGCCCAACATGATGCCGTCGTTGGTCATGCGTGGACTACCAGAACCGTGCATGACGGTGATCTCTCTGCCAGCAACACCTCTTTCCGCTTGTGATAGCATGTCGGCGCGCATCTGCGATTTTGACTTTGAAATCGTGCCTCTCCGCTGCTTGGCATCCTGGACGATGGTCTGCAACTTCTTTTCGAACCAATACCTTCGTAGGGAAACCGTGTAATAGCCGATTGCTATTGGATTAGTGAGCCAGGAAAGAAAGAAGATGACGGCCTGGGAAAAGGTGTTGACCAGGTTAAGATCAATGGTGTTGAGGCCGCCCTGGGTACACGACCCAGCAGCGAAGAAGAGGGCGTCCACATAGGCCATTTTGCCCCGGTGAGAGGCGTAAATAAGAATTGACCCGACTATTGTGAGGCCGATGATAAGGGTATCTATTCACAGTTAGCATGGAAACATCGTTCATGGGGTGGGGGTAAGAACTTACAGTGTACTGTTTGATACTTGAAGTGGCTTTCGGTTACTAGTCTCCTAGGCTGAATACCAATATGGTGACCTATCCGCACCCATTTCTCATGGGCTATACTGCGAAGTCGTTCCATGGTGGGCGACAATCGCGGGAGGTGGTATTATGGTAAAAGTTGGCCCCTGAATAGTGAAGGGTGTCGTCAGGCAAATAGGGGATAGGGGACCGGGGTTGGAGAAACAGGAACGGAGAAGGCCCCGGAATCGCCTGAAGTCGACGCAAAGGTCGAAACAGGCAACTGGTGATGTGCCTCTTGTGTATGTAGTAAAAGTAAAAAAGGTTGATCGAAGTCTCGGCGTGGGTGGCAGGGTGGTGTGGTAACAGACTCGACTGTTGAGAGATCAACACAAAGGATTACTGGATTAAGACAAAGATCAGAGCATATGTGATGGAGGGGCGGGGTCTGGGGTATTTGAGGAAGAAAAGCAAGAAAAGGTTATAAAGAATTATATAGGTAGAAGTAGAGGTAGTAAGTGAAGGATCCAGTGATAAAGGCTTGTCGCGGGACGGAAGAGAGAAGGAGGGATAGGATCCTGAGAGGACGGAATTGGATTGATAAGAAGTGAATAATGCATCCACTCGTCCTGTAGAGTGAAATACGAAAGACTCCAGTTCTGTTGGTTGCTTTTGGTGGTTTCGACTGAAGAGATGAAGACTGAGGTCTCCGTTGTCGTTTCCAGTCCAGGGGGGGTTGGCCGAGCAAAAGGTGCGTCCGGGTGGCAGGAATGGACACTTGTGGACAGGGCCAGCAACGAGGGTTTTTCTTTCTCTTATTTCCGGACCTGGGGCTGATTTTCAAAGCCCTCAAAAGGGTTTGTTCTGTGCCCGGATGACCTCAAAGTCGTAAAGGCGCAATCCGAATGTTGACTTGGACCCGATCCTCAAAAAAGTTCGAGGAGTACAAGCACCACAGCAGAAAGCGAAGTGATAGGCACCGTTTCTTAAAATGCCAAGCAAGAGCCAAGAACAAGACCCCGATCGCAGAGAACGCCAACTCGGAGCAAAGAGGGTGCCGTCAGAAGGTTGCCGCCAAGCCCTAGGGTTGGTGGTGTTGAAAATCGGGTGGCCCCAGCCAAAAGTCAGGGTTATTGCTGGAGAGAAAAGTTCGAGTTTAGTCTGTCGGAGGGGCTGGGCGGGTTGCATCAATCGGATCCACAACGGTTCAAGGGTGCGCTAGCGCATGCATATATAACACTTTAAAGTCCCGATTGATGAACCATGAAGTCGAGCACTGTTCCAGTTTCAGCACGTGGGGTATGTGCCGAGTCGTGAGTTGATAGATTGATCGTCAAAGGGGGGACGAGAAAGAGGGAGAAAAGCGTAAAAAGATGTAAAGGACCTCGGGCTCCCGGGTCAACAAAGAACACGTCCCGAGCTTTATGACGGGGAACGACGGGGGGCCAACTTGAAAGAGACTAACAGAATGTCAGACACTGACAAGGGCCGCAGGGGCCTATGTTCGCCGTCTAACCCCCAACAGAGCAAGGGCCAAGCATCATGGAGCCATGGTGGAAGTTAGGGCAAGCCGACTGGAAGACCTCAAGAGGCAAAGACCGCCACCGCCCGCCGGCAAACCTCACTCCACGACCGTCACGGTCAGGGGGGTCATCCGCAGAGCCGGTCATTGTCGGGCACACAATGACATTCGAGTCGACGGTGATTAATCATTTTGGGTGGGTTGTCTGTGTAAATCCGTAACTAAGCTTGCCAAGTAATAAGACATAGGGTCATCGACTAGTGATCAATGTTGACGAAGGTCGGGTCGGGTTTAAAAAGCGAGGTTACTTGCAGTAGGTACTCAACTCACGTCATCGATGGCATCCAATAGCGACAGAAATCCGGGCGATCCCTTATCAAGGAGATCAGCAAAAGCCCGAAACACTGCAGTTTGCGCATCCCTTTGGCAGTGTTTTGGACCACTTTTGTCACGGCCCACAGATATATCACGCTACGTACATCTACCTAGGTACGTACCGCACACCCATATAAACTTGCCACGTAGACTACACAGAACCATCCAAAACCCCTATTCTATAGTACAAAATCAACACTTTTAGATGCAAATTAATTTACCTATTACAAATGCCCATCATTTAACGTCTTTTTATATTCATTAATATTTATTACAATAGATCTAACGAATAAAGAATATTACTACCTAAATTATAATCCCCTACCTATACTTCTAAGGGAAGTGCCAGAAGGTAGATTTCTAGGCGTACAGTTGCCAGGCCCAACCTGTACACTAAAGAGGCTAAAAAAGTACGCAAATTAACTACTAAAATCATCCCTCAAAATATTTCTAATCCCTCTAATTAATCCTACCTACGAAATTCTTAGAGACGATTAATTAATAATACTTTTCAATATAGCAACTAACGACGTACTTTACGAACTGAAACATTTATATATATACAATAACGAAAACCCTACGGATAATAAAGGAAGGAAACTACGATATAATAATCTAAGCAGGTACTTATTTACTATTTAAATTTTATATACTCCCTTAATAATTCTATAAATATTCTTACATTTCTTCCCTAAAAATCATATTAAATAGTAGGCAATTTAAACCAACTAAAGGCGTATTACCATATATAATAGTAATCGTAATCCCAAATCTCGCAATAGCTGCTAAATTTTTTATTATACTGCCAAATTCTATATAATATTTACAATAATAATTTATATTAGTCTCTACATCAAGCCGAATTTCGAAAATTATTAAGATCGCTCCCTTAACCAACCTTACTACCCAATTACGAATTAAATACTATTCTACTACTTCGAAATACTAATAAGAAAGTTTTACGTTTAGGATCCCTATAACGATAACCATTCCCGCGCAAGCAATACATATAGACTCTAAAATAAAATTAAAGGTTTTAATAACTAGATTTAAAAGATTTATAAAGACGTTAAATTCCTACTTTAAAATATAACAGTCGATAAGAAAATCGTATACTATATAGAGAGAAATAAAATTACAATAACTATCATTAATAAACCTACCCCTCGAAGTATCAAAATTTAAATTATTACTATACAAAGGTATTTTTATAACTAATTACTTTATGATAACTATAAAGGGGTTATTAAGTTAGATAAACTAATATATAATTCCCTATATAAATATATATTTTAATTAATAAATTAAAAATAAAGAGACTTCCGCAATACCTAAATTCTCGTTATCTACCTCGTTTTAAACTTACTTCCATCTCCCCCGCAATTAATTTATTACGTCTTTTATAATAACCTCTTCACGACTATAATATTAGCGATTTATTTATATAAATATAATATCGCTATTACTAGTACTATACGTAAGAACTGTACTATTTTTAAATTTACTGCTCTATATAAAACCGATAATAAAAAAGAGAAAATCCTGTATAAACGAGTATACCGGAAGGTAGAAAAGGATATAATTATTTACTAGGCGGTGAAATACTGCTAAATAGTCAACTTCCTATTTATATAATGGCCTTCTAACAGTATAGGAACTCGTAAAATATCACAACGAAGACCAATTAAGGAAGGTGCCATACGCGATATCTTTAGCGATATTAAAAAAATAGAACTCAAAGTCTCAAAGGTCGTTTAGGCATATAATTACTTTATAAATAGTATTAACGTAGGCAATTAACTATATATTAACAATACGTATAGATATCACTATCGTCGTAGTCTATATATAATATTATTTTATAATTTCTATTTAGAGGTTATTATCACCAACTGTTACTTAATTTATAAGGAACATCCCTACAACGCGCTTTATAAATAACTCATTGTACAAAACACCGAAACTTCTATACACAATTAATTAACAAATTCTAGGTAGCGTTTAGCAAGCAGTTAACCCTCTATAGAACTTGCAAGACCGAAGAGTAGAATATAAAATTCTCTATCTTTATTAGCGATAGCTATTACTAGGTATAGGTCGATATGCAAGTATATTATAAGATATATTTGTTAAATATATTCTAGGAAATACGTAGCGAGGTATTAAGTAAAGTAGGTCGCGTACGTACTATATACGGTTATGTAAAGTGTAAAATCCCTATCTATAAAAAGGATAATTATTACTGGAATCGTTACCTAGAGGATGAGTTCTTCTAAATAGCTTTACTTTTGTCTTGTTTTAGTTATCAATCTACTATCTTTACTACTATTGAACGCTAGTTTTGAGTGTGCATTTGATTTGGCTAGTACTCGCTAAGTAATTAAATGTCACGAAAATGTGGATTTTCGAAAAACAGGGGTATACAGCCAGTAACTACCCCTGTTTATGTGGGCCGTGACAAAAGTGGTCCAAAACACTGCCAAAGGGATATGAAGGCGTAAGGTTGTGCAGCTGTTAAAACAACCTAGTTGGGATTGGAAACTTTGGGAGGAGACAAGCTATCGCATCAAGAGGCATCAAACGGCAACGCCGCAGCGGCAGCGGCAGCAATCCGAGTGCAGGTCAGGTCTGATAGCAATTACCTAGCATCCATGCAACCGCGGGAAATGCCTGGAAGCGACGGAAGCTGACGGGGTTTCGAGCGATCTTGCGGTCAGCAACTTTGTGTTCGACAAAGGGTTCCATTGACGACATTGCGCGATGCTCATTATAGAAGGTTCCTGGGTACCGAATCTAGACCACGACGGGAAAGAGTCCGGGGTGGTGGGTGTCCTGATGAAGAACCGGTCGACGACCACCTCATCACTGTTCAGATGACACGTCCCCAATGCGCACCACGCACCACGCATCTACGATAGCTTGCAGCTACCCCTCATCCAATGTCAATGAATTGGACTGCAGTTGAGCCTAACCTCCACAAGAATCATCGACATTCTTGGGAAAAGAAGCCTGAACAATTCAATTGTTCAAACGTGATGTGTTATCAGACACAGAGCCCATTGATCAGTTGATATGGAACGGACAATACGTGATCAAAGACTCAAAGTCATCTTAATCACACAAAGGATCCTCCGTCTCTTTCTCTAGTCCCTCGTCGAGTTCAGTTCAGTTTAACCTGTTCAACCAACAACTTCAATGGACAAGGTACAACCTTATGCGCCCCTTCCGTACGCGCTCTGACCCGTTTCAACAACCGGGAAGGCGCACCTGCGCACCCAGCTTTACCTAAACCCCGAATACCCAATCGCGTAGTCTAGCTCCGATTGCGGCCAAGAAAACTTGCAGCTAGTAAATATATTCGCTAAAGTAGTAGTAAAACGAGCTTAAAGTCCTTTCAATCGAAGGGTGGCTCTATTTTTAAGCCCTGGCCCTGAAATCTCCCCCGGTTCTACTGTACTATGTATGTAGTGTACATAAGGGTTGAAGATGGTGGTGCCAAGCTTTGTTTCGTCCACCCTTCTCGTCTACAAATGTGTATTCCAAAATGACGGGAGTACCGGTTTCGGGTTTCAACTGCCGAACAGGAGAGTGACAGGCTACCAATTGGACGGCTCGTTTATCTAAGCGATGATTTTCTGGGTGCTGAAACTGCGGACTGTGTGATGGAGGTTGGTTGGGGGGACGTTGGTTGTACGTACCTATGTAGACGAACAAGCCTTGTCATACACTCCAGTCCCTCCTACCTCTTTACATACTATGCTACATATGTGTCTCGCCGAAATCAGAATTCAGCTACTGCAAACTTCTGGTGAATTTAAGCAGATTTGAGCAGGTTCGAGCAGACACTGCTAGTTTCAAGCACAGCAAAGAATAGAGCGCACTGCAGCTTGGTGTACTTTACCTAGGGTTTAAGCTTTCTGAGACCTGACATAACATAAGCAACCTGTATGCTGGTTCAATCTGATTACCTACCTACAGGACCTGGAGATTCTGGTCAGATCTGAATGCCACTGCTTTGCAGTAGTAGCTGGATTCTGGTCATCCCGAGACTATACTGTACATACGTAAATGCATACGTAGTAGTACCAAAAAACGAGCGTCGTTTTTTACCCCCCTCTATTCATCAATGTAGAGCCGAGCAAAGAGGAAAACCCTGATGAGGAAACATGGAACCTTGATATCGCTTCTTCAATGAATACTCGCGAGTGCAACCGGCCGGCCTGTTAAATTTTAATGAAATCACGATCCAAAACTCGGATTCAGACCCAGATGGGAACCGAGTTGTTGTCATCATGCTTAGTACAGACTACTACAGGTTGAGGATATCACGACATTAGGTCATGTTTGGCAGACGTCTATCATCTATGCAACAACTCCATGGCGGAGAATACATAAGCTTAGTCTGTTTGACAGCTTTTGTGGCAGTGTTGTTGTTTTGTGTACATGTTACCAGCGTTCAAGGAGTGGTTGGTGCAAGCCGAGTTGACAACTCGGTCTTCATTTGCGGCTTCCCTATAATCTGCTACGACGCTTTCGCTTCTTGGTCTGTTGTTCCTCAGAATCTTAGATGGATTGTAGACCTGCTCTCCCTTGTCCAGTTTGTCGAGAAGCGCATCCCACTTGTCCAATTCTTCGTCAAGATAGTAGCAAACGGCGACACCAATACCTTAGCCAATTGACCAGATTGGAGACTCTGAATGACTTCAAAATAACGCGGATTTGGTGATGCGCCTTGTAAGTTTTCGCACGGCTGATACAGATATGGTTGCGCGGCCAGAAAAGTGGGTTTATACTAGCCACGCATCAATTCTATACTAGCCATCTAGCCTTTGCGGAACACGGAGACTCCGCAGTGGGAGTTCACATGTTAGCAGGATTGTTTACTTGCATGCTACTAGCAGTTAAGGTGGGTTACAAAAGTAAATTGACCTCAAGACGGATTGAGCCATATTCGGTCATCATGGTTGTTAATTGAAGAGTCTTTGAAGTAAAAGTTCAAGAGACTTAGAGACATTGAGGAAGTTTGGACAAAGTCCCAATAAAGACGGAATCCCAAAGAAAGGCGTCCGGTTAGTGGAAATCTTCCGCCAAGCTGCCTTTAGAGCTCCAATTGTTCATCGAACACCAGCGCGTGCATCATATCTCAGCGCTGGACTCTGGCACCCCATCTCTGACAAGAGAACCCTCTCTTCATAGTGGTATCCTGACACTGCCGCACAACGAACTCAACCGGACCGGGCGACCTTAGAAAAACACATAGAATTCTTTTGCCCCGGGGATTTATCATACATGTACATGGTATACACAGCGGTCGTCTGTTCCCCCTTTTCACAGATCCCGGCTTTACTCTCACTTCGAGGTCACTGTAGCTTCCTCAAAAAAAAAAGGGGATATCCCATAAGTTTCAGAGAATAATCCCCTCTCACATCCCATCATCACCCATCCAGGCCCAAAGAAGCTTAGTTCTTCTTCTTAGACTCCTGACCCTTCTGCTTTCCACCACCGCCACCAGTACCGCCCGTCAAGCCCTTACTGCTCAACACCTTCCTCATCTTCTTCCAGGCGAACACGTACTGCTCGACGCTGCCCATGTCATGCTTGGGCTGGCGCATGTACATGAGCTTGGCGCGTCTCGCGCGCTTGGCCCGCCTCTTGATGATCTCGATGCCCGCCACGTTCTTGTTGTAGATCTTGTACCACATCTCGACGCCGACCTTGCCGAGGTGGTTTCTGAGGAGGATGGCAGTGTCGATGCCCGAACGGCGGATGGCCAGGCACACGCCCGCAAAGGGTTCGCCGCCGCGACGGTGCGTCACCATGAGCACGTCGCCGACGCGGGCGGCGTGGCGCGCCTTGGAGAACAGGGCGGTGCGCGCACCGGTCGGGTCCATGCGCGCGATCTGCTGCTGGGTCAACAGCGGCATCGGGTCCGAGGGAGGCTTGGTCATGAGCGGTGGCAGCTTCGAGTTGGCGATCTTGAAGGCTTTGGACTTGGTTACTACGCTCGAGGGAGGAGGGGTCGTCGGGTTCTTGGGGCGTGTGAAGACGGCGAAAGCGGTGCGAGTCTGCTTGGTCTTCTTATCGGTGATCCTGACTGTTGTAGTGGGTGTTGGTTAGCTATGTAGGTAGATCGGATGACACAAAAGGTGACGTGAGGCCGTACAGAAGTTGTGATCGGGCAGGGCGCCGGTAGACTGGGTGGTGGAAGCAGCGACGGCTGTCGCATAGCCCCGGATGAGGGACTGGCATAGGCCGGCCTTGAGGCAGCCCAGAGGCCGTCGGGAGAGCGGTGCTGTCACGTTCATGGTGTGTTGTCGTGTGCGGTGTCCCGGACTCGGAGTCGGACTCTCTGGACCGCCAGAAGTGGAATTGGCGAAGCAGTGGCAGCTCTCCTCCACGGCCAAAGGTCGAATTCGCGGGACCCGGGGCGGGCAGGCTGCACAAGACGTTGGAAAATGGATCTTCGAGCAAGACGGTGCTGGCTCCCGATTGGCCGTGCGCAAGGTACAAGACCCATAAAAAAGTGTATGGTCCAATCACAAGCCTCATTCGCGGCTACAGGGGGGTTACTTTTTGACGCCGGGCTGTCTTGCGCTTTTCCCTTGGCGACAAATGACAATCCCCTCCACGCCTTCTTGGGTCCGCTCGCACGGTTGGGGTCGCGAATTCAACATCGAAGAACCACTTTTATTTACGTCCGTCCGGTTTCCCGTCTCCAGTCGACTCCGGTCTCTGGCCTCCAACTCCCGACTCCTTCTTCGTCCTCCGTCCCCTCCGAATCCGGTCGCGTCCCACCAACCCCGACCGACCGCACACCAACATGGCCGGCAGAGCTCCCCAGCATGCCCTCTGGGTAGGGTGCAGGGCAGTCCCCGAGGCTCTTTCGAAGCCCGCGCAGCAATCCAGATGCTTGTCGTCGACCGTACCTCGCCAAGGCATGTCTCCCAAACCGTCACCATCTGTCGCTTCTGTCGCTGAAGCTCGATATGCGAATGCGATAAACCCCGCTCGGCTTCATGGCAGTCACCACATGGCTGTCTTCATCCAGACCTGCTAACACATCCTCCGCCTACAGCCACCTACCCCGTCGTCTCCTTCAACAAGACCTCGTCCCCCGAACTCAAGGAAGCCCTCGAGACCCTCCGTGAAAAGGTCATCCTTCCCACCTACCTGCCGCCCGAACTACGACAGAAGATCTTCAACAAGAAGTATGAGAAGGAGCTTGCGCACGATCCCGTCACCATCCAGATCGATGGCCAGCCCCAAAGGTTCACCTACATCAACATGCTGACGGACATGCCCAACACCCCCAAGAACATCCGGGTCGCCCTCCTGAACATGAAGAACGGCGGCGACTTTGCCAACCTTTCCGGCCTCCTCGAGGGTATGCACCGCGCGAACCGCAAACTCCCATACTGGCTCTCTGCCCAGATTGTCCGGAAAGCATGCAAGGCCGGCCATCTGCAGCTCATCCTTAACGTGGTCCGCGACGTCAAGCGCACCGGCTTCACGCTCGAGCGCCACGAGACCGTCAACGAGCTCCTGCACTGGATTCAGCGTTCTGCCTGGAAGAGCGACTACAGCGAGCCCGAGACGCGCAAGGCGCTTAAGGAGGTTCAGGAAATTTTGGAAGCCCTGGAGGGCGACGAGAGACACACGAGCAAGGACCGCAAGAGGCAGCAGGCCGTTACGGGGTTCCCGTACCAGCGCGACCCTCAGTTCCTCGCCGCCAGGCTAAACTTGGCGGCCGAGCTCGCTGCTCGCCAGCCCGACAGCGCCAACGACGTCAAGAACCTCGTCAAGTACGCCGAGCAGCTGGTCAAGTTGTGGCCCGCGGACAAGGCCCTCTTGGATATGTACACGGATGAGGCCTACGTTGCCAGGGTCGATGTCCGGTACCTCATCAAGCCCCAAGTGCACCTTCGCTATGCTAGTTTCATCCTCCAGGGCTTGAAGCAGGCGGCCAAGATCGTCGGGCAGACCGGGCATGGCCCGCTGGCGGCGCAGTTGATCAACAGGGCGGCTGCTGTCGAGGCGGAGAGCCAGTTGGCCTATGCCAAGGTTGACGATGGCATGGCCGGCCAGAAGATTTACGAGATGGTTGTTGGTGGAAAGAAATAAAGGCTTGTAGGCAATGATTAACAGAACGAGCTGTTTCCAATCTTTCTCTCGTCATCCTCTCGCGAGGTATGGTACGTATAGGCGACTAGCTTTGTATATGTAGGATATATGACGGACTGTAAGATACCATGAGTTGACAAATGGCACAAAAGTAGACAAAGAACCCTGAAACTTTTTTTTTTCTCATGAACGATACCCAATTACCTGCTATGTACACTAAACCATTTGTCTTCTTCTTTCTGTTTGTTTGTTTATGTTTCCTTTCTGTCCCGACTATGGCAGAACGATATACTTCTGCAAGTGCTCGGGGATCGCGCCCAAGAGGTTCTTCTGCTCCAACCACTTCCTCGAGAACAACCGGTCCGCATACCTGTACGCACCATCGCACAGCATCGTCACAACCGTCGATCCCTTTCCGAGCTTCTCCGCAACCTCCTTAGCCGCAACGACGTTGAGGGTCGAGCTGGCGCCAAGGTACAGGCCCTCCTCATCCAGACACCTGTACACCATCTCAATGGTCTTCTCGTCGCTGATGGTCATGGATCCATCCACCAAGTCCACATCCTGCTTCAAGTTGTCGGTGATGCGGCCCTGGCCAATGCCCTCCGTGATGCTCGACCCGCTGCGCTCAACCAGCTTGCCGCCCGAGCTGAAGTACGAGTGCAACACACTCCCAGGGGGGTCAGCCAAGAAAGACTTGACCCTGCCGCCCGAAACCTCCTTCAGATACCTCGTCGTGCCGGCAAAAGTGCCACCGGTGCCCGTCGCGCAAGTGAACGCATCGACTTTACCTCCCGTCTGCGCCCAAATCTCGGGGCCGGTCGTCTCGATGTGCGCCCTCCGGTTGGCAATGTTGTCGAACTGGTTCGTCCACACGGCATTGTCCAAGTGCTCGGCGTGCCGGCGCGCCTGGTGGTTGTAATTCTCCGGGTTCTCGAACGCGACGGCGGGCACAGGGTACACCTCGGCGCCCAGCAGGCGGAGCAGGTCGATCTTGCCCTGCGACTGCGTGTTGGGCATGTAGATGACCAGCTTGTAGCCCTTGGAGCGGCACACGTGCGCCAGGCCGATGCCGGTATTGCCGGCGGTGCCCTCGACGACGGTGCCGCCTGGCCGAAGCAGGCCGCGCTCCTCGGCGTCCTTGACGACGTAGAGGGCCGCGCGGTCTTTGACGGAACCGCCGGGGTTCATGAACTCGGCTTTGCCGAGGATTTCGCAGCCGGTTTCTTCGGAGAGACGGTTGAGGCGGATGAGGGGGGTGTTGCCGATAGCTTAAGGGAGAGAGAGAGGTGAGTGTTAGTGGTATGTTATTTGTTGAAGGAGACGTAAGAGGATATGACTAGGTAGGAAAAGAAGCATACCTCCGGTCAAGCCCTGGGCGATACCCTGCGCCTTGGAGACGTTAAGGAGGTATTGGGAGGGCTCTTGCGGCGCGACCGCGGCCATCCTCCGGAGGGAGGTGGTCGCAAAGGTACGGACGCCGTGACGGAACATCGGGGATAGGTCGTATATGTAGGGCAAGGAACGAGTGCGCGTGCGCTACAGGTTGGACCAAGATATGCAGACAATGGTCACACGAGGGAACAGAAAGAGGGAAAGAATATCAAGAGAATGAATTATTCGAAACACTACTTCCTCTCAAAAAGAACGACTAACGACTCATCAGTTTCCAGTTACGAGCGTTGGGGGGGGGCCAAGTAGTACCGAATGACGGAATCCGGGTAGTGGGGCCATCCTCAGCTTTAACCGGGCGGCCGGGCGGCGATTATCGGACCACCAGATTCCCGCTGTCACTGACCTCACATTGCGATCTTGCCCGAGAAAACAGTGAACAGTCCAGCGACTGAGCGGTACCAGCAACAGGGAAAAGTCGGGGCAACTGCACCAAAAAGGAACATGAAAGCATGAACCGTGGGGTTCGGATTTCAGGAACATGTTGATTGGTCGCCCTGGGATTTCAGGCGGGTGATGTCAAAAAGTTACAGCGGGGAAGGGACAATCCCGGGGAGCATGTCCCTATCACTTTCACGAGCAGCGAACGGTAGGTACCGCCTGGAGGTAACTCTACACTAGTGGAAATTTGGAGATCTTTCAATCTTCAACCAAACAACATCAATATTTCTGGAAGGGAAAAAGTTATCACCACGCGTCATTCGATTCGGCATCAGTTCCGACAACGAGCACATTTGTATCTTTTTAGGCTTCGACTATACGCGATCTTGTAACTTCTAGTTATCTCTTCGAGCAACAAGGAATCGGCGTCCGATACCACCAATATTTTTCCCACGATGAAGTGGTAAACGCGGCGCATCGTTAGACACCAGTTATTCTGCGTTCCTCGCAAAGTGGGCGACATCGACGGCAAAAATGACGACCTTGGATCTCAATCTCGATCCCAAACACAAACATCCCGACTTGCCCCTCCCAAAAGAGATCAACGAAGAAGATTGGAGCGATTCCTCAGACGATAGCGATGTCGAAACTGCCAACGACGGCGAGGTCGCCAAACAGCCGCAGCAGCAGGTGGAATGGCTTGCCACCTCGCGCGCGAAGAGGTCCACGGCCGGTAACCGCATGAAGTCGATGCTCGCCAACGAGGAGCCTGCCGCCGAAGACTCGGATCTCGAACTCCTCTTTGCCGAAGACGAAGACGACGCTGGCTTTACCGACGAGGACAAGGATGACGCGTCCGATGTCCAGATGGACTCGTCCTCGGACGACGAAGACGACAAGGAGGGCGCCGCTGCCGACGACCTCGAGGGTGAAAAGGAGCTGGAGCGCCAGGCGAGGGAGAAGAGGAACGCGCAACGGAAGAGGAAAGCTCAGGAGGCTATTCCCATGAAGTTCAGGAAAAAGGTCCGCATCGAGCAGCCGCCGTCAGCCACAGGAGAGAGTGCCGCCGGGAGTCCCGCCCCGTCGACGACCGGCACCCCTGCTGCCTCCTCTGTCCGGCAAGGACCGACTCCCCGCCCGCCTAGACCCAAGAAAAAGTCGGAAAGGACGAGTTGGTTGCCGACCCCGGCCGATATGCCCACGCGAGCGTCCGAGCGCAGGACGACCAAGATGAGCAAGGAACAGCTTCATCAGAAGATGATCGACGACGAGATCCGCCGGAAGAAGCTGATGGAAAAGATGGAGAAAAACGCAAAAAGGCTGGAGGCATTAAAAAAGCCACCAATGACGCAGGCGGAGCGGCTGGCTGAAGCAGCTCTTGTGGAAAAGAGGAACGAGAAGAGCTTGAATAGATGGGAGGAGGCGGAGAAGGTGAGGGAAGAAGAACGGTTGAGAAAGATCGCGGCCTTGAACAATCGCAAGCTTGACGGTCCGGTGGTTACTTTCTGGAGTGGTATTCAGACATTGGAGGAAGGACAACAGAAACACGTTGGCAAGATGGTGTCTATGGAGGAGAAGCCGGTTAGGAAGAAGAGGCAGTCAGTTAGTGCTACTCTTGCCGCTCAGGAGGCGGCCGAGAAAGAGAAGGCCAAGGCTGAGGAAGCCTCCAAGCAACCACCATCGACTGAGCAGGGAGATATCCAGCCGACGGAGGCGACAACCAAACAGGACAATAAGGCGGAGGCACAAGTGGAAAAAACAGATCCGTCAACAGCATTGCCCGAACAGCCAAAAGAGCCAATGTCAACTCAAGACGTTGTTATGAAGGATGCACCCGAACAACCACAGCAAACACAACCTCCACAACCACCACAACCTCCTACACTCGCACCTATTCGAGGTCCTATGGCCCCACCACCTATCCCTCCTCCACCGCCGATGGAAACGAAGACTACACCCTCATCTGGAGTTCTAGCCGCCCCTGTTCTAGCCCCACCAGCAGGAGTTGCGCCTCCTATGCTCGATGCTCAGATGCCCGGGCTTGCATTTCCTTTCAGCAACGGCATGTCTAATGTCCTTGCGCCGCCTAACACTACTTCGCCCCTTTCAATGCCTCCGTCTTCCGGAGGGTTGAGCACTCCTGCTCCACCTCCAGCTCCAGCTCCTCCTCTCATTTCTGCACCGGTGACAACATCAGCCCCTACGACCACTCTCACCTTTGCGCCTACACACATCCCAGCATCGGCTCCTGATGTTGATCTACCCCCTCGTGATACATCTTCACCAGCTACTACAGTGATTACAGCTACTATTCAGACTAAGCAGGCACCGACGCCGCCCTCTTCGCAGCCCGCCACACTTAGCCCCGAGAAAACAAACAAGGAGAATAAACCGGCGGTGCCACAGAAGAACGACAAGGGTGAAGGGGGTGGCAAGGGCGAAGAAAGTAACAAGGAGAAGAAATCCGAAAACGCGGAGAAGGGACCAGATGGACCTCAGGAAGGGTCAACAGTACCCACTGATCAACCTGCCGCCGAAGGAGTAGAAGGGAAAACGGTGAACAAAGTCACCCGTAGCTGCATCATTCTACAGAATTTCGATGAAGCCGCTATCAAGGATAAGCAAGTCCAGACGCAGATTATCTTTGGGAGGAGGATGGAGAAACTTGCCAGTGAGTTTCCCCCCATTGCTCTTTGACATTTCTCTTTGCTTCAGATACTAACAATCATCAAAGAACCCGCCCACTCTCCACTCTGCGTCGTAACCGGCCACCCAGCCCGTTACCGGGACCCCAAAACCGGTCTCCCTTACTACAACGCCTACGCCTACCGCGAGATCCAACGCGTGCATAGGGGTGATTACAAATTCAGTGCGCTGTTAGGAGCGTACGTAGGCAGCGTGACGTACGCAGCCAAGGGAGTACCAGAAAGGTTCTTGAACCCCAACGGAAAAAGATCAACACCAAAAGAAGATCCAGCGAAGCTAGCGAAGCTGAAAGAGGCTCAGGAAGCGGAGAAAGAGAAAGAGAAACAGGCTTCCGAAAAGGCCAAGGAGGTCGAAGCCGGGGACAAAAAGCTGGATAATGTTCAAGCCACTGAGCTCCCGCCTCTGAGGGAACCAAAGGTGCCGCATCTGCCACGAAGGGCAAGTGGCACAGAGGTGACTACTACAAAGGCGAGAAGTAAGAGCACGAGCAAGGAGACGACGATACCGTCTGAGCTGAAAGGGAAATCATCTACGTCTTCGTTACCAGCGACGATGACGGGGCCGGTGGTTCAGGCTAAGCTGGAGCCGATTGATGATGTTGCTCTTCCACCTACTAAAGCGGCAAGTGCTCCTGCGCCACCTACCTCAAAACCAACGGCGGCGACAACGACGACAGCAAAACCATCACCACAACTGTCAACGCCAACGCCGCCACTACAAACTCAAGCCCAGTTCAAACTTGTGGATGACGCGGAGACACGACAACAACGACAACAACCACCACCGGCGGAATCGACTTCATCGTCAAATTCACAGTCAACAAAAACACCCAAGGCATCACAACCGCAAGGCCAGTCTTCCCAGGCTCCTGCTCCAACCCAAAATTCAGCTGCGGTTGCAGCTTTTGCTCCAGCTCCAGCTTCAACCAAGCCAGCCGGGCCAGTCGAGCCATCCAAGCCAACCAAGCCAGCCGAGCCCGTTGAACCACCACAGCCTCCTCAAGCACCACCCGTGGCAGATGCTCGCTTCCAACCCGCTCCTGTGCCGGATATGTCGTAGCGTGAACATGGCGCATCGAATAGGGAGAGGAGGCCTCGGAGGAGTTGTTGGTTGGATATGGTCCTCAACCGGTCCAGATGAGTTTGATATGCGGATATAGTGTGGGGAGTAGTCTAGTGTACTACTAGTGTACCATCGTTAGTGTTCGAACATGGATGGATGGACAAAAGTAAATGTAGGAGTAAGGTATGAATGAGTATGTGTAGGAGTAAGAATAGGAGTGGGAATAGGAGTAAGCACAGGAGAAAGCGATGAGCAAGACATAGCATAGGGAGGGGACTCAGAGGGCATATATGGCATGCATCTTTCAACTAACTAAACTGTATAGATACCAAAATAGTGAAAAGAGTAAAATGACACACCACCCACCACCCACTTCATCCTCAATGAAACTGTATGTAGAGATGCCGAAATAGTAAATTAGCAAATGAATGAAGGATAACCACCACCCGCTATATCTATGAAGCCGAACTTATTCCTCCCTCAGAGATCAAACAATGCTAACTGTACGTGGGTTGCTACGCTGAATATGGGGTCGGCTTCAGCAATATATGTGATAGGTCAAGACTGTTCATCATAATGGGATATGTTGAGAATCACATGCAAAACCCAGTGATTTTCGGTAACTCCTACGCCAAGCCGTCTGATATGTACAATGGAGAAAATCCACGAAATGGAAATCGAAATCCGGAAAGTATATCACCACCGGATAAGATGCATCTTGACTTGTTTACTTCTGTTACCCTATGGCTCTCGTTTCCTTCATAACTCCTAACACGATAGGTCAAAATCAGATTCCAGAGGAACAAAGAGTTATTAAGAAATTCTTGAATCCAATATGATGGTAATAGTAATATGTGCGAGCAGTAACGGACAGAGCTTGGTCAGATAACGAATGAACACCAGAAGTCTTCCGCGCGCAGACATCGGGATGATGCCGGCGCGGTTTCTTGGTACGTTCATTTTTTTTTCTGGCCCGAGTGGAGAGAAAGGCGGCTCCTCTCTCTGATCATAGGGAATCAACCACAACCACAAGCCAACCTAGGTCAACTTAGGTCTCCCTCTCCCATCCCTCACATCTCCAGTCTCCTTCCCCATCCCCTTGAACCGAAAGGAAACGACCTGGCCAGGTACGCTCTGCGATACCTCTCTTTGTGCGATGGCGCCAGGTCGATTCGTTTCCCCCACACATGCTCAACCTCCCTCCTTTCCCTCCCAACTCCTCAGCTCCGTCCGTCTGGGTATCGGTATGCAGGCTGTCGGCTCGTCACTGCTTTAATTGCACTCTAAATAACGGGGTAATATCGAGGCGCCCTATGCCGTTTAGATGTCGATCTGTGAATGTCTCCCTTTCCCACCCCCTTCATTTCATGGTCGCTTCCGGGTTGTAACAAAAAACGGGGCCGGCGGGGCCAAAAACATTCCTCACTGCAGGAGTATCCCGGTCTCACAGAATCAAGCACTTCTTGTCCCTTTTACTTGTCTTTTTCTGAGGCGGCTCCAGTGCCGCAACGATGGCCTAAAAAGTGGGTGTCAGCTTTGGGGACTTGACGACTCACCGACAATAGCCGTCCTGGGAATATGCTATTGTCCTGGGAATGCCTACCTCATCAAACACGTTCTTGAGTCCTTCCTGCGTCAGCGCACTGCACTCGACGTACTTGACGGCGTCAAGATCCTGGGCAAGCTTCTCTCCCTGCTTGAACTCTATCATTGACTGCTTGCGCTGGGCAAGCTTGTCCCTCAGTTCCTTGTCGGAGCGCAAATCCTTCTGCGTTCCGACGATGAGGAAGGGCACGCCGGGGCAGTGGTGGTTGACTTCGGGGGCCCATTTCTGGGACACGTTTTCGAACGAGGCGGGCGATGCAACGCTGAAGCAGATAAGAAAGACGTCGGTCTGGGGGTATGATAGCGGACGTAAACGGTCGTAATCTTCTTGTCCTGCAGTATCGAACAGGCCGAGCGTGTAGGGCTCATCACCGATCCTGAAGGGGGTTGCGCTTATCAGCTAAAGTCCGGATGAAGATGGGAAGCGGGTGGGTGTTGGCTTTGGCTGCACGTGTGCATGCGCGCATTGATGGGATCGGGGAATTGAGAGAAGGGCAACGTACATGACGGTGACGGCATAGTTGTCGAAAACTGTCGGCACATATTCCGAGGGGAACTTATTTGTTGTATAGCTGATGAGGAGACATGTCTTTCCAACGGCACCGTCACCGACGACTACGCACCTAGAGAGGGAGGGATAACGGTTAGCCTTGTGTTGCTTTTGACTGAATGCGATTGCGATCCGGGAAATGGGACAATATGCATCCCAAAGATGCGTGTAAGTGAAGTCAAGCACAGAGCGGAGCGGTCTAGACCGTCACCACAGCAGCACGCTTGTAGCACTCTATACATACTTGATAGTTCCCGTCACCATGTTGTTGACTGATGGCGCCCCAGACGGGTTGCAGGACGAGTCGCGGGCTTGATGCTAGGCTAAGAGCTCGACGACGGAGGTGACAGAAGATGGAGGAGCGATGCAGCGAAGCACTCTCCTTATCGCGCGCTGTGATCAACGGTGAATCGGTGTGGGCGACGGCGGAGTGGAGTCGAAGGGATAAGACGAAGCGGTTTAGGTTGGGGGGTGGGATGGATGGATGTTGATGTTAGGTTGGCGGTGGTGGCCGGGCACTTTTGGCGGTACGGGGAACGGACAGAGTGGTCGATGACGGAGTGAGAGGGTTTGCTGCTGGGGGAGTTGGAGTTGATGGCGGGAGTAGGTGTCCCAGACGAGTAGAGTGTGATGGAGAGTGGGCGCGAAGAGGTAGTAAAGTGTTATGGTAGTGAAGACTGAAGCTCACTGTAGGCGGCGGGCGGGCGAGTTGCGGTGGATGGAGAGCGGAGGGAGTGATTGAGTGGATGGAATGGGTAGACGATGGGTGGCCTGGGTGGATGGTGGAGGACCTATGAATGGCTGCCCTGGCCTTGCAATGGATTGGACGGATTGGATGGGGGGAATGGGGGATGGGGATCCGACCGCCAGTGACAGAACAGCGATCAGTTGGTCTATTGAGAGGATATCTGTATGAGGCGTAACGTATGCCAGAAAGGGGATGATTGATGCAAGCTATGTATCAATATTTTGATAACAGGATCAAAAAACTCGATGTTAAAATGACTCGGGACTTGTTTGCCCAGCAACAACAAATAATAAGTAAAATCCGGCAATTTGCTACAAGGGACCGGTGGTGGCCCAGTTGGTGGTAGTGGTTGTGGGCTTTAGGTTTGGCTTTGGCTTTGTTGCGCATCAATCAGCCTCATGAAATTTTGACTTGACAGCCAAAGTCAGAAAAGAGACCTTCGAAGGGTGGGAAATGAATCGACGTTGGCGGGAGAAAGCGCCTTGGGGACCTTCGAGAACTGCGAGTGTGCCTTCGACAGGAAGCTCGAACCTGGCAGGTGCAGGCGCGCAGGCGTGCGACGTGCAGCCCACTCTTCTGGCCGGCAATCTGGCAGGGCGGGAAGGACAGCATCCGTGATATTGGCACTCGTCGGCAGACTGTGCACACAGACACCGCCCGCTGGCAGGCGGTGGAGGGAACTTCCCGCTTGAGTTATCCATGTCACTATCACAGGCTATCCCGTTCTCATCTGCTACTTTTACCTTCCTAACCACGACTAACATGTCCCGTCACACATTACTGCTTGGTCGGGCAAGATTTTCCCTCATGCCGATTGCCCGTTACTAGCTCGGCGGTTGCATAGCTGGATAGGTACACAAGTGATGCTATCGCCAGGGGTACTGCTGTCGCCAGCGGGCTATCCAGTGTACACAAGTCACAACGGGCTGGCACCATCAGGGCTGACAGTGGCGTGCCAGTGTCTGGGGCTTATCGACGGGCCGGTCGATCCAATCTGGTGCGACCAAAAGCATAAGCTACACGGTGCATATAGCCAACACCCTTCCGCTTCGGTTGAATTTGGATTTAAGTTCATCTGACTGCATCTCAATTCTTGGGACTCTTGGGACTTGCTTGGCAACCTTGACTCTGAAAAAACATCACCGGCATCTCTGAAGAGAACTCGAACACACACCGGCCAGCATGGATGGAACTTGCAAGGAATCTGGCGAACTCGGGCGGGTTGGTTACATTGCCGCCCATCAACAAACTCCCTGACGTAAACCGCAAAATGTCACCGACCCTGTTGCTGGACTTGGCCGGACAGTTACCGCCATTCACCACGGTTTCACGCCATCACAGCCATGGACATGGCCGTCGCCACGCCTCCCACGCCCATTACACCCTCTTGACCTCTGGACGGCAGCTTTTAGGATTGTCTAGTGGTAATTTGGAAGGGCCAAGCATACGTACGACGTCACCAGAATTCCTGCGATATCCCTCTGGCATCTGCTTCTCCTTCGGAACCACTTCCCCGTACTCGTCAGGACCACAACCTTTGGTCCAAGTTTGCGTCCGACCCTGACACCACATGGAAGACCTGCGCAGCCTTGGTGGCACAAAAGGGTCTTTTGGGCTTTGAATGGATGGACTGCGTCTTCTTCCAATGCTTCCATCCGTCGTCCACCACGCATTATCCTGGCTCAATATCCCGGCTGTAATGTTGGCGTCTGCAAGCTGCGCTTCCGCGGCGTCTCTTGTTTCCATCCCGCACAATGGGAAAGGTGCTTACATACACTTTGGGGGTAGCAGATGCACGACACATTGAGGCGCCGCCATGAGCCCCTTTGGAGACATGCCTCATTAAAACATTCTCTCAAAAGTCTCAGGGGCTACGAGACTGGACAGTCACCGTCACCTTGAAACTTTTTTTTTTCTTGTTTGTATCAACGGACTTGACGATACATACAGTACCCTGAGCGTCGATCTCCCTCGGCCCCAGATCTAATCAGAAACTAATATCATTCATCAGATGTCATGCACGACAGCAATCGGGGTCACAGTTCGGGGTCCTTGATAGCCTCAGCTCCATGACCCTGAAACAGCCGCCAACCCGGAAAGGGAACGCTTTAAACGGGTCAACACCACGAGAAACATGGCACACAAGAGCCGATCAATGCCATGTGGTTTCGGGGTTTCAGCCAGAAACAATCCGTTTTGAATATTTTCATATGCGCCTGTGTAAAAGACCGGAGACTGCGAGAACGCCACGAACCAACTTCCAACACAGGGGTTAGGGTAAGGGTTAACAATCATGTAAGGAGCCGTTGCCGCGAGGTGCAGTGGGTGGTGCATTGCCCACGCTGCTATTTTGGAAACGTGTGAAACATGGAGTGTACAATTTATCATATGTTTGTCTCAATTATAATGTTCATCAAATGAGGTGGATACTCTTCACCCAGAGGAAGCCATCCGTCGCACCTTCGAGATGTTGTCGAATCGCACGAGAAAAATATCCGCATAATCTTTGGTTCATGAACAATTGGGGAAGGTACGTACAACTCTCACCGCGGTGAGCCCGAGCCGGAGACCTCACCGAGCCAACAACGCTTCAAGGGACACAACTGAACTCTGGTTTCACGGACAACACAACACAAGCAGAACTTGGACGAATCTTCCAAAAACACAACCGTAACGAACCAAAGCAACCAAAACACAAAACAACGGCCGGTAACACTCGGCTTAACAGGTTGACACTGTCAATCTCAAGACCAGAGCTACCTTACCTATCTGTTGCGATCCCGATAATCACGATAAGGTTCGGGATCAACCCCATCGAAGGATAGAGGGAACGGGGCAAGACTACGTCATACAAGACCTCTATTTAGTCCGGCTAGGGAGCAGGAGCATCATCGAATCGAGCCCGGCTCATCACCCAACACGGACCACCAGATTCATCAACTAACTCACCCACCACTCCCATCAAAACCTCGCGCGTCACATCCACATCCAAAATGACCACCATCACCACCACCACCACCACCACCACCACCACCTCTCCCTCATCCACTAACCCCCTCCCCCTTCAAGATGCCGCCTCCAACCCCTCTTCCGCCTCCCAATCCTCCGCAGAAGACTACAACGCCCAAATCGACGCTCTCCTGACCCGCTACCTCCACCTTCTAGACGAGTACACCACCCTCCGCTCCTCGCTCTCCAGCCTGCAGGCCGGCATGTACCAGAGCCTGGCGCGAGCGAACTTCGCTGCTGAGCGGGGAGTGAGGTACGGGAAGGAGTACTTTGATGAGAGGATGGTCGCTAGTAGGAGGGTGAGGGTTGGGGGGGCAGGGAAAGGGGACAAGGAAGATGAGCGTGGGGGTGGGGGTGAGGATGAGGAAAAGGCAATGGTGGAGTTTAGGGTTGTGAAGGTTGATGAGGAGGGAAACGAGGTGGTGGTGAAAGAGAAGGAAGAAGAGGTGGATGTGGATGTGGATGTGGATGTGAATGCGAAGAAGCAGAATAACAAGAATGCGAAGGAGGGGGAAACTGGGAAGAAGGAGGAAACGGATGCGGAAGAAGTGGTGGTGGGTAAGGAAGCTGAGGAGGATGTCACTCAAAGAGCCGACACAACAACAACAACATCCCCCGACAAAGCCTCCGGAACCCCCTCAAACCCCAACGATGACAGCGATACACCCGAGGACAAGGCAAACAAAATCAAGAAAATTCGCAACGACCCCCTCCGCTGGTTCGGCCTCCTCACCCCTCTTCCTCTCCGCCAAGCCCAGACCCAGGCAATCCAAGCGGTTGAGCAAATCATTCCGCGGCTGGTGACGGTTAACGCGGAGATGGCGCAGGTGGAAATCGAAGTAAGGAGAGCGAGGAAGAGGAGGGAGAAAGCGGCTGTTAAGGCGAAGGCGTGCTAAGGGTCCTGGGGGTGGGGGTATGTAAGGGTGTTGGTTAGGGTTGTTGGTGAGGCTGCTAGTCAGGTGGATAGAGAAGGGTAGAGAGCAAGAGAGGGAGAGAGAATGGAAGAGTGAAGAGAGGATGAGAAGAAGAGTAGAAGAGTTGTAGGAGAATGGAAGAGTGAAAACGATGGCCTGTTAGTTGATAAAGTAAAGTACCTAGCTTCGACTCTGCCGGACAACTTACCAAAGCAATGGGATTTACGTGAGTGACTAATGTTGATGAAACTGCAACTGATATGATATGATAAGATATCTCGATCTCTATCTCTATCTATCTACCATGTCACTCTATGTCACTATACGGTCATCTCATGACCGATTATCCCCGCTAAAGGTAGCAATGGAACGTTATGCCAATCTTCCCCTCATTAACCTCCTCTACTTATCTGCTATTGGAGAGGGATATATGAGTGAGCGAGTAAGTGAATCGAGGCACCCGATTCTTTCTGATTTTGCTTCTGCTTCTGCTTTTGTTCTCCTCTAAGACGACTCTCGCATAACTGTCATATTTTTTAAATCCAAAGGAAATCAACATCATGAGGATAACCTCACTCTCCTCGGCAGCTATTCTACTGGCTATTGGAAGCCAACTGGTCCAAACATGCCAGGACCATGGACAAAGTGGTGATAACAAGCAATGGACAATAAAACCCGAAGAGCTAGCCGAACTGAAAGAGCTGGAAAGAAAATGGGGGACGGATGTAAGTACCGCGATTCAAGGTTCACTGGGAAACCTAACATGGCTGCCCGGCCAAAGCTAATATGGAAGATACTTGGAAAAAATAGTGGTCATTCTCAGGCATAAACACCTTCGCCCACCTCAAGCACGTCAAGTGTCTGACTACACCTAGCGAGAAGTTCGATATTGGGATTATTGGAGCGCCGTTTGATACGGCGACTTCTTATCGGCCTGGTTGGTGACCTACCACTCCTCTCCTTTCACTGCTTGGGGACACTTTCCACTGTTCACCTACCTAATCTACCTCACCTCATCTACCTTACCTTGATCCAAACCAGTCAAGCTAACAACAGCAACCAACGTCAACAAAAAGGCGCCCGCTTCGGCCCCCGCGCCATCCGCCAAGCATCAAGCAGACAAACCTCCTTCCGCGGCTTCAACCCCCGCGCAGGCATCAACCCGTACGCGAGCTGGGCGACCATCATTGATTGTGGTGATATTCCTATCACGCCGTTTGATAATGCTGTGGCGCTGGAGCAGATGACTGAGGCTTTTTTGGAGCTTGGGTCGAGAAGTCCGCAGACTTCGAAGGGGAAACCAAAGTTGATTACTCTCGGCGGTGATCACAGCTTGGCGCTGCCGGCGTTGAGAGCGTTGAAGAAGGTATATGGGAGGGAGGTGAGGGTTGTGCATTTTGATGGTTAGTTTTTCACGTCTCTTCACTTGCTTCAACACTTACGTTGCCCCCCTCTGGGTAATCTGGGCTGGATCGAAAAGCTGACAACGACCACAAAAAAAAAGCCCACCTCGACACCTGGCACCCAGCCAAATACCCTTCCGCCTGGCCCTCCACGCAGTCCCACTTCAACCACGGCTCCATGTTCTGGCTCGCCGGGCAGGAAGGTCTCCTGTCCAACAGTTCTTCCGCCTCTAACATCCACGCCGGCCTCCGCACCCGCCTCTCCGGCACCGACCCCTCCGATTTCGTCGACGACTCCTCGCAGAACTGGCTGCGCATCTCAGCAGACGACATCGACGACCTCGGCGGTCCCGCAGGCGTCATAGCTGCCATCATGGATCAGTTTGATCTGAACGACCCCGATCCGGACCCGGTGTATTTGAGTATCGACATTGATGTGCTTGATCCGGCTTTCGCTCCGGGCACGGGCACGCCGGAGCCGGGAGGTTGGACGACTAGGGAGTTGATAAGGATACTGAGAGGGTTGGTGGATGTGCTGAATGTGGTGGGTGCCGATGTGGTGGAGGTTAGTCCGGCGTATCAAGGGAGAGGGGAGGAGACGGCGTTGGCGGCTGCGCAGGTTGTTTATGAGGTTTTGACGGGGATGGTTAAGAGGGGATTGAGAGATGGGGAGACTGAGGAGACTCGGGAGAGGGCTGAGGATGGTAAGGCTGGTGAGGGTCATGATGAGCTTTGATCCGTCATCATGGGTTTCCTTCCGCCTTGACTGTTCAGTTCTCCCGGACTTCGTGTTCTGTAGCTCCCGTGGTGACTGCCGAGGCCCATGGCGATAAGACAGTTCGTATAGCCGGGAGTTGTTGAGAGTCACCCCTTCCCACAGGAGTCATTCCCCTGAGGAACGGTGAGAATAGAAGGGAGTTGGACTAAAACCGACGCAGCTGACTCACGTAGCACCAGCGGTCAGACCTTCGTCTGATAACGGAGATTTGTCTGGATTTTGTTTCCATGTCATCCTCTGACACCGGATGAATCATAAACACCCGGATGTTCGGCCACATGTTTCAATTTGTGCCATTGAGTGCCGAGACCTGGAAAGTAATGCCATTGAGTGCCGAGACCTGGAAAGTAATGCCATTGAGTGAGAGGAGTCATGCTTGGGCGTCTTGGTGAGCCATGCCGAGGGATGAAGATGGGCTGTTATCGCGAATGGTGTACACGGTCCCCCGTTATCTTTGGTCGTAATTTGCGGCGATGTTCCGTCTGGTGTTCTAGACAACACAAGGGATAGGGAAGGGGTGAGTCACCAACGTCGCTCCCCGTTACTGCCCACAGCGCTAACAGCGACCCCTTCTGCCCCGCGTGCGATAACCCCACCATCCCATCCCCCACCCGTCCCGTCCCCATTCACTTTTATCGCAGACACTGCATCCACTTCCGCCGCGCAACTTTGTCTTTGCGCGACAAGACAGTTCAGTTTCCAAAATGGCGACACCACAAGAGCTCGCCGATCGCACAAAAAGCGACGCCAAGGTCTACATCGACACGGTCGCCGGCAAGGACGACGAGTCCGCCGATGGCTCCGAGGCCAAGCCCTACCAGTCGCTGTACCACGCCCTCATCCAGAACCTCGATAAGCCCGCGCCCACATACCTCACCAAGGCCGCCCCCAAGGAGGGCTCGACCGATGGCCCAACATGGGAGGAGGCTGCCAAGAGCGCCATGAAGAAGGCCGTCGGCCGCGTTGACCAGTACAAGAAGAAGCTGCAGAAGGAGAAGGAGGCTCTCAAGAAGGAGGAGGAGGAGCGCCAGCAGCGCCTCAAGAACCTTGAGGATGCCAAGAAGATCGTTCTCAAGGAAGATCCTTCCCTGCCCGAGGCTGTCCGCATCCGTCTCAACAACAAGTCCATCGAGCTCGGCGACGAGTCCAAGAAGGGCACCCGCGTCAAGGTCTACGGCCGCATCCACCGTCTCCGTGCCCAGAAGCACGCCACCTTCCTTACCCTCAAGGACGGCTACGGCTTCCTCCAGTGCGTCCTGCCCGCCGGCGACCTCACCAAGAACTACGACGCTCTCTTGTTCGCCCAGGAGACCGCCCTTGTCCTCTACGGTGAGCTCAAGAAGCTCCCTGCCGGTGCCACTGCCCCCGATGGCCGCGAGCTCCAGGTCGACTACTACAAGGTCCTCGGCCACGCCCCCAGCGACCTCGACGCCATCACCAACAAGGTCTCCCGTGACCAGGATGCTTGGGACGCTGCCATGCTTGACAACAGGCACTTGGTCCTCCGTGGCGAGAACGCCTCTGCTCTCATGAAGCTCCGTGAGTTCGTCGAGCTGGCCTTCGTCGATACCTACCGTGAGCTCGAGTTCCGCAAGGTCTCTCCCCCGGCCATGGTCCAGACCCAGGTCGAGGGTGGTTCTACCCTCTTCAAGTACGACTACTACGGCGAGGAGGCCTATCTCACCCAGTCCTCCCAGCTGTACCTCGAGACCGTCCTTGCCTCCATGGGCCAGGTCTACTGCATTGAGAAGTCTTTCCGTGCCGAGAAGTCTCTTACCCGTCGCCACTTGTCCGAGTACACCCACGTCGAGGCCGAGTTGGACTTTATCGAGTTCAGCGACCTTCTCGACCATCTTGAGGAGATCATCTCCAAGGTCGTCGACCGTGTTCTCAACGACGAGACCGCCGCTGGCTATCTCAAGGTCCTGAACCCCGACTTCAAGAAGCCCGAGAAGTTCCTCCGCATGAAGTACGAGGAGGCCATTGAGTGGCTCAACAAGCAGGATCCCCCTATCCTCAACGAGGAGGGTAACCCCCACGTCTTCGGTGACGATATCGCCGAGGCTGCTGAGCGCAGGATGACTGATATCATCAACCGCCCCATCCTTCTCACCCACTTCCCCGTCGAGATCAAGGCCTTCTACATGAAGAAGGATCCCAACGATCTCCGCGTTACCGAGTCCGTCGATGTTCTTAGTGAGTATTCCCCTTGCTCTTATCCAAGGTTATGTCCCCAAGCTGACAAGTATTTCTAGTGCCCGGCGTCGGCGAAATCGTCGGTGGCTCCATGCGTATGGATGACTACGACGAGCTGATCGAGGCCTACAAGAAGAACGACATCAGTCACGAGCCCTACTTCTGGTACACCGACCAGCGCAAGTACGGCACCTCCCCCCACGGCGGCTACGGTCTCGGTCTCGAGCGTTTCCTCGCCTGGATGGCCAACCAGCACTCCGTCCGCACGACTTGCTTGTACCCCCGCTTCATGGGCCGTTGCAAGCCTTAGATGTTGTTAGTGACGACTTGGAGTGGGGTTACAGCTGGGGATGAGGTTGAGGATAAGAAGAAGACGGATGAGGAGGAGGTAGCGGTGGTGGTCGTGGTGGTGGAGAAGAAGAAGAGTTGTGGTTGTTGTTCAAAGCACCAGCAGCAGAAGAAAAAGCGCAGGGCGTCTATCACTACTGCTGCTGCTACTGTCATGGGCAACAACATGAACAAGCAAAACGGAAAGAGAACAATGAGAAAGACGAAGAGAAGTAGAGATGTCAGGAGAAAAACTAAAAAGGATCCTAAAGAACGCGTGGAGTCTGGTGCACGAGGTTTATAGCGAATATTTACGGACCTAGAAGTTTTTGTTAATCATTGAAGCTTTTCGATTTTGGGAGCAACTCAATACGTGTTCCATGTTTGTATCTGGAGTGTTTTTACCCCTGAGCTTCCAGACACCACCTAGACCTCGGGCCCCGGCCCCGGTGTTACACTCGGACCTCCGATCTTCGAACCTTGGGAACCCGGGCTCGCTTCGCGGGGAAGACGCAAAAGAAAGTCACCGCGGAAAAAAAAAGTTGGCGGAAAGTTGGAAAGAAAAAGCAGATGGACGGGATTTGGGGATTTTTCCAGTTTTAACCCAATAGGTAGGTATGGCCAACTCATCTTTCCGAACCGCGCTCAGCCCAGCCGCGCCGGCAGGATGATGAAAAGCGCGGCATAATGTATGCACCGATCAAGATCAAGACCATGCAGGCAGCTGGGACTTGCAGTTGTTAAATGTCAAGTGTCAAACTTTCAAAGTGTCAAGTGTCAAGTGTCAAAGGTATCACCATCAACCAAACCACATCCCGTCATCAGACGAGCGCTCTTCTTCACAACGTACCCACCCTCCATAGTCCGTACCGTACCTCACTATCTATCTTACACCTCACTCTTGCTCTTTATCTTTATCTTGTTGTTGTTGTTGTTGTTGTTGTTGTTGTTGTTGTTGTTGTTGTTGTTGTTGTTGTTGTTGTTGTTGTTGTTGTTGTTGTTGTTGTTGTTGTTGTTGTTGTTGTTGTTGTTGTTGTTGTTGTTGTTGTTCCAGTGCTTCGCAAAGTTAAGTCCGTCAGGTCTAGCCACCACACACAATCTTAATTCGATTTGGTTTTATGTATGTACAGGTATGTGGGCAGATTTGCCTTGTTAGGTCGGACCTGCGTACAAACTTGACCTACCTACGCTACGTGAAGCACTCATCTTGAATGCCCTCCCTCCCAAGCCTGTTTGTTTGTTTCAACATCACATCCGGCGCGAGGAGTCCGGAGTTGCATGCATAGCTTGAAAAGAAAGGCCTGACAGGCAGGTCTGAAAGCGGAGAAAGAAGACCTGGTGTCAGCTGCCAAAAAGCGACAAACGTACAACGTACATACATATAGTAATGAAGCATGACGATGAGAAGCAGATCAGATGAGATGAGAATGTGAGATCTGGGACCGCCCGCAACCGGTTCGTTTAACCAAAATACCTAACCCTTGAGGTTGGAAAGTTCAGTTGCCTCATGCTTCTTCTTCTTCTCTGTTCTCAGTTCTCACCGCCGCGGTCCAGGGTGATGATGTTCATGTCTAACTCTAGAGGTAAGCAGGAAGGCGTCGTGGGTAAAGAGGCAGGCAGGTTTCTTTCTCCCCAGCCGAGGGCCTCATCGAAGCTCACCGAGGCTGGATATACCGTATAAACTCGCCAAACTGGCAAAAAGCTAATGCCCCAAAAACCTCTTTTTGCCACATAGTACTGACGGGACTGTACGGTGCAAGTCCAGTCCTGTACATTGAAACGCAGGCAAGATAGTGGTGGGCAATATTATAGAGCTTTCACTAACAGAGCGGGCATATGTACAGATGTATGCTGCTTGTGGTGCTTACTGTCGGGCGCTCAAAGAGGGATAGCTTTTTGCCAGTTTGGCGAGTTTATACGGTAAACCTACATAGGTAGGAGCAAGCAGTACCTAATATGATTTATAACATTTGCTGAACTGAACGAAGCGAGGAAGCAACTGAGGCACATCAGTGCATGTACTTGCGCCAAATGCGAACTCGACTCGAGCGGCCGAGCGAGCGTCCTCTACTTTGCTCGCCATGCGCTGACAGAACCGCGCAGGACTTCACAGTCCTTCTCGACAGTGAAGCATGTGAAGACGGGAGACAGTGAGATGGTGATCGGTAACTTACTGCTGAACCGCCGTGGGTGACGGACGAGATCTTGATACTGCTTGCTCCCCGATACAAGTCGGTCGGTCGGTCGCGGACTTGGACTACCGTACCGGACCACCGATGGGTTTATATAAGCGCATGTTTATTTGCTTTATATCAGTTGATGAGATAACTAAGGTAGTGTTCGGGGAGGCAGCAGACCTTCCCCGGGGTGATAAAAGGCTGGATGGATCCTGGGTTGGGTTGTGGCCCGTGTAGATGTTGGATACTGGGCTGCAGCGTAGGTACCTTAGCTAAAAGGCAGGGAGAAAACTTTGCCTCGAAATCGAAATGTTAATGGTGTAAATAAAGGTATAATTGGGAAAAAAGGGAATTAAAGGGCGTGAAAGGTTCTTGGATGCATAAATGAAAATGCAAATAGAGGTGCAAATGGAGGTGCAAATCGAGGTGGAATGAGGAGTTGCAAGTGCACTAACAGAAATGCACATTTAAATGTTAGGTCTAACAATTTCTTTGGCGGACACACAAGTTCGTGCGCAATTGGAATGGATGAATGTTAGTGCAGATAGTGTTGTGTATGGGGACCGCTCGCTAAAAGCACTAACACCCTAACATCACTTTTTTGGGCTAAGCTGCTATTAATATATACTCGTCAGGTCTACAAAATCGACCGTCTGACTAGCCGGCGGGCTGACAAGTAGAGAAGTACAGGTGGAAAAGTGGTGGGAATGTGAATGAAGAACAAAAGACAGTATTCCAGAAATAGATAGATGTAGTTCCCTTTTTGCGCTTTCCATCGATGGAGGAAAGGGTCGGTGATAGACGGCCAGGATGTTGATGAGAAGAAACACGGTGCGGCGATTCGGACACCGTCTTAAGTACCTAGCTTGTTAATAACGAAAAAAAACGAGACCTTGCGCCCAACTACCCATGCCTGAAAAGGTCTCGGCTTTTCTGTTCATGGGCGAGTCTAGGTAAGGAGGATTGGGATTGGTCTTGGCATTGGCTTGGGCGTTCGGGCGAGGCTCGGGTTGTGAATTTCGATTTGAACGCCTGACTTGGATGAAGATGGATGGACTAATCGGGGAGTGAAGGTCTCTAGACGTGGACGTTGAGGTTTGGATGTCCTCGGTTGTAATTCGAAATCACATATCCTGTACTCCCATCACCATCATCAATTCCATTCCCCTGTCCAATACCGTCACTACGGGACAGAACTTGCCGCAAGCAAGATATAAAAGCTGCGGGTAGGCGATGGATAAATTTTGACGGCATTGCACAAACCACACAACCCAACACAGTTTCCCCATGGTGGTGGTGGACTATGGTGGATATGTAGACAAGGTTTGGGTGGAAGTCTGGAGTCAAATTTCAAATTTCCGGATCGATCCGCTCGCCGGAGGGGATTGCGATTCCGATTGCGATTGCGATTGCGGAGCGCAGGCGGGATATTCTCCTGTCCCTTGACAGGTACCCGTAGTACACGTGTAGTATCAAGCCTCGGGATGAACTACACGGGTAGGTAGGTATACAGTCGTTGGTAAAAGCGTTGGTCGTCCGTGAAAATGTGTACGATGAACCGGGCACTTCCAGTGGTTCGTTGGTTGGCTGTTCATCCGCAATCCGCAGTCCACCGGCGGCCCACGGTCCACGGTCCACGGTCCACGGCGGTCCCTCGATCCGCGGCCCCGCGGGTATTGGATCCGGAACCCATTGGACTCGCGTGCGGCGTGCGGGTGCGAGTGATGAATGGCGCGCAGACAAGGCTGGCGGAGTGCAGTTATGTATAGACTCGCATGCGTGTGTTAGAAAAGCATGGCTGGCCGACAGGTACAGGCCCGTTCCAAGAAGGGGAAATCGAGGGGAATGCAACGTCAACTGTGTACCCCTTTTTTGGCGTCTCGTAGCCGCAGCCAAAGGGAGGGGACAAGCGGGTGGAGTAACAACAAGTCGTAAATGGACTGGACGGAAAAGGGGGTCAGGCAACCGAATTAATGGAACAGGAACTTGAACAAACTAGATACATATTCGAACCTTTTGTCTTCCAAGGTCCACGATGTCCACGATGGTCCATGGCATTTCCCGTTGCTACCCATTGCTTTTTGAGGCGTGTTGAGGTGGAGAGTGGAGTATCTGGACGGTCATGTCGATTGAGACCGAACGGATGGCACTGACATGCGCTGCACTGCGCTGTACTGAGGATATCAAGGCGCGAGTGACATGCGCATAGCATTGCATTTTGAAAGTTGACAAGTCCTGACATCCAACATTCGGGGTAAAATATATGCGGCCAACTTCAATCCATTGGACTAAAACACCAAGGTTCCTACAAATAGTTCAAGTTGCAGTCAGGAAGAAACCAAAGGGTTCAAGTCTCGAACATACCAAGCACAATGCAAGCACGGGTGTTGACCGCTGGGTAAACTGACTAACAGATGACAAGTCACTTCTGCTTGTTACACGTGCCAAAAGATACATGCCTCTTGATGGACAGGGGATCTCAGCATGGCGCCTGCTTGCAATTGACGTGCGTGGTGGGCAATTAAACTGGCCTGCCGAGCCAGACCAAAGGAGCAGACACCGAATCCACCTTCACTCCCTTGGTCCCCATCCATCTGCCAGAAAGCACCAATCACGCCCGTCTGTTCCTGGACCTTAATCCATTTGCTTGACTTGGACCCTTTCTCACCCCCATCAAGTGTTCCAGTCTGTCTCTTCCCCTTTGCATACTAGTCTTTTTACTCTTCAGGATTTCCTTTTTATCTCTTGGATTGATCACTTTCCCTCGCTTCCGTCAATCCTCTTCCTCCTCCTTTTTCCCCGTACCTCCCTAGAACTTGGTCTCTTCCGTTCTTGTGGCTTTCTTTTTTAGGAGAGACCGCTTCTTCAGTCTTCCACTTCTGGGGCCCCGTAGCCTTGCAAAAACCAACCAAGGTCTCGATCCACTCCGACTTCTGGAGTGCCTCGCCCTTTTTTGCAAGCTTTGCTCTTCCTTCGACAAACACTCGTTGCCAAGTATCGTCTTGCTAATTACACCCTATACAACACTTCACTTCTTCCCCTCGGGACGAAACGAACCCCCCGACAAGATCCAAGTCTCCGTTCTCGACTCGATTTCCCCCGGTTCGCTTCTTCTGCCACGGTGTGAAGATTTACCACCTCGCCTTTACTCGACATTCGCTTGGAGAGAGAAAGAGAGACAGAGATTGGTCGATTACGATAGCGATATTTAATAGCTCTATACAAAATCTTCCTTTGTTCGGCTTCGACACGCTAGGATCGATCCCCTCCCCGAATCGACCAACCCCTTTCGGCCCCCCTGCCGCGAAGCAATTGTCTTTGCTCCAAAGAGACGAGAACAAAACCAATCCGGCCGCCGTCGTCCTCGACCTCTCCCGGCTGCCTTGGCACTCGACCGTTTCTTTCTCTGAATCCGGCTTGCCCCTTTGCTTCAGTTCGGGGCTTCGACAATACATAACCGCGACACTTCGAATACCTTTTGTTTCGCCAGCGTTGCGGAGCACCACGGTGACAGGTTTCATTCCGTATATTCTTCTCGGTCGTGCCTTTACCAGGGGCACGTTTAATCCTTCAAGACGGCGGTTATATCTCACCTCACTCGGGACTCTTCTGTCCCGGCGCACCTTCTCGGGATGCAGGACTATTCAGGTCACCAGGGTGGGCACAACGGCCAGGGCCGCTTCGGCCATGCCTCCAAGCCTTCCAACAGCGACACCGGCTTCTCCCACGGCGCCTTCACTTCCAACATCTCCGGCTTCGCTGAAAGGCACCCCCGCCGCGGCAACATTCCTTCGATCAACACGCAGCCCATGCAGCAGCAGAACTCTCACCACAACCACAACGGTGCCGATCTGACCAGCCCCGGTACCGCCTTCGACATGCAGTTCACTCCTTTGCTGCCCTCTACCCTTCTCGTCGGGAGCCCCTTCCAGCCGGGCACCCCCGCTGGCTTCGCTAGCCCCCAATTCCAGAGCATTCCTGCCTTCCAACAGCAGCAGCAGCAGGGTTACCAGTCGCAGAACGGCGCCGCCAGCCCGGTCCAGCAACACATCTCCCCCCAGATGTACCAGCCCATCGTTTCACCCTCCGCTTACGGCGCCCCTCAGTTCTACGCCCCTCAGTCGCCCACGGCTTCTTACAACAACATGGCGCAGATGCAGATGCCTGTCCAGCCGCAGTCTCCGGTCAACATGGGCCCAGGCATGGTTACCGGTACCAGCCGTACCGTTTACCTTGGCAACATTCCCCCTGACACCTCTGCTGAGGAGATTCTTGGACATGTTCGCAGCGGTCAGATCGAGTCCGTGCGGTTGCTCCCGGACAAGAACTGCGCTTTCATTTCTTTCTTGGACGCGAGCTCCGCCACGCATTTCCACTCTGATGCCATCTTGAAAAAGCTCTGCATCAAGGGGCAGGATATCAAGATTGGCTGGGGCAAGCCTTCGCAGGTTCCTACCTCGGTCGCTCTCGCTGTTCAGCAGTCTGGAGCCTCTCGCAACGTTTACCTTGGCAACCTGCCTGAGGAGGTCGCAGAGGAGGAGCTGCGCGAGGACCTTGGAAAGTTCGGCGCCATTGACACCGTCAAGATTGTCAAGGAGAAGAACATTGCCTTTGTGCACTTCTTGTCCATTGCCAATGCTATCAAGGCCGTTGCCCAGCTTCCCCAGGAGCAAAAGTGGGCGGCTCCGCGCCGTGTGTACTATGGCAAGGACAGATGCGCCTACGTCTCCAAGACCCAGCAGCAGAACGCCGCTCAGTACCTTGGCATCTCACCGGGTTATGCGCACATGCTCAGTGGTGCGGATCGTGATTTGATTTCTAGCGCCCTGGCTCAGCAGTCCGTCGCTGCCGCCGCCGTCGCTACTACCGCTGGCGGTCTTAACAACCTTGGAAACCGCACCATCTACCTCGGCAACATCCACCCCGAGACTACCATCGAGGAGATCTGCAATGTCGTCCGTGGAGGTCTGTTGCACCACATTCGCTACATCCCCGATAAGCACATTTGCTTCGTTACCTTCATCGACCCTACTGCGGCCGCTTCCTTCTTCGCCTTGAGCAACCTCCAGGGCTTGATGATCCACAACCGCCGGTTGAAGATTGGCTGGGGCAAGCACTCCGGCGCTCTCCCCCCCGCGATTGCTCTGGCTGTCAGCGGTGGCGCTTCTCGTAACGTCTACATCGGCAACCTTGACGAGACGTGGACCGAGGATCGCTTGAGGCAGGACTTCTCCGAGTATGGCGAGATCGAGCTCGTCAACACGCTTCGTGAGAAGAGCTGCGCGTTTGTGAACTTTACCAACATCGCCAACGCCATCAAGGCTATCGAGGCCGTCCGGTCCAAGGAGGAGTACAGGAAGTTCAAGGTGAACTTTGGCAAGGACCGCTGCGGCAACCCGCCCCGTCAGATGCAGCAGCAGAACAATTCCCGCGACAACCAGGTACCCTCGCCCCAGGTGAACGGTGCCAGCCAGAACGGAAACTCGCCTACTTCCAACGGTGCTCCGGGTCTCCCTGCCCTGTTCAGCCAGCACAACCCATTGACCATGTACCTTAACCACGTCAGTCAGCAGGCTCAGCATCACCAGCAGGCCCACCAGCAGTCTCTTGCCCCTTACCAGGCCGCCCTCTTCGGCACCGCCTCATCCTCGCCTAACGAGCAGCTCGGCATGAGCCTAGAGGTTCCTCAGGGTCCTTCCATGTCCGGCCACCAGCAGTCTGCCAGCATCTCGAACGTCAATGGCTTCATGTCCAACGGCTCTGGCGCCCCCACGATGAACGGTCTGCTTGCTCCCGGACGTTCTTCGCACAACCGGGCTGTGAGCTTGCCCGTCCTTGCCCCTGGCTTCGAGAACGGCGGTACCAGCCCCAACAGCCTTCATGGTAGCAATGAGGGTAACGGCGAAAGGCGTGGGCACCAATACCAGGCCAGCTACGGCGGTATGGGTGCCGGATTTGGTTTGGCCATTCAGGGAAACCTTAATCAGTGGGTTGAGGAGGAGGTCGCTAACTAAGATCTCTCTGGGCGTCAATGTCGATGTGATAAAAACTTTTGAAGCTTCTCGAATCGATCAGTAGGGTAATATACGGTGTCGGGGGTTGTGTTGTGTTGTGCATTCGCAAAGAGAGAGAGATACTACATGATTAAGCATTTGGGATCAGCGACAAAGGGAAATACTATACAAATGGATAGGCAGGCAGGCAGGCAGGCAGGCGGTTTTATTACACTTGCAACAAATGAATGAGCTAGGAGTGTGTGTATACGAATCGTTCGCGAGCCATTTACGAAGGTCACTGCAGGGGAAGGAATTGGAAGGGAAGGGATGGCAAGGGAAGATGGGTTTCGGAAAGAAAATGAAGATTGAAATATCCTGTTGTAATTTTTTTCTTTCCTTCCATTCATGTTTTGGTCCTTTTTCTCTCATACTTGCTTCGTTGTTTATGTTATGTTTTTTGTTGTTGGATTGGATTCAGTCACAGAAGAAGCGGAAGTCTATATGAAGGAATCATCACACGTTTCATCACACAAAGCTGGTTCTACTTTGCTCTGCGTTATGGAGGGCCGCTTTGGTACACTCTCTGTCTCCGTTATTGATGCTTGATGTTTTTGCTAAGTACCCTCTGGCTTATCTTACTGCTTCTTCCATTGAGGCGGTTGATGTCATCTTCGGTCGGCTTTCCTGGCTCATGGCTCACTCGGCCTTTCTTATAAGAGATACATACCCCCAGAGCCACTACTCACCTAGACAGTTGCGGTTGGTGCAGCGTAGAGGTAGCTGCTCAGATTGCCTGGATAGTTTAGAGTAGAAGAGAGAGAGAACAGAGCAGAAGAAGAGCGGGTTAGAACAGCGGGTAAGGGTAGTAGTAGTAGAAGTAGTAAACAGTAGGAAGGGGTGTAGGCAGGTAGGCAGGTAGGTGTCTCGACGGAGTGTCTGTCTGACTGACTAACTGGGTAATAAATAGGAGTAAATAGATCGAAATGGGTCGTCGGGATCGGTCGAGATGGGAATGTGAAATAAGTAAGAGAGAGAGAGAGAGAGTATAGTGCCCTCACTGACTTATGTACACCGGCTGGCTAGAGATAAGTCGAGTTGAAAATAACACGCTCGAAATACGAAACACCCAGTTGTAAACATATCATATCCATCGTCTTATTCCAACCACCTTGGTTGGCACAACTCACAAACTGTTAAAGGAAACAGAACCTGTAGGACTGAAACCAAATCTAGGTACAGGTAGGTATAGGTATAGGACGCTTTTTTTCTCTTTGTGTATCTATCACCAAGTAAGTAAACCAAGCGTAAGCAGGTACGGTGAGTGTGTAGGTGAAATTCAAGTCTATAAGCACCATTTCTTCAACCATCCATCCTCTTTCCCATTGTTCCATTCATTGTTTTCCCTTTCTGAAGGTCATTATCATTACCATTACCATTCATTCGTTACTTACCGATTGCTTGTCTCGTCTCGTCTCGTCTCCTCTCTCGTTGTTTCTCAATCTCCTCAATCTTCTCAATGCCATTCCTTCCTTCCCTCCTCGTGCCCGCACCTGACTGATAACGCTGCTTCCAGTCTTTTTGTTGTTTTCCTCCTTGTCGGAGATCTCTAAGCGTAACCAATCAATGATCCCAAGAAGTCTCTTTGAACCGACTCAAGTGTAGGGATCTATCTCTTCAACTCTTTCAACTCTTCTTCCACTCTAGTAAGAGTTCTCTAGAACTCCTGCTCAACCCTGATTGATCAAAAACTCAAGGATGACCAGCCCACTCAGGCTCACCACTAGGAGGCGTAGCCGGCTGGCCCAAGTTCATTCGGCACTGCTGCTTCCAATCTTGGGGGGTGAATTTGTCGACTATTGATTTGAAGGCGGTCTGTGTCATTTTACTCATGCGACGTTAGCATATAACTCTCTCGTAACATAGTAACACAAGTGGTAACTAACGGGAAGTAACGACTTGGCAGGGGAACACTGGACATAAAGGGGTCCAAATCATAAGGGGTCCCAAGTCCAAGTTAAACACACACACACACAAAAAGGGGGAAAATGCGGGAAAATGATAAGGATAACAAACAACGTACCAAAGTGCAAAAGGATTCGTCCCCCTCCAAATGGTTCCCCGGCGCCTTGCACCCCGGAATCGTCACCGGCTCGTCGTTGTACCGCATGCGAACGTAGTATCCGTCCAGCTTGGATCTTTCCGACGAAGTTAGGTACTCGGAGGGTTTTCTACGGATGCCCGAGGCTTGTTGCTGGTTGGATGATGAAACAGCGCTGCCGGGGAACATGGACTCCCACCAGCCGCGTTTTGCTGGTGTTACTACTGCCGAGATGTGGTCTGAAGGAGAGTTGCTATCCGCCTTACGGAATAGCTCAATGGCAATGTGGCTAGTGAAGGGCGGCCAGCTGCTGCTGTCGTGCGCGCCTAGACTGGCGAGCATTCCCGCCAGCGTGGTGTCGTGACACCCCGAGAGACCGAACTTGATGTCGGAGGCTGAGGGGTCGGAGGTATCTGATTTGGTGTTGACGGGATTTGAGGAATTCTTCGTGCGCTCGGCACGACTAACCATTCTCTCAACAATGTCGCCCAACAACCCACCCATTCCCAACATGCGATACTCGCGCGACTCGTTGAAGCCCGCAAACCACTCGTCACTGGCAATCCTCTCCAAGATTTCGCGGGCCTTGTAATCGTAGAACTCCTCCGGCAGCCGAGTGTGCGGACCATGAGCCAGACTGGCGTTCACGGTGTCCATGATGCCCGACAGACGCGGGCGTGAGTCAACGGCAACGCGCGGGCTGTTAGCCGGCATCCACTTGCCGTAGACTTTATTCAGGTATTTCATGTCCTCGGTGGCGTTCCACCTGTCTGCCGCGCGCTGGGCGAAGGCTCTTGAGAGGGCTGCAAAGCGTCGACAGTTGCCGTCGTTAGGGTACAGCGTCTCGTCACCGGGACCCCGGGTCAGCACGGTGGGCACGGGAAACTTGCCCGTCTCCGGATCGGGTTCGCGCGTCGAGGGCGGGTACAAAGCCTGGAAGGTCTGATGCATGGACTCGAGCGCGCGGGGCACATTAGTCGACCGCAGATAGAAGTCGTCCGTGGAGCTGATGGTTTCGGGTAAAAAGCCGAGGCGGTCGACGTAGAGCTTGCGGAGGCGCATGCCTAGTCGCGAGGTGGACTGGCGGCCGAGGTCCGTCAGCATGCCGAAGTCGCAGACGTCGTCGAGTTCGTGGCCGGGCCCTTTGGCTACCACGGGCTCGTCGTTGGGGCCAAAGGTCTCGAGACGCCGCTTCCATTCGACCGTGTGCCAGGGGGCGTTTCCGCTAGTTGGCATTACCGGGTCCTTGGGTCTGTTCTCGCCGTTTAAGTCGAGCATTATCGACTTCATCTGGCGGACGCTGGCGCAGTAGGGCCAGAAGGGCTTGAGACCGGCGTTTTGGAAGCGGGCGGTTACGGGGGTGCGTTCGCCGTGGCGCATGAGGATCTGGACTTGTTGGAGCTGGAGGCCGGATGGGTAGAGCTTCTTGAGCTCATGGTCGGTGTAGGGAGGACGGGGAGTGAGAGAGGTCATGGTGGGAAGTAGGTTAGGAGGTTAGGATGTCTAGGTCGTCAAGATATGGGGTCGTAGGTGTAGCAGAAGGGGGCCGATATGGATGGAGGTCTAGGAGGTAATAAAGCTTGGGGAAGACGGGGTGGATGGTTGTTCTTATAGGATTTAGAGGTACAGTCGATCCGAATCACGACCCATGATGGTGAGTCGACAGGTTGATAGGTGAATGGCTGGCTGGTCGAGTGAAGAGAAGACCTGCGTCGTGGCGTGCGCCCATAATGAAACCTGGAGGTCTGCCTGTCTCCGCATTGAGTAATCGATTATACTGGACGAGAGGTAAACATTCGCTAACACGGCTGCTGGACAACAGAGCCATGACGTACCAACAGCAACTCGAAACTCCATTTCAGACGGCAAGGAGACCCCAACCTGGAGGATTACCCAGAGCAGAAACACACTTTCAACCCTAACCCTTCTTAACAGTCGATGCCGTGGTCGGGGTTGCGTGGGGCTTCCTCCACATCGGGAGGGGAAGTGTCCCGCATCGAGTTCCGCTTCCCCAAGAAATTCAGGAGCCGAGTTCGACAAGTTCCACTTCTCCCCCGTCTCCGCGCCCCGGCGCCAGCTCCTCTCCTCGACTCCTCCACAACTGCGTGTCCACTCCTTCGTCCACGACATCACCAACTGAGGACATCAGCTTCACACACTCGTTTGCCACAGACCATGAGGGACCTGGGCCACGTCTGCCTGAGATGTCGTACTCAGCTCCTCGTCGCGACTCAAGCCGCCGGCCGTCCGCGAGCTCCTCGCCAGCCACCATCGCAGTCGCCATCATGTCGTTCCACCTACAGCTATACCACTGCAGCCCCCAATAACGCCGCCCAAGTCCACCAAGAAGTCGGATCCCCTGCGCAGTCACAGCAACAGAGGCAAACGGCGCCGCAACACAGAAGAGATGGAGCATGGAAGGCACCTACCAAGACCAGATTCAACCGCAGCCATGCTTCTGCTCATCCGTCAGACGGCCACGGCGAGGGTTCTCAACTGGTAGCCATGTTCAACGACATAGTCCACGATGTGCCTCAACCTAGCGACATCACCATTTCCGATATTGACTTGTTGGCCTTGGGAGGCCGGATGGACGCCAAGATCAAAGACAACAACTCGTCCTGCGCCAACGCCTTCAAGTTCTTCAAAAAAGAGATCTATCCCTTGATCAAGGCCATCTCGGCAATACCAACTCGCAAAGTCCCGAAACCCGTCTTGCGCTCCATACGCGACCTGCTGCTGCCTCGCATCTTGATCGAAAAGACGGGAAACGTCCACGCGCCCGAGCTCCCATTGACGGCCCATATCACCGAAATCATGCTCGAACTCGACGCCTTCGATCCTATATACTGGTCTCCTCTCATCATTGAGATGATCGAGTCGGTCTACCGCATCAACCCATCTCCTGACCGTTACACCAAAATTAACGAGTACGAAAGTGCAATGGCACGCCGTGATCTCGTCCTCTTCGATCTCGCCGCCACGTGGAAACACTTTACCAAGCATCGGTTGCCTCGCACCATAGTAAAGGACCTCCGACCGGCGAGTGGGTCCAAAGCAAATGCGAAAGTGCACACCAAGGAGCAATTCTCTGAAGGATTCAGGGGCCTCGAACGTATAATGCACAACACCTTGGGCAGTCACGGAAGTAGCGAGAATGCGCTTCACATATCGACCTGGGCAGCTTTTGGCTCATATACTTTACTGACTGACCCTGTCAGGTGCTCACGTCTAGCAGCCAAAGAAGCAGGTCCCTTTTTGGAGGTCATGGGCAAGATATTGGCCGTGGTTACGACCCTAAAACCTACCGACTTTGATCCGGTTACGAGACGATACCCCATGCTACACGCATACATCAAGACGCAGTCACACCTGGGTTCTTTTCTGACAAGCACTCTAAACCGCTCTGCTCGGCAGGTACATCCAATACTTCAAATCAAGGCGACCGTTGAACAAGCTATACTCAAGAAAAACTTGGGACTGTTATATTCAGCCTGGATTCAGCTTTGGGGCGAAGAAGAGTCCCCTGATCCGTCCAAGCTGCGGTCCTACCATGAAAACGCAAAGATCTTCGACAAATTTATATATGGCTTCATGGCATTGCGGCGGCCCCAAATGTCCATCGATGTCTGGAACAAAATGGAAAAGGCTGGCATAAAGCCGACTATTGAGACTTGGACCTCCATGCTTCAAGGCGCTACCATGTCCCACAACGTTAGCGGTATCAAGACCATCTGGGAAAGACTGATAGCCTCCGGAATACAACTGGACTCGGTCGTCTGGACGGCGAGGATAAGCGGGCTAATCAATAACGGAGCCGTTACCGAGGGGCTTAAGGCGCTCGACGAGATGGCCGACAAGTGGAAAAACCAAGTTAAATACCCCAAGCAAGCCGTCAAGCCATCCATCGAGCCCGTCAACGCCGCCGCCGTCGCCCTCATCCGACTTGAGCGGGACGACCTCGCCGCGGACGTGCTCCGCTGGGCGGCCAAACAGGGCATCCGCCCCAACATCTACACCTTCAACACGCTCCTGCAGCGTCTGGTGCGCACCAACAAGTACGACGAGACCGTCGCCCTCCTCGAGAGCATGAAGCAGGCCGAGATCGAGCCCGACGGCGCCACCTTCACCATCCTGCTCGAAAAGGCGCTCAAAAACCTCCACCGGCAGACGCCCGAGGAGATCACATCGACGGTCGGCGAAGTGATGCGCATGATGGAAAGCTCCGGCGTCATGGAGAACATGATCATCTACGCCAAGGCCATTTACCTCCTACTCCAAGAAGGCGACCGGGCCACGACGGCCGTCAACGCCGTGCTCGCGCACATTTGGTCCCAAGGGCTCGAGCTCACCTCGCACATCTACACCATGCTAGCCGAGCACTACTTTGGCCGCGATCCGCCCGACACCAAGGCCGTGACGGCCCTGATCGACAACCGCCGCCTGCACCTGAACGAAAACATCGACCACATCTTCTGGGAGCGCGTCATCAAGGGCTACAGCCGGGCCAACGACCCCGTAAAAGCCGAGGAGATCTTCTGGAAGGTGTTCAATGCCGGCATGACCGAGTTGACCATGGACGCCATGTTCGAGTTGCTGGCGGCCATGCTGCGCCGCCAGGGCATGCTGGAGAGCGCGGCCAAGCTGGTGGCGGCGCTGAACCCGATCAAAGTGGCGGTCACGCCCGACCAGGTGCTGGCGAGCAGGGACGTGGAGGAGCCGGCGGAGCGGGAGGCGAGGCATGCGAGGATGAAGAACGAGAGGTTTTGGAAGCACCGGTTTTGGCATTTGGCGTATAAGGGCGGGTTGATGTCGGATGATTTGCTGGAGGCGTTTGAGAGGGCGCATGAGATCGGATCAGAGGGAATTGGGGGGTGAGAAGGGAGATGGGGGTGGTGTGTAATGTTTATATGTGTATACATATTGTATAACAACAACTGCATATATCCTTGTTTTGGCTATGTAGCATCTTTTCGAGGGACAGTTATCAATTAGGTTTCCACGAAGACTTGAACTGGCATTGCATCATTGGCTCAAGCGCATCAATCATAATCTCCACATAACTTTTTTCATAGACCATTGATATATCCTTCTGAAGCCAAACCCTCCATTAGGAAAACGTAAACCCCAAAACACCTGCTTATACAATAAAATAAAAACAACATGCTTGGTATAAAACACCTAGAACTCATCCATCCTCTCCCCATCACCATTCCCCTGATCTTTAGCTTTCCCTTTTGCACTCCTCCCTCTTCGCCTCGGTGTTTCGGTTTCGGTTTCGGGTTCCCCTTCTCCTTCTCTCTGTCCTTCTGGTTGTGCTGATTCCTCCTCTTCTTCCCCCTCCTCACTTTGCCTTTGCTCTCCCTCTCCCGCTTCCTCTTGACCTTGCCCAGTCTCCTTACTACCACCACCCACATCTCCCCCTCCCAAACTCCCCAAAACCCCCTCCAACGCTTCCACCTCCTCCCTCTCCACCACCCTCCTCCTCTTCGTTGTCCTCGCCCCATCCGTCCCCTCATCACCTGCATCACCATCAATCACCACCACCTCATAGTCCCCCGTCCCATCCCTCAACTCCCCATTAACTCCCAACTCCAGACCCCTCACTTGCTCCAGGTGCTTGCGCGTGGCTGTCTCGATGTACTCTAGTCTTTGGAGGCGCCAGGGTTGTTTCTTTTTCTTGTCTGCTCCCTCGTCTTGTTCTGCTTCGTCTGAGGGTTCTGGTGAGGAAGTGGGAGGGACGGGGTGGGAAAGAGCGGGCAGCAGGGATCGTAAAGAAGAGGAGAGAGAGCGGAGGGCGTCGAGTTGGCTTAATGTGAAGGCGGTGGTGGTGGTGAGAGGGGTGGAGGCGTCGGAGGTGGAGAGGATGGAGGTCTTTTGGGTTAGGAAGGCGAAGGGGGGTTTGGTTGTGTCTTGGGTGGTGGGGGCTGTAGAGGGGGCGTCGGTCATTTCCGTGTCTGTGTTGTCGCTGTTTTGTGCTTGTTGTGATCGTTCGGATTTGATTTGTTTGGGAGAGCCGCCGACGAGACGACGGACTTCAGCCAGCAAAGCCGCATTGCGTGCCTTCTCGGCGTGAAGCATGACGTTAAGTTTCTGCGACGCTTGCAGGCGTCTACGAAGGCGGGTGACGGTTTCGATTGTTGGCTTTTGCTCTACCGCCTGCGATGTCGGGGAAGAGAAATCCAAGCCCTCGTAATGCCCCAATCGTATCCAATCCCTGTCTTCCGGCCTCACGCACAAGATGTTGCGCATAACGTAGATCTCGAACTTGTCAAAGTTGCGGTCGATGCTGGCGCACAGTAAAGTCTCGAGCTGGTGCGTGCCGTTTTCGATCTCGTGCCGGTGCGCTTCCTCGGCGTTGGGAAGACCCTCTTCGCCCTTTTTGGGCTTCTTGCCTGACTTAGAAGAGGCATGGGTGGGTGGTCGGAAACCGAGAGAGGCGGGGGGCGCGTTGAGGAGTCCTTGTTCGACGCTGTTGAGGGCGCGCTCGGCGAGGATATTGATGCTGTTGATGATGTCGTCGAGTAAGCTCTGCGATGATGCGCCGCGGGGTTAGTATTGAGAGAATTTGAATTGAGAGAATTGGAGGGTACGTACGACTGGGGGGTAGCCAAAGTGCTCTGTTAGGAGCTCGGCATCTGTTGTTGTGGCCATTTTTCGGTTGTTTACTTTGAACTCTCGGAGTTGTCCTCGTCGCGACTCGAAGACGCGATGGCGGCAATGCGATTGCCGAGCGGAAGTGGAATTGACGATTGACAGTGACACGCCAAGGGCGCGCGGGGATCAGCTGGAACAGGACGGGACCCGACGAACGGCGGTGCCTGAAGAGCAAGGCGGCACAGCTGATGTGGGACCCTGTCAGCCGCTGACGATCCCCGGGATCTACGTCACATCACTGCCTGTGCAAGTGCCCGCTGGAAGATAAGAACGAACGCCGACCCCGTTCCTGCGATAACGTCCCCCTATCGACATCTGCCGGGTGATCACCACGCTACCTGATTGCCGGCGTCGAAGGAACCTATTATTCTTCTAGAAGGTTTCCTTTGCTTCTCCGTTACGGTTTACACAACATTTCAACTTCGCTATCGACTATACTGCCCAGCATGCCGGAACTAGCGGGCTACAAAGACAAGGGCAAGGAGATCTTCAAGAAAGGATGGCATCCGGAGAAGGAGGGAACGTCCTTGAAAGGCCAAGTGGTATGAAGCGTAATGCATGTCGAATGTCACCGACCAAATACTGACGGACTTCACGAATGCAGAAAGGCTTGCTTGGACGCGGAGAAGATCCTGTAAGCTCATCATCCCCGCCATGGCAACATAGATTGCTAACACCTGGCCGAACAGAGAGAACGTTATGCGAACCATCAATCAACCCCGATTTCCTCTCTACGAGACCCGGCCTCTTTCCCCCCTCCGCCCAAGCGCAGGACCGGCGACATGACACCGCCGCCCCCGCCCTCCCGGCCTACCTCTACGAATCCGGCCGAGTCGCAGCAATACGGACAGCAACAGCAGTATGAAGGAGTTGAGGAAGATGGGCCACCGCCACCTCCGAGACCATACCGAGTAGACACCACCGGTCTATCAACAGCACACTTACCGCCCCCTCCCGGCCGCAGAGATGGAGCCGATGCCCGACCTCCACCGCCACCTCGCCCTTCTGCCGGAGGACCGCCGAGCCTGCCACCCAGACTACCTCCTCGATCACCTATAACTTCTCCGGGCTCGCCACAGGCAGGCGATGGTTACCTAAACCAAGGCGCCGTAAACCGCCTCGGCGCAGCGGGCATCAACGTCCCCGGCTTCGGTATCGGCAGCGAAAAGAGCGCTGCAGCAACTACCTCCAACCAGACTCCTCTAATGCCGCCACCCCCTTACACCCCTATCAACCGTCCCGCCCGATCAACCACCACCAGCTCTACCGGCGGCGGCACCGGAAGCTTGACGGACCAAGCCAAATCCCAATTCTCCAATCTCCAAAACCGCTTCTCCAAACTCACCACGGGCGGCTCTTCCCCCAATCCAACTTCCCAACCCTACTCCCAACCCTACCACTCTCTCCCTCCCGACTCTTCCACCACCTCAACCTCCACAACCCCCACACCCCCTTCAAATCGCCCAATCCTCCCCCCTCCACCACCCGCCTCTCGCGTATCCCCTACCTCAACAGGCCATCAAGAAGGTACCACTGCTGCCCCCGAAGGAGGAGGAACAACCTGGGCCCAAAAGCAACAAGCCCTCAAAACCGCTTCGGCCTTCCACAAGGATCCTCGCTCGGTCTCTTACAGCGATGCCAAGTCCGCCGGTGGTACGATCAATAACTTCCGCGCCAGACACGGGGATCAGATAGCGGCGGGGATGAAGACGGCTCAGAGTCTTGGAGGGAAGGCGGTTGGGGCGGTGGGGGGTTTGAGGGATCGGTTTGGTGGTGGTTCTGGAGGTTCTGGTGGTGGTGGTGGTTCGACAGGAGCTGGTGGTTATGGTGGTGCTGGGACGTCACAGCCACCGCCGCCGCCGCCGCCAGTAGGGACAAGGGGGAGGGCGGAGAGTGCTACTTCATATGGACATGGGCACAGCGAGTCGATCGGATCTGCTACGGGCGTTGCGCCGGGAAGTCCATCTGCGGCGGCAATGGCTGCGGCCAAAAAGAGGCCGCCTCCGCCTCCGCCGCCGAAGAAGAAACCTGCTTTGATGGCGCCGCCTGTTCCTGCTCCGGGACAAGGGGAACAGGATGCCCCGCCACCGCCCCCGGTTCCGCTTGCTACGAGACCTGCCTTTTGAGAGGTTGTTAATGACGGCAAGGGTCAAGGATATCTAGGCCGAAAGATCGTAATGTATAAGTTTTGAGTTGTTGGATAGGGCGAATACGCGCGTAGATAAGTACGCGACCTTGATGGCAGGCAGTCTGATTAGGCTCAGGCTCCTAGGTATCGGCAGGCAGACAGACTTGGATGAAAGCGCCGATACGGATAGGATAGACAGACACAAAAGGTTCTCACTCGGTTCGGGCACATGCATGATAGCGTCATACGGAAACGAAGACTGGTGGGAAGAGAGACGTTGCTTGGTTGCCTATGGTAGGAGAGAGAGAGGGTTGCTTCGAATCGCGATGAGTATAGTATATCTGATAATTATAGTCGTATTCTCCAGCATCTTGTGAAAATTGAAGGTCGAGTTTCGAGTTGTGCAATCTGGGTGTATCATCATTCCCTCAAAGCCTGGAAGTTGATCATGTCGATCAAAGTTGTCTGTGGCTGTAGGCGTTTGGGGGGCGGATAGGATAAGATAGGATAGGATAGGATAGGATAGGATAGGATAGGATACACATCTCAGGCACATGCATGATAGCGTCATACAAGGACAGGGAAAATGGCTCCGCTGAGGACGGGCATCTTATCGTGTTGTAGTGTATAATCTCAGTGGCATGTCCGTTATCAAACGTTTTAGGCGAGATCGAGGGTGATCTGGAGGCGTGATTGTCTCGTGAGGGCTGACCGGTTTTGCCAACAGCCGGTAGGTAGCGCGTTTATCTATCCAAACTACGAAGATGCCACAGTTGGTACGAAAAGCGTATTTAGGATACTTTCAGAGGTCATCAAATCATGTTTTGGTACGTATGGTTCAATATCATAACTCGAGAAGAAGAAGAAATTTGGGGGGGATATCGTTTCAGAACTTTTTTGTTTATTTTTTTTTTCCCGAAAACCACAGGCCCGATCCACGATCCAAATTGCGCCGCTAGAAGAAACATCAAACGCGTAATTTAGACCTTGGTCTCCTTGAGGCCGTGCTTCCAGACGACGACGTAAGGGGTGGTGCCGTCCTCGCGGTAGTTGAGGAGGACAACCATGCCGTCGGGGTTCATGGACTCGCCGGTGTAGAACTCCCAGTCCTTGAACTTGGCGAGGATGACGTTCTTGGCGAAGGCGCCGGCCTTGGTCTCGAAGTCCTTGATCTCCTCAGCGGACTTGCCCTGCTCCTGGAGGGCGGCCTTGACGGCCTTCATGTAGCCTGTTGTGGGGGGGTTTGTGTTAGTATATGGTATGAATGGGGTGGTGTGGTGATATGCGCGCGCGAGAGCATGTGCGCCGAGGGTGGCGTAGAAAGGGGAGATAAACATACCCTTAAGGTAGACGAGGTAGCCCTTCTTGTCGAACTGGGTGCTCTGGAGACGGAAAGAGTGGACAATGTTGTTGACCTTGACGGAAGTATCCTCGAGGGCCTCGTCCTGCTCCTCGGCGGAGGCGTTGGCACCAATGTCGACGTTGACGGCGCCCTCCTCAATCATGGCGCAGTCGGCCTCATAGGCGATGCCATCGACCTCCTTGAGGTCGTAGGAGTCCGAGATGATCTCGTCGCCGGTGAGGATATCCTGTATTGCGAAAGAAGAAGCGGGGTTAGCAGCTGATGCTGATGCTGATGCTGATGCGTTGTCCTCGTCGCTTTGGATGCGACATTGGATGCGACATTGTGTGCTTGTGTATGTCTCTAGGCTATAGGTTAGGTACTCACAGAGTAAATAAGCATTTTGACTGATTTGTTGACTGCGTTGCAGAAAGAGAAGGAGGGTATCAAGGTTGGTGGTTGATGGACTTGGGGAGAACAAGGGCACGAAGACAAAATCGAAAGGAAGACCAGACGTTGGGACGCGGGTGGGTTAAATCCTGGGCGGGTGAAAAAAATGGAGGAATGAGGGGCAAGTTCTGTCTCGCGCTAAACCCAAGCGGGAATGGCACCTCCAACCAAATGCTCGAGACTTTCACCAGGCGGGCGGGGCGCACGCTGTTGGCTACAATTTATTCGCGATGCCCACGGTTAATTGGATGTGATGCGCCAGATGCGCGAAGATCAAAAAGTCCAGAACTTGACAGTTGAAACCGTCTTGTTGAGCCTCGACCGTAAATGCGAGTTCCAATTGCCCGTCCAGATGGAATTCACACTTGGGTCCTTGTAATTGTCACAAGCTACCGTTGAGAATTCGAGACATCTTAATGAGTCAGCTGGGTGGTGCAACAGCCTGCTCGTCTCACAACTTCCTTTTTCGTACGGCCTGTCAGCGATCGCGATCTCGTCCACGTCTTGAGCGCGGAAGCTTTGCATCTGGCAACTCTGCCTCCATCCTATCTCTTCCTACACACTCGAGCGGCGTTTGCCTTTGTGTTGGTATCTCTTTGCTAGACTATTTATCCCGAGTATCGATCCGCACACGCTTCATCGCGTTGGCGTTGGGCACCATCGGCCTGGCATTGTTTTGTCGAAGGATTCCTATCGACCTGTTGCGGAACCCGATGTGTTCTCATAAACTGGCTCAGCAAGTTTTCGGTCATTAGTAGCCTCTGATGTTCGATGGCCATGTGTCAAAGTCTGCTAACGTAAAATGCCAGTAGAGACCATCAAGGTTCTTCTGGACCACGGCTGGCAACTACCCGCCTACCTTACCCATGTGGATGATTGGTCAGAGGTCAGGATGAAATGATAACCTTAGCGTTGTTATGGTGAACTGCTCAGCCAGGAATTGTAAACGCAATTTGACATATTGCTCGAGATGAACGGCGTACTTCAACATCATTTCACTCTGGATGAATTATCATGTGTCATCGAGCTGACGCCGACGGCCAACGACCGGCTTGGCCGAAGAGTTTGGAGACCCACGGATGCCGAAGTGGAGACCAAGTCCAGCTGACTGCCGGCCAAGAACACCGCTCGGGGACGGCAGTCAAGGCCGCATGGCGCGGCGGTCTGTGGCCGTGTCTGTCACAGCAGATCCCGGGATATTGGCCGGAACCCGGAAGGAACGGTAAGAGCCGAACCCCGGTGGACACAACGCGCTGGTGGAGTGGTTGATGAAATTTGAAAGCCTCGGATCCTTGCCAAGTACTGGTGCCAATTGTCCAATCACACAACTTGGAACCTGTCAGGCGACGGAGGGTATGTTCGGGGTCTAAACCGATGCTTTTGAGCTTTTGGCATTCAAGGGATTTTGCCGAGGTGGCGGCGCAGAATTCGGTTCTCTCCAACGAGGCAAGGGAAGGCGAGGCAAGGCTCCAGGCGAACATGTCTGTCAGTTATCGATTGTAGTAATAGGCTCGTCCAGCCTTATCACCGTACCCAACTGGACGTGATGGTGCATAAAACTCGATGCGGTGCCCCTGCTAAGACTTTGCATAGGCTGTCACATTCATCACACCAGATGGTTTATAGTCTTTCGAAAGCAACACATTCAAGACAATTGTAAGCCACGTAATACAGCAAACCAGGCTCATGGGTCGAGACCTTGGACTGGTGACGGATGATGACCATGTAGGTAGGAACCATGGCCGAGTGTTGGTGGTTGCGATAAGCCGGAGGATGGTGGGTGGCACGATAAAACAGCAGACGCGAAATTGATGGGCAAGATGGCAGATCATAGCTGAAAACACAATGGGCTGTCCGGCATCCGGCATCTGTTGATTTTTGCACAAATCCCAAAAATCTGCCAGGGGGAACTCGCCGAGCTCGCTTCTTTCCCTCCGCGCGGATTGGGGGTGGGATTGGAGGGCGGCAAACCGAGCGAAACGGCGAACGCCACTCGATGTAGGCCGTCCTTCTCCACTGATCTCGATTCTTAGTCCGACCTCAGCGCTCACTCAGTCCACTGCGCAGTATCAGTCAGCAGCTTCACTTTACTTACAATACAATCTCCCTTCCCATCCTCCGTCCCGTCTTTCCCAAAAACACGACCTTCACCGACACTCCTTCATTGCCAAGCTGTATCAGTTCGTCCTTTGGCTTTTCTGGAATCTGTCTGTATAATCGCCTTTCCACCATCATCCCCACTTAGAACTTGGGCGTTTGATCGCTGCCGACCTTATCGCCGCCAAAAATACGATAATTCCTCAAACCCGTTGATGGTCTTCACCGACACAGCAACCGGTCGAACCATGGCCATGATGGCTAACACAACAATCGCCTCGGGCCTACCGCCCTTGCCCGCCTACGAAACCCGGCCGCTTCCGGACCTGCTGCCGTGGATTTCGGACTTTTGGCTGTCGCTTATCCTGCCGCACATCGCCTACTGGGTCGTATCCATGCTCTTCCACATTGTCGACGTTTACGACCTCTTCCCTCAGTATCGCCTACACACCCCCGAAGAGATCAGCCAACGTAATCTTGCGTCCCGCTACGAGGTCGCTCGCGATGTCCTCCTCGAACAAGTAATCCAGATCGGCACCTCGGCTGTGCTAAATCTCCTCGACGACCAGCAGCTCACCGGACACGAGAACTACGAAATTGCCGTCTGGGCGACGCGCATCCGCCTGGCTCAGCGTGGTCTCCCCACCATTCTTGGTCTCGTTGGACTGAATGCCGGCGACCTTTCCAAGACCATTGCTAGCTCATACCCGCTACTTGCTGGCGCGCTTGCTGGCGGTTTCTACCCATCCCTCTTCGAGCTCGATAACATGGCCGGCACGGCTGTTCCTGCGTTCGCGTCCTGGGAGATTCTCTTGGCCAAGGCCATCTATTGGATCGTCATTCCTGGCATCAAGTTCTGGTTGGCCGCTTTTGTCCTCGATAGCTGGCAATACCTCTGGCACCGCGCCATGCACATGAACAAGTGGATGTACAGTAAGTTCTCTAAAACACACCGCCTAAATTTCCATGCAGCTGAACGAACCCCCACTAACACCTGCTTCCCTCCAACAGCCAAGTGGCACGCTCGTCACCACCGTCTCTACGTTCCCTACGCCTACGGTGCCCTCTACAACCACCCCGTCGAGGGATTCGTGCTCGACACCCTCGGTGCCGCCATCGCCTACAAGTGCTCCTTCATGACCTCGCGCGAGGGTATGTTCTTCTTTGTCGGCAGCATGATGAAGACGGTCGACGACCACTGCGGATACGCGCTGCCCTGGGACCCCCTGCAGCACATCACCAGCAACAACGCCGCCTACCACGACATCCACCACCAGAGCTGGGGCATCAAGACCAACTTCTCCCAGCCCTTCTTCACCACCTGGGATAGAATCCTTGGCACCATGTGGAAGGGTGACACCTCGATCAAGTACGAGCGCACGAGGGCTGCGGCGGCCAACAAGAAGAAGGGCGTCAAGGGTGAAGAGTTGAAGGACGAGTAAAATAATGGACACGACTCAGAGTAGGGCGGGGCCCTTCTGCTGAGTACTAGGGAGTCGTGTGATACTTATACAGACTATTTCTGTCGACAGTGGTAATTTTTATTTCTGTGGAAGAGTTATCGCTCTTTTCACCAAACGTGGTTGGGGGAAACATCTTATATTGATGTAACAACCCCTTCGACGTTCTCCATGAGAGAAGGGGACGACGCCATGATGGTTTTGGATGATGGGGAAAGGGAAGGAGACAAAAAAGAAGAACAAAGCCAACAAAGAAAAAAGAACATACCTAACTATCTGGGCATTGGGGAGGGCGTTATACCACACATATATGTTGTTTTTCTTATAGTTATCTCTCTCTTTCTTCGTTTTTAACGCCCGGCTCATGGCTTCAGGATTATATGCAGCAGTTGATGACGAAGGGAGGGCAAAGGCAAAAAGGGAAGGGGAAAGGATGAATTTGGATTGGCTGTTCATAATGAAGGGGATGGCGGTTTGTTGCAAATGATGTTTGGGTTCCATATGAAACTTTTTGAGGTTTGTCGATTGTACAAAAGAGAACAAGGCAGACAGACAGGATGGAAAAGGGAGGGAACTGAAGAAGAGGAAAGAAGAGTGTCGTTCACTTCGCTCACTCGCTCTTGGATGAGGAAGGCTTGGGGATGGCACTCAACTTGTCTAGATAGCCAGTTATCTGTGTATCTGGTCATGACCGCTGCTGGCCCTTGCCGACTCATGTAATGGTAATATGAAATCAAACATTTGATCACACAACTGCTTCTCTACTTGTGCCTGGCGCCGTGATGAATATCACTCATAACATCACCAATACCTAGCTTGGTTATTACCTATCGTGCTACCTCAGGAACCACCCAACAAGGAACTGCCTGTCTGCTTTGCCGGCTTGTGGCTGTCTGGCTTGTCTGTCCAATCTCACACTCGCACCCGCGACGCCGTGGCTTACCTCCACCAGACTGAACTCGTCCGAACCGTCCGTCGGTCCATCCTCGACAAAAGTAGTAGAGTGCCAGTGAGTGTCCTCCCACTTTCCGTCCGTTACCGTTCGGGCGTATGGTGGACGGAGCCAAAATCAAGCCACCAGTCAGTCACTGCGGAGATAAACTACCGAGTTGATCCTGGTTTGGCGAGAGGCGAGTCCAGCTACCAGAGTGTCGGGAACGTAACAGGCACGGAATATGGACCAAGGTCTGGACTCAAGCCTTGGGCTTTTCAGCTGCGGCTTCAGCTCGGTTCCAGTCCGCCGGGTCGGGTCGTCGGGTTGAAGAGTGGAGATTGATGATGATGATAAGAAGAAGGAGGAGCTAAGGAGCGAGAAGGGAGATGAGATATCGGGAACTCTAAAAGGCCAACTCTATGGGTTCTCTAATCCGTAAGAGAGAAGATTTTCAAGATGCTGCCCTTACTACTTCTAGCCTCTACACGTATTTTTTTTGCAAAATGGCTTTGGATGTCACTCAGTCTTTGTTCATTTTTGGCTGTTCAAAGGGTCAAGAACCGGCCAAAAAGAAATAGGTCGCTGGTAGGTTAGTAGGTAGTCTAACCGTCAGGCAACATCCATCCCCGGATAGTTCTATCGTACACGAGCATCGCTTGAGTCTTCTCACGAGCTTGTCACGAGTTTTGTGAGCTTGGTGGAGTGAAAAATATAGGTATCCCTTCTGCATTCGGCAATCGGGATTCACTGCCTCTCTTGTTCACAAAGGGAAAGTACCTAGATGAAGACTTTATGTTGGGGCTAGATCTGAAGTGGCGGAACATGGCTTCTCTCTAACCACTCTCTTGGATCCCATCATGTCACTTGTCACTTGAAGACCAACCGTCTGAACAAAGAGTACATTAGCTGAAGAACTGGACGGATGGGCGGATGGACGAACGGGAAAGTGAAAATGTGATGGCTGGTACTAGTCCCGGTGGCGTATGGGGGTGGCTGGCTTTTAGATTAAGGTTCATATTCGTTTTCATGGAGGGATGGAGGGCTGGAGGTGTGATGGGGCTTGTCTGACATCGGAGATAGTAGGTATGTAAAGGATAGTCAGGTTCTTCACCAGATAGTCATTAGTGAAAGAGAGTGAAGAGCAGATAATCGAGGAAGTTAGGTAGTAACGACGCTATCTCTTGTTTGTTCCATTGCGACCAATTATTGATGATGACAACTAGCTCCAGTACCTACGGACTGGAGTTGACGGAAAGGAGACGGCTTAGGTCAAAAGAAAACAAGAAAAAAAATAAGAAAATGAACAGGTGCTGAGATCAACACTGTTTGCCACCTTTGTCGAAGTGTCGGATTTTATGGAGTTATGGATGAGTATATTTCTTCACCACGGAGTCGAGCAACATCGTCGAAATTCCGAAGAATCTTGTTCTTTGTCAAATCAACCAAACCATGATGGGTGTTTGGTAAAGCTTCCGCTCGGTATATGTTTGCTCAAGTCACAACTTGTTCTCTGAGACAATGCTGTATATGTGCTGCTTTGTCTCCCTTTTCCCACACCCATAGACTTGTTACCTGACGTTGTTCCTTCATCTGCCTGAATTCTTGCAGTCTTGAAAGCATTGAAAGCGTCAAGGAGCTTAACCGATTCCAAAGTTGCAAACCATTCTGTCTACCCCTCGAGGATGGATGTTCCTAGTTCTAACTACCGGTGGCGTTCCCCCTTCATATTGACACTCAATCACACTCATATCCGCCTGCGCCGCTCGACGGCACTTGAATACTTACCCCGTGTCTTGGGTCGGAGATATCTTGGTTCTTGCGGAGAAGCGGGCTGGAAGTGATCTGTGAAGTCTGGTGAGAAGAGGTGGGTTGTTGTGACATGGAAGGGAGGTAGGGAGGGAGGGGGGTGATGTTGGTGAGGAAGTGGTATATACCTCTCTCTATGGATGCTGATTCTTATCAAATGCTGTGGATGCCAGTTATAAGAACGTACAACAGATAGAAGAAAGAAAGCAGATCAAGTACAGCGTTAAGGCGGTATCGAAGTTTACTCCATACATACCGTACATAGTGAAGTATTTCCTTCCATTCCTCCAGTCTTATAAGTCGTGGCCTTGCACGTAGCTTTGTCATAATGTATATTCCCCAACTCTACCACCGTTCTTAACTCACCATCACCCTCACGACAAACCAAAGCCAACCCACCAAAAGAAAACAAGTAAAGAGAAAAGAAGGCCCAGCCCAGCTATCTGCCGTGTCCGCCTGTGGTGAGACCGTGAGAGACAAAAGAGCAAGGCGTTCGAGTCTCGTGTGTCTTGTGGCTTGTGGCTTGTGTCTCGTGTCTCGTGTAACCATTTCACGAAAACGTTCCAAACCGTCCAAACCGCCCCAAATGGATGATGAAGGTGTTGTTCCTGTCGTCCTCCATTCGGGATTCCCCCGGCACCCGAAAGAGCGGTCGGTGGTTTTTGGCTGGGATGCCCGGATGTGCACTTGTCCAGTGGTTGTTGTGGCATACATCGCGGAGGGGACACAAGAGACGACTTGAGGTGTACAGCAGTCGTAATTTGGGTAACGAGATGTGTGTCATGTGCCTCTTGTGCCTCTTGTCTGTTACTGCCAGACTCCGTTCGTACACTCTTGTGTACCAGTGTACCTACCTACATAGTAGGAAGATGAATGGAAAGCTTCGAGAAGATTAAAAATTGGGGTTGCAGATCTGGTCTGTTTCAAAGTGCTGGGCCTTTTTTCTCTTGGTGAAGGCAGCTGAATTTGAGAACTAGTGTATGGATATCAAACCTACGATCGCCCTTTTTGGAAATTTCAAGGTTATCTGATCATCACTCGTACTTTGTATCTTTGTACGTGGAGTGTAGGAAGTAAATAAAGTGAAGTGAGCAGGCGAGCAACAAGCTTGGCGACTCCTGATCACCACTTCACAACTGAGTAGGTACCTAGCTAGTGGTGGTCAGGATGTCAGAAAGGATGCAAGGGATAACTTCAAGAACACGCGAAACATTCCGGATTGATGAATAGTGACGATGATTGATGCCTGGCAGCCTCATCATGACTCGTCCGTTCGGTAAAGTAATACCAGGAGGACGGCACGACGGTTCGGTTGGTCGTTTACTTTGACATGGGCACATGGGGCACACGGGATGGTGGTTTGTAAGATTTGTGGCTTGCAGGTGGTTTTCTTGTCATTGTTCATTCTGGTGCGCACTGGCTCAGACGCTTGTGGTCGACGAAGTGATGCAGCGTCGCTGTGGGCAACCGAGTCGGGACGCGCCAATTCCCGCCGAGGCGTTGGTTGCTTTTTGTGACGTCGTCGTACAATGTGTGTTTTGGGAGCGTTGGGATGAGTTAAAGTTATCACGGACACGGTAGGTAGACACGGTGACGGATGGATGGACTCGGCAGTGAGAAATGTAGGATGATTGCATTCGTTTGCCGGGCGGCTTGGAGATTTGAAGATTTGGAAGACAACAATGAATGAAAACAGCCATGGAATTTCCATTCGCGTCGTCGTTTGGATGGTTAATTGGTGATGGATTCGGGATCCTTGTGGATTCCGAAGCTTTTCGGCACCGAGCCGAATCCAATTTCAAAATGCACATCGTGGGAAAACAGATTATCGTGCAAAAGGAGAGGAGTGTCCGGAGAGTTTATTCGATTGATCAATGGAGTCGAAGATGAAAAGAAGAAAGAAAGAGGAAATGATGGACGTCCCCGGCCTTCGCACACCCCACACACAAGTTTAAAGTGGGGCCAGTCCGAGTTGAAGCAGGACCCACTCCGTCCTGTTTCGGATGAACGTGGAGTGGCCCGTGCTTAAACGCTAATACCTTGCTAATTGACAATCTTGGCTTCTGTCTCGTCAGTTCAGTTGTCTCTCGCCTGTTTCCTTTTTTCGTTCCCGTCAACCACGCAACGCTTTTGGAGAAGACGGGATCAGGCGAAATGAGACGACAGCCAGCCCACGGCATCGCGTGCTATCCTCGTTACGATTTCCCACAGCTGGCCATCAAAATGACGACACGATCTCTCCAATGAAAAGGGACAATGCGACTGCGCATCGGCTATTCCCGAAAAAGGGACCAAAGCGGACAAGGACCAACCATTGACCTGGAAGCGTGCGATTGGAAACTCAGGGGGAGATTCGATCGACGGATTCAATGGAGACGCTGCGAACAGGCAGCTGAATTTTGAAATTCTGGAGAGAATGGAAGAAACAGTCAGCCTGGCAATGCCTGGCAGTGCGTGGGAACCATGTCTTCTCCCATTGATGCCATTGCCTGCTTGCATCAGGCTGAGACACCGATGCTGCCGGCAACAATGGAAATTGTCAATGCTGCACATCCATCCATCATCCAAGGACCATCTCCGTGGCTTTGGCTGAGCTGACACTGTTGATCTGGTGAAGGGAAAGAGCAGTCTCTTGTCCAATGAGTGAGCCTCTATCAAGGAACCCGGCCTTCCCGTATCTTGGTCAACGAACATGATGCTGCAGTCCCAAGACTTTCCATCACACAATGCTCAACCAGTCACCTGGCCTTCTCTGCAGAACGTATCCAGTATCACTGCGTCACCAGTCTGTGCAGTGTTACACTCGGTGGCCCATCTTTTTTCTCTTCTTTCTGCAGACTCGGGCAGTCCCCAAATCCGGGGGCATCTCTGATATCTTCAAGTATTCCCATTTAATACACAACCACATCACCACCTCCAACACCACAATCAATCTCGCACATGGTCCTCATGGTCGACAGGGTCTGCTAGCACACTGTAGCATGAGCTGAGCCCTGGCGAGATTAGCCGTGCATGGACCCGACCCAATCTCTGCGACTCCCAGCCACAGATTCCAGACCCCCTGCCCGTCCTGCCTCAGGTCCTCCAGCAGTGTGTCCTGCATCGACAACCACAAGCCACCCCCAGCTCATCAACCTCGCTCTCGGTCCCCAGCCCAGCTGCACACCCCAAGCCTATCTAGGAAAACCTGCACGGTTCTCCTCGCGAGCTGGCGAACGAGAATCTTTGACGAGACCGGGGCGGCATGAAATAGGGCAAGGGCCCTGCCTTCTTTTCTTTCCCTCCCAAGATCTGGGAACCCCGATTTCTCTTGATATGGATTTTGTCGCCGACATTGTGGATAGTATTGAAACATATCCTGGGGTACTACTACCGGGATCCATAGTGCTGTTGTGTCAACAAGTGTGTGTGTTGGCATTCAGCCTTTTTTTACAACTAGCACGACACCTCCCCCACAGCAATAAACCTCGCAATCCCCTCTGCTTCGCCACGGCGGCTCCGGTCCCTGATCTCCTCGCTTGTCTCGTCGAATCTCTGGCTCTTGCGAAACAAGTGCGTCGAGTTTCAGAAAAACGAATATTCGGTTGTCGCATCTATACATACACCTTTAAGCGCCGTCCACTAATATCGCTTCCCCAGCTTCGACTCTGAAGCAGTGCGGCGCTTCCGCATCCGTCTCAGCATCCTGATTGGCTCAGCCCTTCCACTCTTCATCCATAGCGACAGCAACAACATTGAGCAATACTACCTTCTATCTGCTTCAGAAGCTTCCAACGAAACGCAGCCGCCCGAACTTCATAGCGAAACTTCACTTATATTGCCAGCTGCCCCTTCGTCTAGACCCGTCCGCTTAAAGCGTGGCGAGTCAACTCTAGAAATTCCGGCATGGACCCGACAACAACCCTCTTTACCTTCATGTTGTGAGTTCTGAAAACTTGTTATAATCTTTTTCTCTCTCTTTTACTTTCCTTCACTTCGCTTGCGAGACTGCTGTGCGGTCATTCATTCGTTCCCCCATCGTTCGTTTTCACCTAATTCGGCTACACCCTCTCTCGCTCCTCGGTAAAACCCCGACTCATACTGTACGTCTGGAGACGTTCCACTTCCCAGTTTTTCTTTTTGGTTTTGGACATGGTGCCAGCAAGTGTGGAGAGAAAAATGGGATTTACATGCCCGATCCGATGAGAGCTGAGGATTTCGGCATCCATCGATCAAAATCCCATCGATCACCACGCAAGCCGGGGTCCAAGCGAGCGAGCCTGGGCGAGCTGGGAATCTCTCGCAAGTCAGCCTCTACGGCAGCAGATCGCCCGAGCTCAAATTTACCATCTGACGGTGCTTTGCGCTCGTGGCCTCGTGCCTGACCTGACCCAGCTCAAGGGACACCGCCATTCGTATTGGCCAATTCCCGTAATGACCCTTCGCAACCCTTGGCGTGGTATTGGGAATATTGCAGCCTACCTTGGCCTCGGAGACTTTGGTGGCTGAGTATCCTTGCTCTCATCCACTCTTACTCCTCTCATGCCCCAGCCTTATGATCTGCGCCTACATTTTACTCCCAGTCACCGACGAGACTAACACGATATATAGACGGACTCATCCCTCGGTCAAGGCTGTTCACCTGGTTGGTTCTTGGGACAACTTCGGCAAGCCTTACACAATGGAGCGTGACATTAGACGAGACAGAGGCCAGTGGAAGGGAACTCACACCTTCAAGGACATCATCTGCGATGGTGACTCTGGCCGGACCACAAAACGGAACGGTGGCTTGAAGATGGGCCAGACATATTACTTTTATGTGAGTCTTTTTCAGAGAGATACGTCCGTCGGCCCCTGTCACTAACCGAGACCTCCAGTACGAGCTAGATGGCGCGACTGAGACACATGATCCTACTCTTCCCTCAACAAATAACTGCCCATATCTCCCCGGCCAGACTGTCAACACTCTTGAAGTTCCTGTCGAGCATACCCTCAGGAACCGCAGCGCATCCACCAACTCCCTTCGCGAGGAAAACTACATGACCATGAACCCAGCCGACAGGTACAACACGCCGCAACCGGCAGTCGTCTCATTGATGGATGCTGCTTCCCGTGTTGCTACCGCCCCTCTATCTGAACTCAAGCGCTCTGCCAGGTCCACCTCACCGGGCTCCAGCTGGTTCTCGCCACGCAGGCTGTTCGGTCGCAAGCAAAGCTCTTCCTCCCTGCCGGAGATCAGGGAACCAACACCCACCGATGATACTCGGAGTATCAGGTCATCTGGGTCAAGCAAGTCCAGGGACATGTCGCCCGAGTCGCTTCGCCGGTTCCTGTCTGATGATGTGCTACCTGAAGAGGAGTACCAGGCAGTGGAACGTCCGGCCATCACCATCCCCGATGATATCGCCGAGGAGATCGAAGACGACGACATGTTCGCCACATCTGCTGTGTCGGAATACATGCAGTTCACCGGCCTCTCCCCTCCGCCATCCCAACGATCACTTACTCCTTCGCCTCCCGTCGAAAGCGACGAGGCGCCCACACCTACTCTGGCCCCTACCACGGTGCCCTGCCTCGATCTTTCGGTCCCCACGCTGTCTCTCGTCGACACCGGCTCACCTCAGTCCCCGGCCAACTCGCCTCCAGCCTTCTACCACTCCGACGATGACGAGGACGAGACTCCCGAGGAGGACCTCCTCCCTCTTCCCATGCTTGACTACAACACGGCCCGCAAGGCTTCCGCCGGCTCAGTCAGGAGCACCCTCTCCACCTACAGCCTCCCGCAGTCTTCTCCCCAGGAAGCAAAAGGCTCCAAGTCTCTCCTGCTCCCTAGGATCGAGACCAACATTCCCGTCTCGGTCTCGCACACTTCCTTCCTCAACAGTCCTACTCCCAACTCGGGTCTTGAGGATCTGATGAGTGAGCTGGGCTTGATGGCTGATGCTATTCGTGGCTGAGTCTAACTATACGAACAACATTCGAACGATCGCTATACTACACCTTAATATTTTCTCTCAACAATCACTCAAACAATCTCAATCTCCATGGATCTCAATTTATCTAGCACTTTCGGCGGGGCATTTAAAATGGGTATGGGGGTATACTACGACATCTACACTACACTACACTATATACACTATCGCTTAAGCAAACAAGCAGAGGTGTAAAAAGGCGGGCATAGAACACAAGGCGGCAGGGCGGCAGGGCGGCAAGATCTGATTTTTTTTTACTTGTTTTGATATCTTTTGTTTTTGGGTTTTCTTTTGTCGGATGGGTGGGTGGGCGGCCAAGCGATCTACTTTACTAGATCTTGTCGGATTTTTTTTGGGGGTTATCTTAATCACAATGGGCGTATATGGGTGGGAGGTTAGGTAGGGGTCTGGTGTTGGCTTGGTGACCAGGTTAGGTCAAGTCAGGATGGGATGGGCGATGCATAGGAAGGACTGAGGGTTACGATAGGGATGATGGATGACGGACGAGTGGAAGTTAGGGATTTGGAGGAAGTGCCTGCCCACTGGGAGGAACTGGGAGGCTGAATCGCAAACAAGATATACATAGGGACAAAATACTATCGTTTGCCAAGGATCAACACTGACTGACCTCCTTCATCCGTCGATGACCTTTGTGAAGCGTGAAGTGTAGTAGTACCTCTAACTGCTTGGCATCATAAAGGCAATCAATTCAAAAGCAAGAAAGGATTTGTATCATCATGGATCGCATGAGAACTCAACTGCAGTGGTTATGTCCGACATCTTTGAATGAATGCTGTAACATACCTATCAATACCTACCCAGGAAAGAGCGAGTTGCCTACCTAGGTAGCGATGCCGGGCTGCACTTTCCTCTCGGCTCTTACGCTCGAGTTCCGACCACCTCGCTGGATCCGTCCCAAAATGCTGCCTCTCTGTACACAGTACCTTCCCTGTCCTCCAAAGTGAAAATCTCGTACCTTCCTTTGATAATTGGTTATCCTTCTGCTCCACTGTCACTAGTAAGATACCTAGGTACCCATCATTCCTGGGCTCAGCTTCACGATAGAGGTACTTAGGTACCTAGCTTCCTACCTTGAGGATTTCAATGCATATGGTCATTTTATTATAACTACAGTCTCGGGTAGAAGCTGGCCTGAATGGGTCTGATCTAGTTTCTGACAAAGTTATCATCATTCACGCAAAAGACACCATGCGTTTATTACCCACAATTCCCCAGCATGTTAGTTAGTCCGAGTCGGCGGCATATTTCTGAACTCTTCTTATACCTACCTGTTACCGATCGACTTGTACCAAACATCTCATCATCATCAGGTTTTCACTACCTATGTATTCACCGCATCTCAATTAAACACTCTTGTCATCAATCAATCAGCTTACCATAGACACTGGGCCATATTGAGGTTGAAAAGCAATGAATGATCTTGTCTAACTTTTGTTTACCTAACCTGACTGACCCCTTTTTGGTTTTGACGAATGAAAAGCCATGAACTGAATGAACAAGTAAATAGGGAAATACAGAAAAACCAATCAATCAAACCTCCAAACGAACCAACAAACTCGACCAAATAAATATAATAAAACCAACCGACGAGAACTCCAAACACAAATGCCAGTCTAATCTACTCCTTTACATTCCTTATCATCTTTTCTTCTTCTTTTCTGCAATTTATGCCATAAATCTCTTTCCTCATCTACACCTCACCACCTACCTCCTAAAACCCCCTCCCCCAAGCTTCCCGTCCTCAAGAAGCACTAACCTCACTAAACCAACTCCTCAACAACCCCGCCAACGCCCCCGGCAAATCATCCAAGTGATGCACAATCAAATAATACGGAAACGGGAAAGAATCCAAGTACCGATGAATGACGGGCATGCCATCGCTGCCAAACCGGGCCTCTTTCAGATCCAGGACACTCTGGCTTCCCTTTTTGGCGTTCCCCTGTGCATCGCGCGCGTCGTCCATGACGATGAAAACGACCATTACTCTTTGCTCCATCGCTTCGCGCAAAAGGGGCCGGAGGCGGGCGTGGTCCTTTGACTGGACCAGGCCGTCTGACAAAATAAGGGCGAGTTGCCAGAGGTCTTCGGAGCCGGAGGTGTTGGTCAAGCGGGCATCGCGGAAGTGGTCGATTGTTCTCCGTAAAAGGTTGACCATGTCCGTACCCTCCTGTTTGAAGGTGAATTGTTGGAGAACCCTCGCGCCCGCGTCGTGCGAAGCAAAGGGGTCGGTGAGGCGGTGCGCGACGAAGACGTCGGTGCCGAAACCGAGGACGCCGACTTGGCCTACTTCTAGCATTGTAAGCGCGCGGGAAGTCATGACTAGGGATTCCAAAGCCAAGCGGCCCGCGGACCCGGAGTTGTTTAGCGAGTCGCCCATGGATTGGGAGTCATCCACGCATAACAAGATCTGGTAGGAGCGCTTGGTGGGGATGGCGCGGCGCATCCAGATCTTATCGCGCTTGTAGGAGGAGGCGATGTAGGGGATGATTTTCTTGATGTTGAGGCGTTTGCCGGTGCGGAAGGAGCCGGAGAGCTTGGTGGATTGCGAAGGGGTCAGGATCAGGCGGAGTTGGGAGGATAAAGACATGGAGAGGGATTGGGTCTTGGTTTGGAAGGTGGTCCACATGGAGAGGGCTTCGTGGAAGTCGCGAAGAGGACGAGGGGGTTGTTGGTCTTCGAGGTGGATGGCTGAGAGCTGGGTGGATTCTTCGTTGATCTCCTCGTCCAGGTTGTCGCCTTCCTTCGCGCTGGCCTTGCGGGCGTCTTCGTCTTCCGAGTCGGAGTCCTCGAAGGCGCCTTGGTGCGTGGCGACGCCGGAACGACCGTCTTTGCGGTCCTCCTTGGGAGCGTCGGCGGAGTCAGGGGCCTCGGCATCTTCCATGTCCACGTCCTCCTGCTTGTTGTTGTCCTCGGCGGCTGGCTCATCCTCG